GCCAGATCCATGCCGCCAATTTTTACCGTGCCTTCGGATGCCGTCTCTGTCACCAGCAGAGCATTGGCTATGGTGGACTTTCCTGACCCAGTTCTACCTAGCACCGCGCACGTAGATCCTCCCGGTATCTCAAAAGTGACCTTTTTGAGGACATTGGGCAGTCCCTCGGCGTATTTGAAGGACATGGACTCAAATTTGACGTCGTCACATGGCCTAGGCCAATCTGCAGGTGGCTCCTCATCGCCATTTGGCTCCTCTGGGATCTTGTCAAGCATGCCAACACGCTCCAGCGATACTGCGTCTAGTTGAAGCTGGGCAAATTTCTCGCAAAGCTGTTGAATAGATGCCATAGAAATTGACGTCTGCGTCAACACAAATCCAATCGCGCTTGCTGGAGTGCCGCGCCAAATCATGAAAATAATCAGGGCAGCACGAGTGCAGGCAGACGATATACTGAGCCGAAAGTCGAGCCAGAAAGCCATGCTCCAGAAAAAGTGATCCTGCTTCTGGAAGTCATCCACTGCATCCAAGTGCCGGTCCTGGAAACGACCTTCTACGCGAAGCGCTCTAATAGTGACAAGGCCGTCCTGCATAACGCCAATATTGGCAATGATGGGCGTGAGATATCGCATTTCCATGCGTCGCAAGCTGCGTGAAATTGGAACGTAGATTCTGAAAAAGTAAACGAATAGGACAGCGACGGCGCCGAGAATAATGAGAAGCATTGGCTGGTGTGTTGCAATACCGACGATGCTCAAAACTAGAGCAATGAAATTATAGACGAAGCCTTCCAGTGGTGCCAAAATGCCACCATCAACCATACCCATATCAGAAACGAGTCGGTTTTTAAGCTGTCCGGTGGGTGTGGTGTCGTGATATCTGAAGGTGGCTTTGCTCACTCGGCCGATGGCAGCTTTGAAAATGCCTTGAGCTGCATCGATAGAGATCTTGGCTAGCAGCAGTTGGGCGATACCGTATGATATGGTCTGTCCGAGTGCAAGACCGCCAAACACAGCGAGCCAGATTTGGGGAAATTTTTGGGGATTTGGAAGACTCCAATAGCCTCTTGTAGATATCACACGATCTTTCGCCGTTTCATTTCCCCACGACTCAAGCAATGACGCTTCAGAGACATCGCAGTATCTGGAGATTCCGTAGAACAGTGCTAGGAATGCCCACATATACAATCCACCAGCCCTCATATAGTTCAAATAGACTGTAAGGGGCACGCTTCCAGTCTCTGAAGGCTCTTCCGGTGCCTCCTGCAAATCCTCCTCCTCCTCTTCGTGGGTTTCATGGGTCGGTTCAAGTTCTTCCACTATGGTATCTTGAGATGTAGCATGATAGGGATGCTCAAGTTCATCTTTAATTTCCGATTGAGATAACCTCCTAGCGGTCCCATCATCCATATCAATGACTTGATTAGCAATGCGAAGAACCAGGTCATCGCGATGCGTCACCATCACAATAGTGCGTTCCCTGGCCAGAGGGCCCTGTAAAAATCGTCGTACAATATTGCTCGCAGTGTCGTGATCCAAAGGAGCAAGAGGATCATCCAAAAGAAGAATTCTGCATGGACTGTATACGGCTCTGGCCAAAGCAACTCTGGCTTTCTGGCCCCCAGATAACCCAACACCGCCTTCCTCCAACTTGGTAAGATCACCATCGGGAAAAGCTGCAAGGTCAGGTCCTAGCGCACAAGCATGCAGGACTTGTCGGTATCGGGCGGCATCGAAACCATGATGAAAGACGATGTTCTCTCGAATCGTCTTATTCTGTAGCCATGGAAGCTGTTGTGCATAACCAACCGGTTCATCTGGTCGAAGAAGATCGCCACCATGCAACTCCATTTCGTTCAAGGCTGCAAGCAGGAGGCTAGATTTGCCGGAGCCAACTTTTCCTCGGATAATCGTGAGTCCTTTGCCAAATTTGAGATTGAGCTGAGAAAGAACCAAGTGATTGGTGGAGGGCCAAGCGAATGAGGCGCCATGAAATTCGATATCACTAGCGTCTGTAATGCCAAGAGAATCTTCGTCCCGATCTGGTTCTTCCATGTATTTGTTGACACGTTCGACAGGAATTACTGCCTTCCAATAAGCAGTGATAAGATCGAACGCTTCTTTGAGACTCGCCTCCAGTTGGTTGAAGAGCTGCAAAGACGGCCAAATAACGTCGTTTGGAAGACCTTGTCGGAGAATCAGGGTGTATAAGCAAATGCTGGCAAAAGGGTAAGCCGAGCCTCCAGCGACATTTGTGGTGGATATCGCTGCAATTACCCGTGCAATCTGCAGTCGCTTCAGCATCTCCATGGTTCGAAACTTGAAGATTCTAGCACTCCAAGAAGATGTCCAGCCGTTGAGCTTCAAAGGTCTACTAGCTTCTACAAAGTGGGCCACAGCTTGTGCGCGCTTGTCAGAGTGCGCGGTCCTGGAACGTTCCAGTTGAACGACCTTGCGAACGAGGAGTGAGTTGCTGGTCAGGAAGAGGATCATGAGTCCAAGGCCGACACAGGACGGCCAACCCATGATGTCGATGAGATAGTAAATTGTAACAATAACCTTGATTGGCTGCGACATGAGCTTTGGAAAATCCCAGAAGCGTTGAGAAATCTCGTAGGTATCTCCCCGAACAAGATTGACGACCTTTGCATTTGATGCAGGGGTTGCTTGTGTAGGAGTCGACTTGACCCTGTGTTTGCGTCCACAGCAGCAGCTAAGCCATCCTCTTCGTAAGGTATTATTTGGCCTTGTCAGTGTTCCGACACTGTCTTCTTCTGGACCCTTTTCGGTGACATCTGATCCTGGGACGGCCCGGGTAAGGAGTTTGCCAAATAGCGCAATAAAGGTCTCGCCCCTAGATCTTTCGTAGGCCTTGCGAGAGTACCAAGAGGATGTCGTTTTGGAGATCTGTCGCATAAAATCCACACATAGCATTACCGCGCACCAAAAGTAGGCTTCGGTTGGGTTACCATTGTCCAGCGCACTGTAAAGCCGGCTGGTGAGGCGAATGTTGGATACCTCAGCGAGTTTCTCAACGATAGCAAGAGTAGTCGCAATGGATAAATCGAGACCATTTGCTTCGATCAGGCAGGGGAGAAGCTTTCCCTGGAGTTCGCGGAAGGCTAGATAGAGGCGTGTATGTTGGAAATCATGTGGTAGTTGCCACACATCTTCGACGGTGATTTCTTTCTTCCGACAGAGCCGGGCAAGCGGGTATACCCACGTCATAGCCCAGAAAGTGAAGAGTGTGAGGTTATCTTCCGGGCTTCGAACATGATGAGATGGGGGGAGCTTCGGGTTTGCAATGTCTTCAGCATCCCAAGCTGGGTTTCGAAGTGGCATGCTGCCAATCGAAACGATACCGAACAAAGAGAGAGCCAGTCTTGCAACGCGAAATGGATCGATGGACCGAAGATGGTGGTCCAAGAATTGGGCGGAATAAATACCCATACCGGAGCTCAAGACGAGAAAATACTGCAAGAGCAAAATCCGAGGTGTGCTAGTGGGCCGGTCCAAAGCAGTCATGAATAGAATAGACATCCAGGGAACAATATCGAGAATGCCCCGGCGCTCATTCGGGGCGAGGCAAATCGGTACAACCGACAGGATAAAGCCAGAAATAGAGATTAAAGCAAGAATTAGAGTCCAATGTGTCCAAGCCTTGCGTTTATTTGACGCATGGCCTTCTTCTCTGGCAAAAGGCTGAAGCCATCGAGGAAGGAGACGCTGGAGTCGATTGCGAAAGACATAAAGAGAAAATGTCGCAACTGAGATTACACTCAGCGTGATTAAGATACTCGCATCTGTATTTGACATGCGAAGATTGGGTCTGAAGGTTATGCCACCGATTGAAAGCTGGCCACCAACGCGAAAGCGAGGAGACAGGCTCTTTGAATCAAGCTCGGCAGCATTGGTGAGGGCGGCCATGTTGAACAGTTGTCATTCAGTAAAGGTCATTTGATGGTCATCTGAATAGCTTCAATGATGGGAGAGGAAAAGGGATTAGAGAGACAAGACCAGAATGACCTGGCTGGAAAGACGTCAAAATATGTACTCTCACCGCTGGGCGTCGCATCAGCAATTGCTTCCACGTCGTAAAGCTTGAACGCCTAAAAATGCTAAAGGAATTCAAAGTTTATAGCGGTACGAAGGCTCAGACGTTCCCAAGCCTAGTTCATACTATTGGTAAGTATAAATCAAGCCAAGTCTATCTGGCATAGTCCAGCCTTGCCGTGACTAGATCGTGATGCCGGCGCTTGGCGGGGTGCTTCCATCAAGTACGCAGCGGGCCATGCATTGACGGCGCCAATTGACTACTCCAGGCGGAGAAATGACAGTCAGAGACACAGAGATGCCAGGCGACAGCAGCTGATCAAAACGAACAAAGCATTCCGCCTCGTAATTGATGCCAAGGGCAGGCTCGCGATACCGCAATGTCCCAAATGCCGAAGTTGGGGTAGAATATAAAAGTGGGGATCGTGAATTCTAAGCGACGCAATCAGAGGCGTCGATGGACCCGACACCGCAAGTCCTTGGAGGTCCATCATGTGGAGATGCGGGATGTACTAAGTTGCGTGCTGAGTTGGTTCCGTCCTATGGTTAATGACCCGTGGGTGTTGAGCCGGCTATGCAATAGGCGAACAATAAGAAAGACCGTGCCGAACAAACGAAGTTTCTCGGGGTTTGAGTTTTGGGGATCGCTTGGTCTAAAGCGAGCGGGAATTCAATTTTCAATCTCCATGGCCCTGGCATCGCCTAGGGCCGGAAGGCGCAGGCGCCACTCCTGCCAGGTTTTAGCCATTTGCCAACATTGAAGATTGCAAGCACAGACCATTGCTCAGCTCCAGATGTCAGTTTGCACCCGTCACGTCTAGGTGCGAATAGAGTCAAGAGGCAATACGACTTCCATTTCATCGCTACATGCTAGGCAAACCATTGGCATACCCGATGCCTTCACTCCTTATCCCGACAATTTGTTTTCACAGTCCCCTGTCCGCGGGGTTAAATCATCAAAGCTCCACCCAGCATTGCCATGCACACAATAGTCAACGCACCACCCCATCCCGCGCTGGTGAGGGACCAAGCATGAAGCGATGATGCAGCACCCGAGTGTGTAGCTGTCGAGGAAGCCGACGTCTTTGATGCAGTACTGGATCCAGAGCCAGATGTAGGTGTAGATGATGAGCCACTGCCCACGAGTGCAGTGAGCTTGGAATCGTCGGTGAACGAGGCCTTGACGCTTGACGCATTCACGCAGGCAGACGGCTTGTCACCCTTGCCATCGACAAAGTTGACAACAGCGCACTACACGGTACGATATACATTAGCATCTTCTCGGACAAGGCAGCGGCCAGCTCACTCACCTGGTACAGAAGACCATCCGTCGCAGACGAAACGACACTAAGAACACCCTTCTTGCCGGCGTATTTGCTGGGCACTGTGACTTGAGGCTCACAAAAGTCTCCCAACCCGCTCTGTTGCACAATGGGGAAGATCTGTTCCCAACCGGATTCAGCCTTCTCATCAGTGGTGACGCGGAAGAGCCAATTGCCTTGAGGGTGGGTGAGCTTCACGGAGATGGCATCACCGCCCACGTGAAAATCGACCAAGTCCTTGGACAAGTCTGGTGTAAATCCACCACAGGGAGCATTGCCTTCATTCGAGTCGTCGAAGCCAATGGATTTGGGGTAGTTGAGGAGAAAGTGGGCGGATCCCAGGCCGCAAAGGGCGGACAGCAGTGCAAAGGACTTCATGGTCATAGAATCGGCAAGCTGCGTGAAAGCTAGACACGGGACGTATGGGACACGGTGACGATGGAAAAGTAGGCCGGATGGTTGGGATGGGCGTCACAGCCTTATAGCGAAAGCTTGGGAAAGGTGGGCGTAACGAACAAGTAACCCAAGGAGGGCCAGGGGATAGGTCGGCTTTACGGCCTGCTCCAGGAAAATGACATTCTTGGCCGAGCTCTGTCAAGCTGCAGATCGCCTACTGATGGCCTTGTCCGGCACGGCATCACGGAGCTCGGCCTCGTGGACTGCTGCAGGGAAGCGCCACTTTGTCGAACTATCCATGTCAACGGCACAGACGTTCCGGATGAGCAGCATAACCCAGGCATCAAGACAAAAGTCAAAGCGGACCATCGCGGCCATGGTGTTGAGGGGCAAGTCGGTGCAGGATATTCACACCGGAACCAGCGGTGGGTCTGGCGTTGGGCTTGGACTAGGATCCCGCATTTGACGTTGACAGTCCAATCAGGGCCGCCACATTTGGGGCAAGTGAGTATGTTTGAGCAAGTTTGTTTCGTGAGGCTGGAGGGAAACCAGCTCAGTCCTGGGGTCTCAGACCCAAGCCCACATTGGGGATGGATGAACAGCTGCCCATCTCGCATTGTTCTGCATGCAGTGGGCCCTGAAAAGAATATTCGGGGAGCAGTGACGCACATAAGCACAAGTGCGGGCTGGATAATGAAGAAGTGTCTACGGAGTACCGATGACACTGGCAGATGGTCAAACTAGTAGGTCTTCAAGGGTCGCTCATTGTGACAGACGCCTTGACTTTTGCCTTCGACACCCTATGCGCTTCATTGGCGGTCGGCGCTTGACCTCCAACCTAGTCAAACCGTGAGAAAGTTTCATCCTCAGCCATCAGACTTTGGGAAATTGGTTTGTGACTGGGAAATTTGCGGCGCATAAAAAGACGGCTTGTTGAGACAGAATTCGTGAGACGGCCCGCCGACACTCCACCAAGCCGCCAACTCCCTCCCGAAGCCATCCGGCTCTCTTCTCGGTCGTCCTCGACAAAACACACAAATCAAGTTTTCCCCGATTATTCGATCCCTGGTATCGCAAACCAGAATCCCCAGGAATCATGGATATGGGAGATATGCACATGCATGATGCGGGCTTAGGCATGGACTACAACTACGCCTTTGCCCGGGACTACTGGTATATTATTGCCGTGGTGGTTGGCGGCTTGACCGCGCTTCGAGGCATAGAGATATATACAGGTAAACAAAGGTACAGTGCGTGATAAAAAGTTTCTCTGCGATATGCATTCTAAGTCTTCGAAACAGGTTAAAGGCTTGCAAGGAAACCTCGATAGAACATGCCACGAGACCAGGGAATCATGTCAGCCAGGCGTGGGCTACCGCAACCGCCATCACCCGCGAGATGAGCCATCCGCAATTGTACGTATCGAGAGTCGGTTTTCGATGGGCTACGCCGCCGCCGTTGGGAAGGATCATGGTCCTTCTGTGCTACTGGGCCATGATTATCTACTTCATGTCCTGGAATGTTGTCAAGAACGACGCGTATTTCTGGGAACGCATCGGCTATCGAAACGCTTGGGTATCCATAATGCAGCTGCCCTTTATCTTCCTCCTCTCCATGAAGTTCAATATAGTGGGCTTTTTGATTGGGAGTAGCCACGAGCGACTGAATTGGCTTCACCGTTGGGTTGCGCGAACCATGTTTGTCACCGCGACAGTCCACGGCTGGCATTTTTGGACCGAATGGGTACGGGCAGACTTTCTTGAGTATGAATTGTCCATTATGCCTCTAGTCAGATACGGACTTGGCGCATGGGGAGTACTGCTCTTCAATGTGGTTGTCGGGTTTGTGCCCATCCGGAGAATGGTGTACGAAATTTGGCTGATACAACACGTGCTATCATCTGTCGCCATGCTGGTGCTCCTCGGTTTTCACATTCCGGCCGACGCACGGTACTTGCTGTGGATGTCGGTGTCGTTCCTGGCGTTCGATAGAGCGGCGAGGGGGGCATTGACAGCCTGGCAGAATACCCGATGGAAGCCAAGCACGTCGGCTTGTGAAGGGATGAGGCGATTAGGACATAGCATGTCCTCACGAGCCATAGGCGACTCAATCACCGTGCTGACCATCAAGGATGTTCATTTCAAGTGGCATGCGGGACAACACATTTACCTGTGGATTCCTCGGCTCGGCTTTTTGGAATCCCACCCATACACCATTGCGTGTGCGCATCAAATCAAGGGCTCGTGCTGTTGCAACAGTATACAGCTCATTATCCGGTCACACGGGGGATTTTCGAAACGCATCCATAATTTTGCTGTCAAGAACCCGGCCAAGACCCTGACTGGATATGTATTGGGGCCATTTGGAGTAACAACCAGATGGGAGACATTTGAGACTCTTGTTCTGATCGGAGCATCAACGGGGGCAAGCTTCACAGTGCCCATCATGGAGTATGTTGCCTACTCAGAAAACACGTCATGCGTGCGGAGATTGGAGATGACACTGGTGGCAAGAACGGCGGAGGAGATGGAATACTACGTGGAAAGGGCTAGAGATGCTGCCAGGAGCGCGCAGGAGAAGGGCATTATGGTACGATTGCACATTGCCATCACAGGCGGCTATTCAGAAACGGATTCCGGAGTACCGCTTGTTCAGCTTCGACGGGACGTCAAGGACGGCTCAACAGAAGGCTCAATAAAAGAAAAGGCAGCCGCCTCGTACTCTGGGAAATCAGTGGAAGACGGTCTACGATCCAGGAGTAGAAACTCATGCTCGAGCACGTCTCGCAACAGCACATCTACTGTGGACATGGTGCGCGAGTACGCGTCCAGACCAGATATTGAGGCTCTACTCCGTGAGCCTGTTGAACAAGCATGGGGGGAGACGGCAGTGGTGGTATGCGGAGGAAAGGAAATCGTGGCGAGGACGCGAAACTGTGTTGGCAAATTAAGTGATGAGCGGGCGGTACACAAGGGGACAGGCGCACAGGGTATCTATTTGCATGTGGAAGAGTACGCATTTTGACGGAGTTTTGACAGTTGGGCAGCGTTTAATTGATTTGGATCTAGTATGAGAAACTCTTTTGATGAGGCGTGCGATTGTAACGGCAGGAAAGACGTGGTTGAAGCGAGAGGATCTCGTTGGAGAAACCCTAATCAGAGCGGAAGCCAAGAGATGCCAAAGGGTCCAGATGCCAACGGTAGCTCAAATGTAAGATTCCTCACGCGTCGGCCAGGACAGATGAGCATCGTGCTCGCCAATAAGCTCCAGTCTTGGCTCTCGGCCAAAAAAAGAAGACGGGACCCCCCTGCTGTGGCTGTCCAGTCCCCAACGCACGACGAACAACAAGGCTCGTCGTGTGCCCACGCAGCAGCAGGCCAAGACGCCAAGCAAAAAGGCTGACAGATGGACAGAATGAATGCCGTCGTGCGTACCAGCCACAGAGCAGGCGACCAGAGCCGTCGCTTGACCGCAACACGATGACCACCCACCGCAGCACCGCGAACAGACAACAGCAAACGGTCAAGTCTGGTTGCATGGTGACTCTGGCACAGCACAAGGCTGACGTTCCCTCATGGCGGCATGGCACCTCCCTGGCTGGGCGACGCTCGCGCGGACAGCGGCCCGCGGCGCAGCGTGGGCGACGGACGTGGCGGCCATCGTGGTGCTCTGCTTCGTTGCGCAGAAATGGACGGCGACGTGCGGGGCCGTGGCGCCAGGAATCATCGGCGTGAGTATTCAATGTTCAGTCTTGACTACTACTATCCCCTTGCCCCCTTGGATGTATGGTCTGGCCTGGCGTCTTCAATGTTCTGACAAGCACGGGGCTCGCAGGCCGTCATCGCCCTGCTCAGCGATAGCTGGCAGATGGTCGCGTTTGCCGACCGCCGGCTGGGCGTGGCGCCCACGAAGCCGCACCGGACGCTCATGCACGACGTCTTCTCGCTGGCCGTCACGCTCGGCGGCGTCGCGCTCATGCTCGTGTCCAACGTGCCGGGCGGGGAGGGCCGCGATCCGGCCAGCCACGCCGGCGACGAGGGGCCCGGCGCCGGAGGAATCGCCCTGCGCCGGTCGACCATGGCGTGGCTGGGCCTGTGGTTGCTCACCGTCATCATGTGAGTGTCTTTGTTTTCCCCCGTCCGACGGCGGCGCGGGCTGATGGCGAGCAGAGTCTTTCGCGTTGGGTTTGCGGCATGGTCCTGTGCCGACTGTTACAAGGAGTATCAGCGCGATGAGAGGCACGCTTCGAGGCGGGCCGACGCCGAGCAGGGGCCGTGAAGAGGAGCACTTGCTGATGGGATGCAATTGGGCTGTGTGTCTCGGCTCCCGGCGTGGCGGCCGTTGGGACGCGTATACATCCCATACGGACCTGCCGTGAACTGCATCCGGCATCCCCTCATGGTGGCCGTGACGCAGGGGTCATGGTGTATTTGCTGGGCTGGAGATGGCAAAAGACGGATGGAGCTGAGAAGCCTGACGGGCAGCTACATGCGCCGGTTGACGGCTGCGGTTTTGCGGTTATTGAGACCATGCACGTGGCCATGCAACACTTTCCCCGCGCTCAATACAGTCGAGATACATGGAGAAACAGGTCGACGGGTTGGGTTTCGCCTGCAGATGGAAATCCGGGTGTGTGCGTCTCGGGCGGCGGACAAGCCTCCCGGTCCCGCGATCCCATCTCCGGTCTCATGGGCTCGTGTCGGTTCTGGATTTGGTTTGGATTCTAGGTTTTGATGACATGTACATATGTGATTGCTCACAAGGCCAACCTGGCAATTCGTCACTACATGTTAACAGGTCTGGTGCTAGAGCTTTCCCCGCTCAGTTGACGGCTTATCACGAGTCTAGGCGCGGCCCGACTCGGCCGAGCATGCTCGACATTGTATATGTAGCAGTAGCTTCTTCCATTGCAAAATACATTACACCGTCCCACGTCATTCCCACGTCTTGTCCACGTCTGGATTGCCAAGAAAAGTGCCCGCAAAGGATGCCAGCCCGCCATGGCGTCTCGGCGCGGCTGAGGTCGCACTTGCGCGACCGCACCGGTCGGATTGGGCCGAAGCATCGAGCGCAACATTGAAGCCATCAATGTACATGGTGCTCGGCCGTGTGCTGCCCTCTCGCCAGTTCGCTAGAGGCCGCTAACTGCGATGCCGAGCCAAACAAACGGCGACGCCGGCGTAGCTCCATGCTACTCGTATGTGAGTTACTCATGGGCAAGCCACGACCAGAGTCACGGTTGTACGGTGTCACTGATGAGGTGCTCTTCTCGCGGAACTGTAATACGAGGGGCGTGTTGACTTTTTATGTTTATCACTTCGTCGGGTGCGGATGGCAGGGGTTGCGCTCCTAGGTTTGTTGTTCGAACTATTGATCCCTTTGATGTGCGCAGGCAATTTTCGTAACGGACAGAGGTTGTAGCTGATAATAATTACTTATTTAAATAATATATGTGTACTTATTAAGAGAGTATATGATAATAAATGGTATTAAGATTTTACAAATACGCAAGTATATAAGAATATATTAGTTATTATTGCTGATAACAAGTATCTTCAAGTACATATGTATCCTTAAGTATCATGAAAAAAGTGGGTTGAATACATCAATTGGAGCTGCGCACATTCAGAGGGATTTACTTCTGTGACACCGTGGTCGTGTTACGTCTGGTTCTACAGACGTGACAAGCTGCCGGGTTGCGACCGGAGTCGCACCGGACAGGTTCTACAGAGTACAGGTGCCGCAAGGGCAAGGAAGGAAAATCTAGCCGGGTACCAGACATATGTACAGCTTCACCATCGGTCCCCTTTCCCGGCGGCAAGGTTTTCTCGGGCCACGAGCCCTTTTGACGGCGGCGGCGCATCCTATCATGTCTTGTGTTCTGTGACCATAATTTCATGACGGCCAAGCGCATCCTGTTGAAAGCACGGCGTGCTGGCTATGTGAATGGCAATGTGCTGCATGTGCGCCTGTCTCTGCTCCTCTTGCCATCTCGGCGTAACTGTGAGTAGCAAGGCGCGCCGTAGTCGTGCGTGCTACCAGACTATATTGGCCACATTGTACATACGTCACCATTTGGCCTGTGCGAGATGATTCATTCGGCTTGTGCCGCCAAGCGCGAGCCGGCCGCCGCGCCAGGGAGCAAACATGGCTACAACGAGCGAGGTTTGCCGACGCAACTAGTACCGGGCCTAAGTAAGACATGTAAGCAATGACGGCGTGTCGCGCGTTGGCACCCGGTCACGAGGTCGTTGGTTCCTGGGAGAGACGAAGTACAAGATGCCGCCGGTCCAACATTGAAGTGACGAGGTGGGTGAGTGGCCGCCACCCGCGACATGGGAAACTTGGAGGAGATCCAATGGACCCTCCCCGCTCGGGGGATGCATGAAATCATCAGGCAGGGGAGCCAGGTGCCGGCTTGGGCTCGATTCTGACTGGCCGGCCCCTGGAGACGGCGCAAAGGTGGCGGAGGACACAAAGAGATTGCCGTGCAACAATGGCTCCAATCAGCAGGCTTTCCAGGGGTGCTGCAAGGGTCTGGTTGTACATATGTACAAGATTCTGGGAGACCTACCGAGTACAAGAGGAAGGATTGACGTCTTGCCCGGGTTGGCCGTTCTTGGGATGGACTGACATGCTGCTCTGGCTGTGCGTGAGGGACGGCGATAATTACTGAGCCAGGGACGAGCTTGACCCTTGCCCGCTCCTCATCATTGACACGCGCCTCGTCCAATCTCAGGACCGACTTTGACTTTCTCGGACGAGGCGTCGTGTAGCCCCGGCCCAACATCCCAAGTAACCGCCGTCGGTGAATCCGTAGATTCACAGGCTGGTTAGCCGAACATTCAACCAGATGTCTTCCATGCACACGGAGGACGTATGAGTGATGGGGTGCCTGTGTTTGCTGCATTGCCTTCTCCCCGGCCGGTCTCAGCCACTCATCACCGATGCAACACATTTACCCCCCATCAGACATATATTTCTACTCGTGTCTGTTCCTCATTCTCCTTCTCCGTCTCGTCCATGTTTTCTGTTTCCGTTGAAAGCTCACTGGGCGTCGTCGGACAATCCCGCCTGTATACCAGCTCCGAGTTGGCTCCGTGACTGGGCTTCTCATCCAACTCGCATAAAACCCCCGAGTATACATTGAGCCAGCCTTTTTCTCTTCTTTTCTCGAACCAAGGCTCCCCGTCCACCAACACCGTCGCCCTTCCTGGCAGCCACCAACCCCCTTTGTGCCGTGTACGCCTCCGACACCATGGGCAATGGGCACAGCACTCCCTTGCAGCAATGTTTGAACACAATCTGCCACGGCCGCAGTGGCTGCGTCGGATACCCCAGCGACCCCTTCTACCAGCTGTCATGGGTGAAGCCCTACAACCTGGCTATTAAAGTCACGCCGGTGGCCGTTATTCGGCCCAACACGGCCGACGAGGTCGCCGAGGCCGTCAAGTGTGCTGTGCAGAGCCAAGTCCACGTCCAAGCCAAGTCGGGTGGACATTCGTACGGGTGAGTTTTACCGTGGGTTGTGCCCGGGGATAGCAGCCGTCACGGCCGGTTTCGACTAACACGTTGTTGCAACGCAGCAACTACGGCCTCGGGGGCCAAGACGGCTCCCTCATGATCGACATGGCCAACTTTAAACACTTCACCATGGACACGACGACCTGGCAGGCCACCTTTGGCGCGGGCTACAGGCTCGGCGAGCTCGACCACCAGCTGCATAAACACGGCGGCCGCGCCATGGCCCACGGCACATGCCCGGGCGTCGGCGCCGGCGGACACGCCACCATTGTGAGCAACCCAAAGTCCACGTCAATCCCATCTCCCCCCTGATGCTGACAATACGCCCCCCCAATCCAGGGAGGCATCGGCCCGTCGTCCCGGATGTGGGGGACGGCGCTCGACCACGTCCTCTCGGTGCAGGTCGTCACGGCCGACGGGCACGTCCGCACGGCCAGCCGCGACGAAAACGCCGACCTGTTCTGGGCGCTGCGCGGCGCCGGCGCCAGCTTCGGCATCGTCACGCACTTCACCGTCCGCACGCAGCCCGCGCCCGGCCACGTCGTCGAGTACACGTACGAGTTCCGCTTCGGCAGCCAGCACGAGATGGCCCCCGTCTACTCGGCCTGGCAGGCGGTCGCCAACGACCCCGACCTCGACCGCCGCTTCTCCACGCTCTTCATCGCGCAGCCCCTGGGCGCCGTCGTCACGGGCACCTTCTTCGGCACCCGGCGCGAGTACGAGGCCTCGGGCATCCACGGCCGCATGCCGGCTGGCGGCGCCGCCGCCCTCCGCCTCACCGACTGGCTCGGCTCCCTGGGCCACATGGCGGAAAAGGCGGCCCTCGCGCTGAGCGACCTCCCGACTCAGTTCTACGGCAAGTCGCTCGCCCTGCGGCGCGAGGACGCGCTGTCCCCGGACGCCGTCGCGCGCCTGTTCAACTACACCGGCGCCGCGGACCCGGGGACCCCCTTCTGGACGGTCATCTTCGACTCCGAGGGCGGCGCGATCAACGACGTGCCCGCCGGCGAGACGGCGTACCCGCACCGCGATAAGCTCTTCATGTATCAGTCGTATGTGATTGGGCTGCCGCTGAGCGAGAAGAGCCGGAGGTTTGCAGAGGGCATCCACGACATTATTCAGAGGGGCGCGCCGGGCGCGAATACCCGGTATGCAGGGTACGTGGACCGCGAGCTGGGCCGCGCCGAGGCCCAGCGGGCGTATTGGGGGGACAAGCTGCCGAGGTTGGGGGAGATCAAGGCGCGCTGGGATCCGGGCGATGTCTTTCACAACCCGCAGAGTGTTGCGCCTGCCGACGGGGTCGGAGGGGGCTGAAATACCTGTGCTGCCTTTTCGAAAGGTACCCGACTTGGGTATGTGAGGGCTTGGCGCTGGTACTTTCTTTCGTTGTAGGACCCGGACTTGGGGAATCAGTTCAGGGAGGCATGGCTCATGGCGTTTTTTTGTTTGCAATTTGTTGGGAACGTGGGATTGTGGGTTTGGAACGGGGGAACTAGTCCTCAGTCTCCTCGTGCGAGCACCTGGACGTGGTACATATGCAGCACGTGTACTGCCTTTTTTCCAATTCATCTTATTATATTCTTGGCGTTGGATCAAATTCAAATCCTTGTTCCACCTACTCGCAGTCGAAGCCTTGTACGGCCGTTGCTCATGGACGCATCTGCAATACCACCACCCTCTCCAACCCTCCCGCAAACTCTATGCGGAACGGCGTAAAGGCTTCATGTCGGTGATTTGCTCTCGGCGCCACTGATAACTAACGGCTAGCTAGGGTCAAGACTGAAGATGCGCCATGATTTGTGTACGAGTATATATAGTGCCTATATATGTGTATTAGTTGTCCCGCGTGGACTCCCTCCGGCCGGACCGCGATGCATTCCTTCACGAATCCATTGCATCTTTCGGGTACTGATTCATTGTCGATTGATAACACCAATTGGTCTTGGAGCCGCCCATTTGTCCTTGCGAGCGTGTACGTACAGAGGCAACTCACTTCTAGGACGACTTTGACGTCACCAACGCCGCCAAGTATTCCCAAGCTATGCAGGTCCCGTCAATGGTCTTTATACTCGGCGCACTAGAGCCCAGCTGCGAATTGACCAACAGATGGAAGCGATTCTTTAGCACGGCCGGTCGTCGTCACCGGGTACGCCGGCCGGACCGGGCGGCAGCGACATGTGCTTCCACGCCGACCACCCGGCCTGGCTGGGGCTGCGGTGCGTCCTGTCGATTATGTTTTTTTATAGACGAGTGTGGGTGTGTCGGAGGTGTGAGCGCGGCGGGCTGTTGGACTTGGAACATTGACAATAGACACGAAAATGGAAACAAGACGGCATCTATTAGATATGGATTGGTAGATAGAGGTAATACGGCGCCATTGTACCCCCTCGACCGCAGACTATGGCCGCCTGGGCAAGCTGACAGGCTGACAACCTCCACGTCAGTTTGCGGCCCACAGACAAGGGACTTGGGCGATTCCCGAGACAGAAACAATGGATACCAGATGCTCACTTGACGTTTGTCCAGCTTCGTACGGAGTGGTATCAAAGGATAGGGGACCCATTGGATGTGGGGGAACACGAGGTGTGCTGGGGTCCCTGCATGCGAATGGCTGGGGTTACAGATCTGCTGATATAATGTCGTACATAGTCTGGGGGCGTGTTCCGTGTTCGTCCCGAATCTGGTTGGTTGGTTAGCTGATGTTGTTCGGGTTAGTGTCGGTATCATCTGTCATGTCGTCTTGCGCGGCAGGCTACGGGAATCCGGGGTGGGGGCTCCGCATGCGGGTGGAATTTTTGACATGATGCCATTGAATCACCTTATAAGACGATGGATGACGATGAATGATGCGGCGGAATACGAGTTGATAGCATGTCACTCGGTGGATGGCGTTCGTGGAAAGATGTAGTAGGTGATGGCATGTGATGCGGTGGAGTAGAGCGGTCTGGTGAAATATCAATGGATCAATTGATATCAATATTGGCAAAGAAATAAGGGCCGCTGACTGGCACTAACCTAATTGAAGGGCGAATGCCTTTGCGCCTTCCTCAGCACTGTCTCAGGCAGTCTCGTGGTGCCAAGACGGAAAGTAGGAAAACCAAGAGCTGGCAATATATTGTATTGCTCCGCCATTTTCATGTGCAGTAAATTGGCACCGGGGTGCGTTCAGTGCATGTGATGGCCGGGATCAATTCCATTCATGTCCATCTGTCCATCAGTCCGCAAATTGCGCCCCGCAGACCCGGCCTTCATTTCAAGCGCCATGGTTGCGTCGAGCAACATCTGGCCTCGCATGTTGCCATGGCTGGCGGCTTGCTGGTAGTTTATTGCCGTTGCACCTTTGCATGTTGCCATCGATGACGCCGCTCAAAGCTCTGCGCCCAAATGAAACCCTCCTTGGCCGTCCGCCAACATCGGCGGCATCGCTTTGATACGCCTCAAGTTCTTATTTCCGCGCCGCATTCCCTGCGGCCGTGGGTTCCGCACTCGGAGCGGGGTTGACCCGGGCCCCCAGTCAGTCCTGGTTTCCTTTTTTCAATTAATTCATCGTCAAGTCAACACGTGGTCTGTGCTTTTTCCTTGGCCCTTCCCATGGCCCGCTTGGCACTAAACGATGCAGGGTCTCCCTCGTGACGATCCCCATCAACAACTTGAACCCACCTTATTTTTAATTACCCAAGAAACTTTGCGCCCAAGCTTGTTTTCCTTCTCGTCGTGTTTTCCCCTTCACCCGTCAGTCTGCCAACATTCGTACTTGTGTGGACAGTTGGATATATCATGAATAAGGGTCAGACAGCTTTTCTATCCCATCTGAATCATCTCGGGCGCCACCTGCGCATCCGCGACGTCGTGTCGTGACCGTCAAGACTTGTCCTCCTTTGCAGCCCCTACCATCTCCCGCCGCCGACCACCAGACACTTTATCATTTCCGACGTGGCCATGGCCGACACTGACCATCAACCTGCGGCCACCGATCACGCTCAGATACAGCGGGATGCCTCGGACGCTGCAGCCCGAGCCGCGATCCCCCCTTCCCCCCCGATGCCTTCGTCCGACCCCGGTCTCGCCATTGTCGACCACGACGGCAGCGCCGCCGACCAAGACGACCTCTTTAAACTACCCGCTGCCGAAGCGCTGCGCCTCCTCAGCGCCAGCGTCGAGCTCCTGGTCCTCATGACGGGCGACATCCCCCCGACGCCGCCGCCCAAGACGCCCACCGACCCCCAGATGACGGGCATGCAGGTCGAAAAGGACAACATGGTCCGGTCGCGCTCCCAGCAGAGCCTGGCGAACGCGAGGCAGCAGGCCGAGCGAGCAGCCGCCCACCGGCAACACGGCGACGCGGGCGAAGCGACGAGCGGCATCGACAGGCTGCAAGCCTACAGCGCTTCCATGTCTGCCCAACTCGCGGCCCAACAGCACGCGTCTGCGATGCCATCCACGTCCGCGGAACCCATAGACGGCGTCAGGCTGCGCCAGCACCCAGACGCCGACGCGGAGCCGTACATCATTGTCGGCGCCGACTCGCGGCCCGTCAACCTCCAGCACGGCGCCATCACGCGCAAGTTCTACAGCAAAAAGGAGCCGCCGATCCCGATAAGCCAGTACCTGCTGCGGCTGCACAGGTTCTGCCCCATGAGCACGGCCGTCTACCTCGCCACGTCGCTCTACATCCACCGGCTGGCCGTCGAGGAGCGCGCCATCCCGGTGACGAAGCGCAACGCCCACAGGCTGGTCCTGGCGGGGCTGCGCGTCGCCATGAAGGCGCTCGAGGACCTGTCGTACCCGCACGCCAAGGTCGCACGCGTAGGGGGCGTCAGCGAGGTCGAGCTGGCCCGGCTGGAAATCAGCTTCTGCTTCCTGGCTGGCTTCGAGCTCGTCGTCGGCGAGGAGCCGCTGCGGAGGCACTGGGAGGAGCTGCGCGACGGCAGGGCCCAGCAGGCTCTTAGGGGCATGGACGTGCCGACCTTGAAGTTGAGCAAGAGGCCTAGGGAGATGGCGCAGGCAAGCGGGTGATGAAACACACATATATCGGATGGGCATGGGACGGGACGGGATGGGCGAGGGGGTCTAGGGTTGCATCTTGGTGTTTGGCCGGCGTATCATGGTCTTGGGTAGCGAATGGGTTGCGCTTCGGTAGGCGTGTGTATTATTAGAATGGAAAATGGGATATCTGTAATGAGTGACGGCTAGCGAGTGGCGGGCGGGCATGATGCATCGAGTCCATGGCGTTGTGTTGGCGGGTTTCTTTTTAATATGAACGGGCGTTTTCTTGACCCAGCCTTGCTTTTGTAGTTTTGTTCTTTTGGAGTGTCCGATGGTGAAGGGCCGGTGATGAGCTCGGGCTTGTGAACAAGGTCATCTTGCGCAATGGCTGCGTGAAGCTTTGTTTCGACAGCACCTCTAATGTGATAATCTAGACGTATGACTCTATTGGGTTAGGGTACCTACCGGCGCACTTTATTACGAGACCGGTTAAAGTGTTGTCTTTTATCACGCCGATGAGCTAGAGACCTTGATCGTTTATGCTGCTCAATAGCTTGGCAGCATCTGACTACCCTACAATTGCAAATGGTGGTTTGAGTGCCTTCTCTATGGGATAGCTTCGGGACTGTTTGCACACGCTACAAGACCAAAAATGCCACATCTGCATGCTTGCCTAGGTACCTCTGCCCTCAAGTTTGCGAGGCGGAAACAGACACGTCGGGAGACTCCGTGGTTGCTGTGCGGGTAATGACAAGCCGGCCGACTCATGAGCCACGACGGCGCATGGGGGATCCAGGGCCTGACATTGCCAGCTCTTCATGCATTTACATTGCTAAGGGCTAAGCGAGGCCAAGGTATTTGTGGTCCTTTTAACACGACGATTTTCAAGGTGTATTACCCGATACGTTGAAGCGATGCCCTCGATTCCACGTCTATTCACGACAAATATCACGTCTTCATCACGAAAGTAGCACAAGACCAGGTTATTTACCGGCTCAAAGGAGCGTAATGAGGTATCAATTAACAAGACTATGTTATTACAATCTCAGCCTTGGCAGGCTCGGCATGCAAAGGAGCGAATTGCAAGCAGCAAGACAACGAAAACCATGTCAAATTGCGCATTCTGCCATTGTGCTCTCCCCCCATTCAACAAAACACCATCAACTGCCAACTCGCAAGAAAGGATTGTGTGTGCGTGTGTGCGGTCAACATTATAAAAGTCGTGTGTATCATAAGTCGGCCACCGAATCGGCTTTTAGGAGATGGTGATGCGGCGCGCCTCGGGCTTCTTGGCCTTGGGCACGGAGACGCTCAGGATGCCGTCCTTGAAGCTAGCCGAGACGGCGTCATGCTGCACCGGCGCCGGGAAGTTAAAGGTGCGAGAGAACTCGCCGACGCTGCGCTCGGTGAGCCAGTACTTGTACTGGGGCGCCTGGGGCTCGGCCTGCGCCTGCTCGGCGGCGGCGGCGGCGGCGCCCTCGTCCTCGACGGTGGCCTTGTGCGAGGGCTCGCCGCCCTGGGTGATGGCGGGCTTGTCGGTCACGTCCTCGATCTGGCCGGCCGACGGGGTGCCCTCGGAGTAGGAGCGCTCGGCCCTGCCGCGGACCGACATCGTCTGCGGCTCGGTGAATTCAATGTGGACCGTGTCCTTGTTCATGCCGGGCAGCTCGCCGTGCAGCTCGTAGGCGTCGTCGGTCTCGCGGACGTCAAACTTGGGCTGCCAGATGGAGGCGCCTGCGCGTCGGCCGTTGGGCTGGCCGCCCGCCTGGCGGGTGTAGCTGTCAAAGTCGTCGAGGAGGCGGAAGAGCGGGGTGAAGGATGAAGCGTCGGCTTCGTAGAAACCTCGTGGGAAGAAGGACATTGTGCGTGGTGGTGTGGTGATGGCCGGGACGATGTTGCGTTGTAGAGTTCGTAGGATGCCGGTGGGCCGAGATGCTCTGAAGCACTGCATACAACTGTTGTGTTGGTGATTTTGTGTCTTGTCAAGATGTGTTGGATTTCGGGTTGAGGAGGAGGGGATGACGGTCGCATTTTATGCTCGAGAGGGAGATGAAGCAAACGCCGTGTCGGCGGGGGCCTAGAGAAAAACACGCCATTGTGGTTGATTTCTGGAAATGTCTAGAAATCAGCTACGCAGCATTGACGTACTCGGATGCGTGTGAGCTGTGGCAGTTGGAAAGCTCCCGATGCCAGTTGAAGCTGCTCGTGCTGTGGCGACATGTCCAGAACCTACCAGAACCTACCAGAGGGGACCTGACCACCCGATCGGGCAGGTGGGGCTGTCAACCTTGCCACAGTGGCACCAGCTAACGTCAACTGGTTGCTGTACATAGCTCCCCAGGGTAAGAAAGTACGTAGCTGTTACGGACTCGAGCTTAGAAGCTCGGGTCTTGGTTAGGGCCCTTACGGATCCGACCCAGACCTGGACCGGATAATCATCGGATAAGAAACGCATTTAAGTAAGGATTTTTTTTCCCTTTAAAGAATATATACGTGTAATAGCAAGTATAGCCAGTCTATTATAATAGCTGCAAGCTAATAACGTATAATAGTAATAAATTAATAGTTGAGAGGCAATTTCCGCTTTTTTATAAACTACTAATATATATTACGGTGCCTAATACTAGCCTTAGCTTGTATTGCTCCTAGCCCGGCCGCGATACTAGCTTGTACAAAGCTGTACCCTATAGGAGTATTCGCCTTACAATATATTATATCTTACTAAAACTACAAAACTTACACTACAATTAATACTGTGCTTACCTGATCAGAGCTAAGAGGTAATATAATAAATTTTAGGGTGAAGCGTGTTTAGTGGTCCCTTTTTTATGCGTATATAGTGCTGTGCTAGGGAATTCCTACGGGCATAACGCTTTAGCTACCGGGCATGACGCTTTGGCTACTGGGCATAATACTTTGGCTACTTTGCATAATACTTTGGCTATACGGGCATGACTCGTACCACTTTTAATTGGTTGTATACTTTCTTGGGCCCACAAGCGCTTTGTCGGCAAGGCCATGTAGCCAACTTTATTGACATGCTCCTATATTACCATTAATGCAGTGTCACTTGTTGGACGCAGTTGGTCTTCTGCTATCATGCTTGCAAGCCTGCATTTCAGATCAAACCAAAACTACCGTCCTTGTACTGTCAGCCAGCAACTATCTCAATACTGGCAAAAGGTGTGATATAGGTCTACTTGATTTATTGCCTCACAGTACTACAATCTGCATCTTCGTCGTATCTCTTGGCCAATTCCCATTGACTCCTTGTCCTCCGTCCACTGCACCGCATGCCTGTCGTATTCCAGCATTTAGGACTTGAAAAGGTCTACCTGGCTGTTGCTGGGTCGGCAAGGGCCAGGTACTTTCGGCTAAAGTGGCAGAATCAGCGTCTTTAACAAAGATCATGCGATCAAGCAAAAGCGGCAAAAGTCATGCTCGTGTAAGAGTCATGCCCGTGTATTATTTTTTTTTATGCTTATTACTTGGGCTCTTTATATAAACTGTCTTTTCCTTTCCTCTATTTTACTTTGTATTAATTAACTTATCCAGTTTGCTTCTTTTGATTCCCAACGTTGATCCTCTCTTTTCTTCTCTTTCTCCTCTTACTCAAAGTAAAGGCCACTTATTTGCCATGCTGCCAGGCGCATTGGCCATTCGGCTGCTGGGATTGACTGCCCATGCCTCGTTTATAATTGCCGCAGCCGCAGCATCAGCTCCTGGGGATCAGGCGGCCGAAGAGCTGGTGTATCGTTGTGGCAATACCCACCCTTCCAAGGAGCTTGTGGATGCACACGAGGAGCTTCAAAAGAAGGAACAGCAGCACAAGACTCGCTCCATCGATGCAAACGAAACCATCAACATTGATACGTACTTGCATGTTGTCATGTCCCACCAAGACAACCAAACCCTCGCCAGTGTACGTGAAGCTAGCTAGACTGACATGGTTGCTTTATGGTCCAGGACTCGACTAACAAGACAAAACACGCACAGGACACAATGCTGAACAACCAGATGGACGTGCTAAACAAGGCCTTTGAGGAGTCCAAGTTCCATTTTAATCTCAAGAAGATTAGGCGAGTCAACAATGCAACATGGGCAGTGAAGAATGATAGCCTTGCAATGAGAAGTCAGTTACGTCAAGGCGATCAAAAGACTCTCAATGCTTATATCCTCCAGGGACTCGAGGGCTTTGTTGTCAGCGAGGTACACAAGGGCTATAACCTCGGCGAGGCATTGACCCCGGATCAGTGGGGTCTCCATGGCCTTGAAGCCGACCTTGTGAATATAATAGTTGGAACAATTCCTGGGGGTTCTAACACGAAATTTAACGGGGGAATCACGCTAGTCCACGAGGTTGGCCACTGGCTCGGTCTCCTGCATCCTCATGAGTATGGCTGCGACGGGGGCGACTTTATCGACGATACGCCTGCCATGGCGCGGCCTGATTACAAATGCACGCGAGGTTTGGATTCTTGTCGCGGACCAAAGTATAAAGGAGAGGACCCAATCCACAACTATATGGGTTATGGCCCCGCGTAAGAGACCAGTCGGCACATTGCCTTGCTTGTCCCACGTATTAAGAGACTAATTTTTATAGCTCCTGTCTTTATGAGTTCACCAAAGACCAGAGGAAACGAATGCGCGACCTGTGGGAAAGGTTTCGCCTGTTCAAGAACGTACCAGAGATATCATGGAAGAAGGATTGCCAAGCTGCACTCCTTCCCCTGTACACTGATTGTAAAGCGGACAAGAGTAAAAAAAATGAGACGTGTGCAACAGAATTGGTGGAAAATGCGTACTTGCCTTGCACCCCGTTATCACCAACCACGAAGCGAGAATGCTTGGATCGATTCGCGCGCTACAAGGAAAAGTGCAACTCAGAATCTTGCAAGGAGGACTTTGTCAACAGTTACGAGAGGTATTGCGCGGCGGATCGACGCGTCTTCTCTGACGCATCGAATGACGACCAGAAGCCAAAGCTGTCGCAAACAGAGGCAGGCAAGCAGTGGAGGCTGGTGTGCAGACAGGCCACGATGCTGGTCCAGGAGCAGTGCACGAAAAGCGAATGTCAGAAGGAGATGGTCTGCGGCAGTCTCTTCACGCGATGCGCAAAGGCACCACAAGACAGCAAGCAGTGTCAAGATGTGCTTGACCCGCTCGTCAAGCTTTGCGAGACGGACAAGTGCCGACGAGGCCTCGAGGCCCTCAAGAGCAAGGAATGTGTTGCTGGCAAGGATCCCGTGGCCGAGTACAACGGCGGCATCGTGACCGACTGGGATATTCACGGGGATATGGCTCCCATTACTCGGGACGAATGGAGAAAACGCTGCAACGAAGTTCCTAAAGCCATGGTCCGGAGTTGCGAAGCGGACAAGGCGTGCATTGATAACGTCAAGTCCCAAAATTTATCGTCGTTTTGTCAAAAGGACCGACCACAATTCCAGGTTGACTGCAAAGCCGAATTTGCTGCAGCGACCGTTTGGGCTTGTGCGTCAGAGAAATGCAGGAATGAGGTGCTTGATTTGGAAAACAAGGCATGCGCTGGAAGATCAAGCATTTGAACATTGAAAGGTCGTCGCTTGGGACCGTTTTTTTTTACTCGGTAGAAGTCAATAGCTTTTGGGGCGAGCACAACATCAAGGACAATGTGGATGAAAAAAAAAAAAAAAAAAAAAAAAAAAAATTATCTGTTTAGTAAAGGCGAGGTAGGACATACAAAAAATTATGCACAAAAGTTGACGAATAGAGAAAAATGCACAAAGTACATACATGGACCTTGAACTCTAGCCCCGTATCAACTACTTGAGCTTCACGGGTCGGCACTGTTGGGTTTCCTCCCAATGTCATCGCCACCCACTCCTCTGAGGGACATGGCAGGCTTGCCTTGCAGACACCATCCGATTCCTTCATCATCACGGCCATACGTAATGCGTCGACAGTGTTGGACTGCGAATCTCCAATGGGAGCAGTATATGTCTGGTATTTTAGCCACATGTGCCAATTGGGAGCAGTATTATAGTATGCATGCATGTGACTACTAACCAGATTCGGCCAACTGGCCAATGATAATAGAGCCCACTCGTACAACAACATTATTGAAATGTTATGCGCAAGGTCTTCGTGTTTCACATGCCCGAAAGGGCAACATCTTTCCGTACTGCTGCGTCATGAACAAGACCTCTAGGCGGCTCAAAAGCGACAAGTAAACATCTACAACTCGTCAGCTTATCCTCACTCGGTGACCTCTCGTTCCCCGTGCTCACCAGCAGCCAGCCACCGACGGCTCAAATACCCGAGCGAAAGGCGCACCGCCTGTGCATTCCTGGCATCCAACGACTCCGAGTCCCGGCCCAAGCTGCGCTTCATGCAGACAGCGGATACCTTGTACATGAGATACAATAAGAACGGTGACATGAAATCGCACAATCTCGTCATGTGGGCGTCGGAGAAGTGTAGCGACATGTTTAAAGCGGCTTGCAGAATCGACGAGGTTTCGCTCGACAGGTCGCCCGCGCCGTGCTGTTGATGCCCCGGGGGTAACAGCGTCGGGTGGTCGAGAAGCAGGATGCCACTGCGTGCCAGTTAGCCCGTGGTGTCAATGGCAAGTCACGATCCGGTCAGGGCAAAAAACGCGCCTGTAGCAGACTGCCATTTGCGTACAGAGCTCCAACTGTCTCATGTCGGCCTCGATTCTGGAGACATTCACCAGCGAGAAGATGGTCCGTCTCAGCTGCGTCGTATCGCTCGACCTGTCGGCGACTTGGTGCAGCACCTGGCTCAGGAGGTGCGCGGCTTGGGCGAAGCGCGCAAACCGGCCGAGGCGGAGGCTGATGGCGGATCCGAGCGTGAATGCGTTCCCGGCACCAGATGTCTGTTGGACAAGGGATTCAGCAACATGGCCAAGTCACGTCCAGAGGCCACTCACTCCAGAGTCCCATTCCTCGTCATCAATGGGCAGGTAGCTGGTTGAATCGGGGTCTGCCGTCACAAGGTGGCGCATCGGGTCGCACAGATTCATGAATCTAGTGGCGTCAGGGCTGGTCCTCGATGTGAGCCCGATCCTGACATGACTTACCTGTCGAGAACCAAGATGGACCACCACACCCGACGGGCTTCTTCCAAGTCTGGCACCTTGGTTGCGGCCAGGTCCCTCGAGACAATCGTCTTGTCGACCCCGAGCGCGGTACCGTATCGAGCACACTGCGCGACAGAAAGGTAGGCGTCGGGGTACAGCCCGTGACCCATCTCATACAGCGCGATGAGGATACCAGCTTGCAGCACCAGAAGGCTCAGGGTTCCGGATCGCTCCATGTCGGCATGGAGCTGTCGAGCCGTCCGGTAAAGATTCGTCCTGGCATTCGTCACACGCGAACTGCACAGCTTCATTGACAAGACCAGCAGGAAGAACTCGGCCCGCTGGTGTGTCATTCTCCTGATAAGAGATTGCGAGAAGCCCACCTTGGAGACGATGGGCATCCAGGTGTGCACCGTCTCAAAGAAAAATTGAGCGGTGGCCTGTATATCCTGCACATCTCCAACCAAGGCCTCCACATCGTCCGTCACAAGGGACTCTACTTCCAAACCGGGAAGCTCAAGCTGCGCAAACGCAAACAGCTCCGGATCCATGAACCGCTCCGCCAACAAATTCGCTGCGGTTGCCGACACCACTGGCACTGGGCGTCTGGCCAAGGATGACTCTGGACTGGCTACACTGCTCCCGGCAGCGGGCGACGCCGCCTCTGACGAGTTTCGTAATTCCCTCCGTTTCCGACGATGGGGATACGAACATGGGATATTCTTTCTGGAGGTCTTGGGTTAGATGCCGTACATGGCGGCTTGGGTGGGTTGCTTACTGTGTGCAGAGCGTGCACTCGGGATGAAGACGATCGCATTTTCTCTTTGCCTCGCGACATCCTAGGCACGAGTATGGGGACACTGAGGCTGGGGGCATGTGTTTCGCGGGCATTATGACCAAAGAGTTTGTTCGTGTCACGACAGAAAGGGAGCAGAGGTGTGATATGAGGCTGCGGATTTTTGCGGCATTAAGTGGGGCAAGGAAATGTGGAAGATTGATACGATGGTCGTTGCGGCACGTTGCGGACTTTTGCGGGCTTTTGCGGACAAACGGCGGCAATTCGCCCGCAAAAAACGCCGGATATCCGTGGGCCGTGGCGTCCGGCAACTGCCAGCCATTACTAATTGTTCCGGCAAACATTGTTACACAAATAAACTCGGAATAAAGAGTATTCCGCTTGCTCTTAGCGGCCATGCTTTCATAATCGGGCTGTACGCTTTGTCCTATGGGCAGAGCACAAATATGCAATGGGGCGATGCTTAGCAATACACGGATGTGATGGAATCACGTCTGGTGCCTCGAGGTGCATATAAGGGGTTGAATCCGGATCAACAAACAGCATCTTCTCACATCGACACCATTACACTATTAACAGTTTAGGATTACCGTCTTCCTACAACCTTTGACTCCAATCACAGCACAATCCAGGCACAGACCAGTCTTGCCCCAACCATACAATACACTCAACATCAACCCCTAAACATCAGCCCCTCAACTTCAAGCCCAAGCAAAATGACTGGAGATATCGTCCTGGTATGCCTTCTCCGCACCCAAACACGGTTGCACAGTATCTAACAAAGCCCCAGTTGACCGGCGCCACCGGCATGATCGGCTTCAAAACCCTCGTCGAGCTCCTCGAAAACGGGTACACGGTTCGCGCGGCCGTCCGCAACCAGGCCGGCTTCGACAGGATCTCCTCCCTGCCCTCTCTGCAAAAGTACAAGCCCCCACAACTCACCAGCTTCATCGTCCCCGACATCACCGTCCCCGGGGCCTACGACGAAGCCGTCAAGGGAGCAAAGTACATTGTGCACGTCGCGTCTCCGATACCAGACAACAGCGGACAAGACCATGAAACCTCCCTCATCCGGCCCGCCATCCAGGGCACCGTGGGAATACTCGAGTCCGCGCTCAAGGCGACAGGGATCAAACGGGTGGTAATCACAGCCAGCGTGGCATCGATTGCGAGCAGCGCCCGAATGGCAACCGGCGAGGTCATCAACGGTAAGGGTCCCCCATCCCCCAGACACACGCGGAAATACCTACCTAACAATGTTGCAGAAAATACCCTCGACGTTGAGACGCAGCCTCCATTCGCAGACGACTTGGCCGCCTACGCCGCCTCCAAGGCCCTCGCGTACCAGGCCACCAGGGACTTTGTATCCGCGCACAAGCCGCCCTTTGACGTGATCAACATCATGCCCGTGTTCGTGTTTGGCCGCGACGAGACCGTCACGGAAGCGGGCTCCATTGCCAAGGGGACCAACGGCATCCTCATCGGCCCTCTTCTCGGCCACGCGGGCGGATACCCCCTTCGCGGGGCGAGCGTGCACGTCGACGACGTTGCGAGGATACATGTGCTCGCGCTGGATCCCAAAGTCCCGGGGAACCAGGACTTCCTGGCTGCCGCGGCGGAGGCCGGGGGCGTCGACTCTGCCCGGTCGTTTGAGATTGTCAAGAGGCGGTACCCGGGGGAGTATGCGGACGGCGTGTTCAAGTTTGACGGCGGCGCGGAGCCGTCTGCCACGGGGGCCAGGGTGGACGGCACAAAGGCTACTAGGGTCCTGGGGGTTCAGTACAAGACGTTTGAGGAGCAGGTTGTTTCTGTTGTGGATCACTTTTTGGAGCTCACTGGCAGAAAGTAACGGTTGCTGGTATTAGTGCCGCTGGTCGAGGAGGCGTTGCGGTAGTGAAGTGCGTTTTGTCTTGTTAGACTTGCGTGACTGGAATAGGGGAATTTTGTGCGTTGAGATAGAGAGCCCGGTTCAATGTAAATAATGGGTGTATTTGTGGATAGAATATAGGGGAAGAGCTAGATTTGGCTTCGTTTGTCATATCCGGTATACTTGGCCTGCTGTCCGCAGTGAAAGTGACGGCAAAACACATTGCTCATTTATAAATGTTGCCAAGTATAAGTGTGAGAGAGCTACAGAATTCTAGTTATTCCTTGTCTCGTGGAATTATTCTCACAATCGAGTCGGTGTTGGCAATTCTAGACTATGACTGCTTATACTACTAGACTGACTGTCAAAAAGTTACATGGTGATGGGATATGTCATTGTCATGCCATTGTTATCCGCCATTAATGTTTAGAGATTTAATTAAAGAGAACCTAGACCGATAGCTAAGCTATTAGGGGCTTCTACCCTCTAAGCCTTACCAATAGTCCCAGGTGCCATTACAATAATCAAATCACGCCCCGCGACACCAACGCACCACACCTACACCGACTCAAGGGGCCATGTCCTCACTTGCTATAGCGAGGGTGCAGCTGTGTCATCTTTACTCAAGGTTCGCGGGCCATGACCTTGGATATCAATAGTACACGTTATATTCTGATTTCATGGAGAGGCTATACACATTCAACTCCAACTTCAATGTTATCGCCACGTGGGACTCTTACACTGGGCCTTTGGTGGGTTGGATCGTTGGCATTATTGAAACCTTTAAAATCAGCTGACTAGGCGCAACCTATTGCCTACTTGCTAAATTCGCTTCGGGCTCAATTACTGGCATGTGGGATACGCCTTGTCGTATATGTTGCGATGCAAGGGCGTGCCACCTTTTCAAAGAGAGTATTGTCACTTGCAGAAAGGAGCATGCAGCCGGCATGGCTGTGATACCACGTGTAGGGCAGGAGAGAACTGGGGTTCGCTCCCGTTATGCTATCCAAGGATACCAGACATGTACATGTCTCTTTCTCAGCAATCTATAAACATTCCAACACGGTACGAGTTCACAACGGTCCATCCACCGCCCACGAACCGCTCACGCAGAGCCATCTACCCATGCCATATTGAGCATCTGTTTGTTACAGTATACTTATAGAAGGACTTTAGTTCTTTCCAGCATAATCATATTTCCCAGTAGCCGCGTTCCACTGACTGACAAACTTTGCCACGTCGAAGCCCCACGGACCGCTGGCATCGTGCTTGTCATCGCAAACGCTCGTGTCGCCTCTTGCGAGGGCGTCGCAGTAAGGACTATGTGTTGTTAGGACTGTAGGCACCCGAGGACAAAAAATCATTCTAGCTTCTTACCCCAGTTCTCCGGTGAACTCCAACTCAAACCATGTCCCTTTGCTGGCTCCAGCAGCCGTGCTCTCGGGGTCAAACTGCAGGATCTTATTCGCCCTGTACAGATTGGCCAGTTGAGCTCCCTGAGTGGATTGAGACGCTCCGTTGACAGGAACCAAGTACGCCCTTCGGATAAGGTTAGTTGACGGCCTGGAAAGACGGCTCGAGGCTACATGTGGCAACGTACCCGGTTCCGCCCTGCAAGGAGGACGCGAATGGATACTCTTCGGCAGAGTTAAAGTCGCTCTGTGCCCATTTGTTGTTTCTGGCGGGAGCCGTGACGGGATCCTTCTTCCTCGTGTAGGGCGAGGGGCAAGCCTTGCTGTCCTTACGGTTTTGGGTCACTCTCTTCTTCACCACGCGCTGCCTATAATAGATGACATTTAGAGACAAGAACGTGAACAAGGGGGGGGGTTCTTCCTGGCCAGGCGAGTAGCTTACAAGACCTTGGGGGCGTCCTTGCACAAAATAGCCCAGCAGTCAACATCAAAGGTGAGTTGATTCCCCCCGGTACCGGTAGGGTCTTTCTTGCTGCCCTTGGTAACGGTCACCTTGGCCTTGATGGGATCAGTCTTGTCATCGCCAGTGCCGGCACGAGGGAAAAGGGGACTGATATTGCTCAGAGGCCCGACTTCTCTGGGCTCATCCAAGATTGGCGTCGCCAGCCCGAGGGCATAGAAAAGGAGTGAGACAGCAGCAGTGAGTTGCATTTTGGAAGAAGAATTTCAACGAGTGTCTTGGAAAAGAGTGTCTGGGTTCTCTGCACCCGGCTTTGTGTCTTTATGGATGTGACTGAAGCTGAGGGATACATGGCGAGGATGAGTAGTTCTTTATATCCTGGGCTTTGGCAAGCACCAAGACGATGTTATCTCCATGCACTTGATGGCATGAAGCCTCTTCACTACGACGCTTTCCAACTGCCGCCGCGGCCATGCAGCGCTGAGCGCAGGCTCGAAGCATGGCGCTGCAATCATGCGTTCATGATACGGCATAAAATTACAAGCGAGAATGACAGGGTCGATATTGCGAAGACGTGAGTCCACGTGGTTTAGAGTGGTCGCCAAGCTCCGATCAATGCCTTTCATGTCGTGATCCATGCTGCGCGCCTGCTGTGACGTGGCCATGTCAGTGGGATGATTTGATGCGCCGCAGGTTCAACTGCCGTGTCCTCAACTAGTCAAGAGAAGTTGAAACACGTCGATACGCTAGTTGCACCTGTACGACGACTTCTTCGGGGGCAGCGCAGCGACGGGACGACCGGAAGACTCGTCAACCCCAGACGCCGGCATTGGGGAGAAACTAGGGCCGTGTATAAGTTTGGTAGATAAAATAAGTATCAATCAATTGTGGATCGAATGGAACCCATGTGTTCGTGGCGTGGCCTGGAAATTACAGGGGAATGTTATCGGAATACTATTAGCATTGACGTGATTGGACTTGCAAGCAGCGGTCGTGTTTCAATCATTTCATCTGCCGTTCATGTAGCTGTCTTCCACGTAACCTTGTTCTTCTTCCTTTTCTCCTTCCAGGTCTTCTTCTTCACCTTCACCTAGTCGAACGCCTGCTTCGCGTCTTTCACTTCTGCACACCATCCGCCCGTTGCTCCATCACTGTTCATCATGTCCGCCATTCTCCTCTTCTGCACCGCCAAGGTGCCAGCAAAGGTATGCCAGCTACCGAGCACAAGTCCCGAGGATAGAATTGCCAACGCTGTATTCTAGGTCATCGATCAATTAATGGAGGAATCTGCCACTGCCGAAGATGCAGACAATATATTCAGTCTGGTCCGGAGCCCAGATCAACAACGCCTGGATGAATGGAAGACTGAGCCCCCGGTGCAAGACTACGACACGGGGTTCGAGGCTACACCCGACGCCGAGTTACGAAGCCTCATTGAGCCGCTGATTCAGAGATCAACAAACGGAAACTCAACCAGCCTTGCCAGCGATTGGATGGCGGTACTCGACGAGAAATCCGAGGCGCAGTCTGCCGTGGTGTTGCACTACTCGTACCCACGGGAACTTTGGGAGGAGGCCATTGTTGGCCCGGCCGAAGTTGGCCAGGAGACCATCTGGTGGAAATGGCGTGTGCCGTTCAAGGCAGCTTGTACCTTTTTTACTGCCATTGATAGCTGTGGCTTCAACGCGATTGAGCTGTATTCGCGGGAGGAATACCGTGACGCCGAGGGAGTCCTTCAGACTGAGACCCCAGACATGATTCTTGCGGGGGAAATGCCAGATCCAAACGAGACGTAGAAAATGGGGTTCGAGTTTAGTCACTAGGCAAAAGGCAACATTACAATAAAGGGACACGTTGTAGTCTGCATCACAGTTTATGCGTAGTTGCTTGTTTCTAGTGTTGCGTGCTACGAAATGGTTCAAGATCCTTGTGCCTCCAGATGTCACGTCGGAGACGCCGTCAACGCGAGTCACACCAAGTTGGTTAATTTGCCAGAATGTTCTGACGTGACAACCCCAGACTCTATCGACAGCTTGATGTAACCACATCCCACATTCATGCCGCCCTGGGCTGTGATACGGACATCGATGTCAAAGATCGGCGCAAAGAGGACAGGCCACAATGCTGATAAGGCATTAGATTACGATTACACGTAGGCTGCATACCTTATGCCAACGCCCGCTAGCAACTGCCGCGCGTGATTTATGCAAAGTCATAAGTGTTCAGCAATGGCGTGGTCGGTGGCCGAGTCCAAGAGTCCTGGATTCATCTGGCCTCATGTTGTAGCTTGAGATTATGGCTACGTGGTTCATCCCATTTCCGCATCATGCATTGGTTCCGGAACCAGCGGCATGATGGCACGAAATTATGACTCGGAAGGCAAAGGAATCATCTGCCGAGCTCAGTGGTTCGCCCAAAAAAAAAAGGACAAGGTGAGAAAGCAGAGTGAGCAAGCGGCCATCATGATATATACCTCGCTCTCTGCTCCCCATGTGCTACTGAATTCGTGACAGACAAAGAGAATACCACCAAGACAATCGTTTTTATTTCTCAAGAGTAAACCCGCCTCTTCACACAGTCATTACCATGAACCAAAAGTCTCTTTATGTGCTGTTGAGCACCCTGCTCTGCCTCCAACAGGTTAGCAGTCGGGTTGCTGCTCGCGACGACGCAGCACCGGCGTCATGCTGCGCATCATCGAACGGGGCTTCGAACCTCGTCGCTCGCGCCGACGGTAGGCAGCTTGTCCGCCAACCTGGATTATCAGTGCTAACAAGAGTCTCGGGACAGGTGACGTGGACGATTGTCAGGAGCTAGAGATGTACGACGCGGGGACAGACCGAGAGGAACTGCAGCGAGTGGAAAGCGGCAATTTTGACGGCTTCACCGCAATAACCTGCTCGATTATCGTTGCCTTTCTGACCAGGAACAACAACCCATGGGGCGTCACCAGCCTGGGCCGCCGCGCTGACACTGACGAAACAGGTACGGGCATTGTGTGACGACTTGCGTGCCTCTGCTAACCGTGACTCTATTCGCAGACCTTTCTGAATGCCATCGGGCCCAGGATGTTCTGAAGAAAATGAAGATACCGGAGCCGTGCCGCAAAATCAAGGAGATCGAGTTCGGCTTCACTCTATCCAACGATTGGTGGTCGGGAACCAACGATGATATCGGCGCTACAATCTCCGGTCCAGCTGGCAAGGCCGAGTTTGTCATTACGGAACAGCCCTCGCGAGGAGAATCAAAGTGGGTTCCTGTGAATATGCAAGAATCCTTCAAGTCGGACTCCATTGATATCACCGGCATCAACAACCTTACTCTTACCGCCGAGACGTTCTTCCTGAGAGGGACCGCAGAGGACCAGTTCAAGGTCCAAGGTGAGAGCAAGCAAAAGGAGATGGATGCCCTTCTTGTGACTAACAATTTTGCTTCAAGATATTCGACTCCGCGCAAAATGTGCCGATCCCGGCTTTGAAGCTAGAAATAACCAGTACGTCGGGATCAATGCTTGGTACGGCCGTCCCCAGAAGGGCTGGTGGATTTTCGGCAACTTCTACCCGTCCAACTTCGACAGGCAGACCGTGGCAACTTTCCAAGTCGTTCCCGGAGATTGGTCCTTTGCCCCTCCCTGCAACATCATCAAGGATCTCACTTACGAATTCACCTTGGGCGGCACCTCGCTGAACGGCGACGGAACCGGTGACACGTTGACCCTTGTGCTTGGGGAAGGCAAAATCAATCTTGGAAGTAGCTTCGACGCTGGATCCAGCAAGAAGGACAATATCGACCTCAAGGCGGCGTTTAACAAGGATACCGTTGACATTCGCGACCTCAAGGCGGTGTCCATTAACGATGATGACTCTACCGCTGGTACTTTTGACAAGGGTTGGAAGTTTCAAGGTGTGTACTGGCTCAAGTTATTCCTTGCGTAGCTAATGGTATACTAAACCTGTCTTTTCCTTAGGCCTCACGCTCTCGGCGACGTGTGCAGATGTGCCAAAGAAGGTGCAAATGAGGAAGTTTGCGGCTGAAAATAAAGACGTAAGTCACAAAGACGGCGAGCCGGCTTGGTCTGGCACCATCTCGCCCGCCGATTGGCTGGAAGTGGCTTAAAGAAACACGGAGACGGAGACGGGCAGGAAATCAATTCATGGTGGCAGAACAGGCTGGCTTCTTTGGATTTCTTCATCTCCCTGGCACCACTACAAGATGCTTTGCTGTGCTCTAGATTTTAGAGGTTCAATTCAATTTGATTTCTGCAATAGATACGATAAAAACATTAGATGACGAGCATGTCCTTGGCCAAAGTGATATTTGTAATGTGCTGCGGCTTTTATCGACACAGAAAAACGGGAGAAATCGGAGGAACCATTTGATCAATGTAAGATGGCTTGTATAAGAGGACGACTCTAATAAGTCTTGCCTTTTTGGTTAAAATCATGGTCAGGATACTTCATGCGCGCACAGGGCTTCAGCCAAGCATCGGGTGATAGTAAGCTATTGCCATTACTTTAACGACTCTGCCAAAAGTAGAGGCCCCCTACTAGAACAGGTCCTAATTCGATAGATCTTCTGCTTTCCCTTAAAAGAGCTATGAACATGGGCCGTAAAATGTAGGGGTTGGTGATGAGTTTTGAGACGGATTGATTAGTCAGCGGGCGACTGCATAGATGACGATGACGTCGAGGTAGATCCAATCTCCGGCGAGGCTATACATGATGGCAGGAGCTGGAATATTATCTGGGATTTACAGGGAACGCACGGGATGGCGATGGACCGGCAGCATTACGCAATTAACGTGGGGACTCCGGCACGGTTACATGTACCGACGGAAATAATCAACAGCTACCGGGGCATCGGCACCAGTTGTGGAGCATGGCAGTAATATCAGGCCTGGCTCGTTAAAGCGCAAGGTAAAAGCACACGGCAGTGGGGAAGCAGGTTCAGGCAATATTGAAGGGATAGTGCGTTAAGGGCGGGGTAGCGGAGCTGGTTATTGAGACCAGACCCGGTATGCCAAGTAGACTGAAACGCATCGCATACTGCTGGTCTAATAGATTCAATATTAGGCTCAAGACTAATAGCGGGTGCCAGCCGCAGTCGTCCCGGGGGTTACCCAGACCCCTAACCACATGATTTTTACTATTACGCTAAAAGGGTACGTATTAAACTAGTCCCTGATAACTATTTAATATAGTCAATATTATATAGGCTCCCGCGACCGCGATCGTTAGGTCCAGGCAAAGCCTGAACCACAATATAGTCAATTATTGACCCCAAGTATCGAACCACCTTGTAGCTTGTACAAATGCAGCTTCTTTCCCAAACTTCTCCACTGGGTTAGATATGTTGGCTCGCACCGCAAAGCCATGGCCCGTGCCACCATACAGAGACAATTGATACGGCTGCCCTGTTTGCAGTAAAATCGCCTCTATCTGACTTCGTCTTTCAGGAGGCATCAATTCATCCCCGTCTAGATTGCAAGTCAGCTTTCTCTACAACGTGACATCGTGCCCGCACACATGTTACTTACCGGCAGCAGCGACACTAGCTGGGCCAGTAATGCCAGAGATTTCGCCATCCTCGAGTAAACTCGGGTGGGCGGCAAAAGCTAGGTCGGCGCCGTCACAGCCGCTGAGGAAGCGCAAGGCGTACCTACCGCCGAAACAATAGCCAGCGGTGGCGATCCGATCAATGCCAAGAGTCCCACGTATATGGCTGATGGCTGATTCAACAATGGGGTCTGTTGCGTTGGGTGAATGCAGTTCAAGGAATGCCGTCGTGTTAAAGCTGGGGTCGTTTAGATCGCTGGGTGCCGGAGTGCCGTTGAACATGTCGGGAGCAACAGTCATGTATCCAGCTCGGGCAAAGCTGTCCACGAGGCTATAGTAGTACGTTTAGCTGGGAGGATTGCTCCAGACGCTTTGTATATAAACCAACAGTTTGTTCTCAAGAAGTTGTATTCCGAATACGTCGGTTAAATATAGGACAGCGATGCCAGGCTTGGTTGTCGCTTGCATCTTTTCCGGGGTTGTAATATACATGTTGACTATTATTTAGAAGCTGTTAGCATGTCCAGCGTGACAATACTTTCTGGTGCTTACCCCCATTGTGTTCTTCTATAGACCCGACAGCGTCGCCTTGGTGGGCGACTGTTGGGGCATCTGCAACTGCACACTCGGTTGCTGAGGCCAAGGCGCCAATGCTTGACGCGGCGAGTAAGTAACTGAAAGCCTTCATAGTGAGGTCGAGTGCGGCGTAATAGAGATAGTTGTGGCTGCGGTATGCTAAGCTTGGTGTCGCCGGCAGCGTCATTAGTAGACGTGCATTGTCGGCTGCCCGCTCCGTCGTATATATAAGAGTTGGACTGATAAGGTTGACGTCGATCCCTACCTTTCCGGGCTCTATACTGTACGGTAGCACTTTTTGCACGTCTTGCATGAAGGCTTGCGTGGACGCTTGCGCCATCCCTGACACTAAATTGGAAACTGTCAGATCGACATATGGTGCACATGTGTGGATACATGTACCGTTACTAGAGACATCGGTACAAAGCTGAACGAGATGTAACCGACCAGACGTGTATTTATTTTTTATTTACACGATTTATAGAAGGATATATTTTTATTAATTTCAATCGTGCATAAGGAGCTCCGCAAATGTCAGCCACCCGCATTAGCGTCCAGTCGCGTCCAAGATAAGCAGACTCCATAATAGACTACATATGTAACTTTAGAGCTCGTGAGCTTTAAACGCATGGACCGTACTAATAAGGAAAGAAGCTAAACCTACCCATGTTCGGCAGTTCCACATCCGAGTTTCGGGACGATGAAACGGATGCAGTTGTCATCACATTGCATCAGCGCCAATACATCAAAACTAGATAAACTCGGCAAAACTATTCCAAATTACACATTGAATACAATGCCCTCCAGCCCCCGTCTCCCTCTCCAGTAGTTGGTCGCTTCTTTCAACTCGACACAGCCGGCCAACAGCCAGCCCCATTTCTCGACAAACGACTCCGTCACCTCCCATCCGCCGGGCTCCCACGGAGTACCCCAGACGATGAGGGCAGCCGAGTCGACGCCAGCACCAGCTCCGCCATCCACCACATCCCGACAGAGATGGTCCTCGTCGAGCATTTCCCTGCCCGGTACCAAAGCGGCCAACAGATTATCCCGTAGCCGGGGGCAGGGGAAGAAGTCAATCCACGGATGATGCTCTACGTTCAGCTGCAATAATGTAGGATTCATAAAATAGGGCCGTCTGGTTGGTGGCGCATGCAGGGACGGGGCATACTCTCCCGGTGTGCAGAATGGCGATGTGGCTTCATACGTCAGCCAGTCGTTGTTGAAGCCCAGGGCTTGGGCAATCAGCCCAAAGGCTTGAAACACGTTGAACCTCACGACGCCATTCAAATCTGCGAGGCTCGGTGACCCGATTTTGTATCTACCGTAGCTGCGCTGGGCCACTTGGAGCAACAGTTGTCGGGTCTCGGCTTTTCCAAGCAAACAAGTAGGCGCAGAAGATGGTTTGCCGTTGTCGCTGGTGTGGTGAGCGCCATCATCGGTCGTTGGCAATGACCTTGGTCCGACTGCGCTGGTGGAAGGCAGCGGGCAGGGCAGAAGCATTCTCCGTCCTTGTCCAAGACTAGCTGTCAATAATAAACAGACGGTAGTATGCGAAGCATGTTGGCTTACGTCGTGCCCGTTGGTTCAGACGATTCTGCAGCTTCCTCCTTTTGGCGCTGCTTGCCGCGCCGGTCCAATCCTCTGTTGGGGCCAGTGCCTCTGCTAGCCCTGCAGCCGGCTGGATCGGGATGCGCTTTGTGCCCGACTGAAGCGTCGTGTCCATGGGTGAACTGAACTCGAGGCCGGAAGTGGTGTGCCCGGGATTGAAAGAAGACGGTCCGGTGGCCCCAATGGCATATACATATACTACATGCAGGCTGCTGACGGCGGGTCAATCCAATCAAGATTGAGACTACGTGTGCAGGCTCCTATTGGTTCAATGTTTGGTCAAGTCTGGTTTAATTGATTGACATCGACCCATTCAACGCGGCTATCTGCCAAGCGTTTGGGCTTGTCAGCAGCTTGCATTAGGGCACATGAAGTCTACAGGCCCTGACCATGATAACGAGCTAGACTGGCCGGCGCTTGAAACATTGAAGCTTATTCTCCATTGGAGGAGCAGCATAACCGCGGACCAAATCAATACATCCGCATCACCCAAGACTCATCATCAAGCCCCGCAAGCAACAGCCGAACGTCACAATTCCATTGACGTGCTTTGCACTTTGCTTCCATGAAAATAGTTTCTTCATACGAAGTCGATCAATGGCCGAGAAACAACATGCCACCCATGTCTACATTGGCTGTGCACAATTGCACAGCCTTTGCTAGTTTCGGCTTTAACCCTAACCCCGCTCAGGATGGCATCGTGTTATCTGGGACGGGGAATATGACGTGCCAGACGGGAGGCGTTGATTACCCATCTACGTCAACCGCCATCTTGGCCCGCCGGCGACTCTTGTATGAGAGAATGTTGGCGACGCGCGGTCGTCTTGTGCGCTGCAAGGATGAAGTGCATCTCGCATGATTCAAGGCCACATCAGAACCAGTTTACCATGACGACAGAGGCCATCATGACCTCAAAACATATAAAGACGACCGATATGCCGGCGACTCTACTCGAAAACTTCAGCCGACATTTCTGTTGAAACGCATACCAGACACATACCCAAGCACCACGGAAAAGAACGACAAAAATGCTGGCAAGTGGCATCTCACTCGGCATCATGGCCATGGGCACCACCATGTCCGCCATGGCACAGAACATGTCGTACGGAGCCGACAACTTCTATCGCAGTCCCGCCGTGGAAGTGCACCCCATCACCTTCCAGAACCAATACCGCCACAGCATTGCCGGCAACCTCTTCATCCACGGCAAACTCAACCGCAGCGCCAACGCAACCGCGCCGGCCGTCGTCGTCGGCCACCCAATGGGCGCAGTCAAGGAGCAGAGCGCGAACCTCTACGCCACCAAGCTCGCCGAGCACGGCTTCATCACCGTGTCGCTCGACCTCCCATTCTGGGGCAGCAGCCACGGGGAACCCCGCAACGCCGTGTCACCAGACCTCTACGCCGAGGCATTCAGCGCGGCCGTCGACTATCTCGGCAAGCACAAGTCCGTCGACCGCCAGCGCATCGGCGCACTGGGCATCTGCGGCAGCGGCTCCTTCGTCATCAGCGCGGCCAAGATCGACCACCGCATCAAGGCCGTCGCCACCTCGAGCATGTACGACATGGGCGCCGCGAACCGCAACGGCCTACGCAAATCGCAGACCGTCGAGCAGCGCGGGGAAGTCGTCGCCACGGCATCGAGGCAGCGGTGGGCCGAAGTGGACGGCGCCGAGCTCCAGTACACGAGCGGCACGCCGGACCGCCTCGCGCCGGATTCGACTCCGGTCGAGCGCGAGTTCTACGACTTTTACCGCACCACCCGTGGCGAGTTTATACCCCGGGGGTCGGCGCGGAATCTCACGACGCACCCTACGCTTTCGAGTAACGTCAAGTTTCTCAACTTTTACCCCTTTGCCGACATGCACACCATCTCGCCGCGTCCGTTGCTCTTCGTATCGGGGGATCAGGCGCACTCGCGCGAGTTTAGCGAGGAGGCTTACGCTCGTGCGGCGGAGCCAAAGGAGCTGTATTGGGTGCCGCGCGCTGGGCACGTTGACCTGTACGATCGTGTAGAGCTTATCCCGTTCGAGAAGCTGGCCGACTTCTTTAAGAACAGCCTCGGCGGGACTAATTTCACGGCGGTGTAGAAACGCTGGATAATGATGATTTGGATTTCATCTGTGTTGCCGCGTTTAGCAGATGGAAGTAGGCCATGTTGCCTTTTGAGCAACTACTTGCGAGGCTGGCATTGAAAATAAATATTCTTCACCATGCCCTGTAAATCATGTCTCTACTAGAACTAGCTTTAGTACGCAACAAGGGCATTCAATATCTTGCAGCAACTATTCGCGTATTTTGATCCCAACACCTCTCACCAACTATTCTAGATTATACTTGCAGCCCACGTGAATTGCCTCCACGTAGCGAGGACATCTCAAACGTTCAACAACGAGTACAGAAATTGAATGCGCCAATGCCTGTGAGGCTTGCATCCCAAGGGCAGCATACTGGAAACTGGCCTCCCTTGGTTACCTGAAGACCTGTTTAACTGGGCCGATCTGAGTGCCACGGCGCTTATTACTGACGCATCATGGTCCAGCACAATGGCGCCCATCACCTCGTCATTTATCCCAACATTTGCGACAAGGGCTTAGGCTTGGAGCAATTACTCAATTCATCTAATAACAGTCTTTGGTATCAAAGGTCCTTGGTTTTCCTCAAGGCCTTGAAGGTCAAGGACGTCTTTAAATACAAGAAGTCGGTGAGGACCTTCTGCCCTAATCCCGTGACCGTAGCCCTGGTGTAACCAGCCATTTCCGTGCAACAACGTGATGTCCTTTCCAGTAGTCAAGGGAATGGTCAAGCAGACTGTTCGCAGCGCCAGGCCTAGGATTCTTACTCCGTGCCAGTTTGCGTTGCTTGTCCGGATACTTTGCCACTCTTCCCTGAGTTCGGTGTGGTACTGCGTTGGGTATATAATCAGTTGGCGAAAAGGGGCACCCATGGCAAAGCCGCTCGCAAATAATATTTAACGACGCCAGCTTTGGGCTGCTGTAAATTATATACACTTAAACTATAGTTTTGGTTACTAGTATAACCTAAACCTAGTGATAGTAGTTACATTCCTTATAGATGTAAACTAGTCCCTTAATTTTCTTGCTAACGTATTCAACACGAGTGTAATACGGCCGCTAATAAATAGTATTAGTAAGCTATGCCCAGAGTATTAACGGAAAAACTACACGACGTGTAATTTTGTAGTGTAATTTTAGTGTAATATAATTTTTGTAATATAATGTAATTTTTGATTACCTCTTTGTTTAATTCTCGACCGCCGCACTCCACAAGTAGGGGATAGTAACGGGGTGTCAACGCGAGCACGCCTTGGTACACTATCTGTGCACACTGGGTCACGAACACCTCTTTTTCTCTCCATGTCCCGTTCAAACGGGCCATTTGTATAGGATTTGAGGTGTGGACTCGCCTATCGAGTCTTGTATCCGTACCTGTCGCCGCAGTATCTTCTCCTTGGCTATGCAACATATCACCGTACTTGCACATCAATTGATACTTTAATCTTTTGGAAGCGGGGCTCACAGGCGACTTGTCTTGCTTCTAGTGTAATGTCTGGTGAATGGGTTTCAATACCCAAGTATCAATCCATTGTTAAAGATAGGAACCCGCTCATGGTCGGCCGAGCTGAAACTCCCGGTGGAGAACTCCGTACAACGACCACGGCACTCCTCCATTCCCAGAGACTGCACAAAACAGCATACTGCGAACATTGAAATATTCCCAAATTACCATTGACACTTTTCGCAAATGCACCACCAGAACGTTTCATGTGCTCTCCCCAACGCCTAGTGCCGTGTCAGGCACTACCAACTTCAACTACCACACGTGCATTGGATACTTCCATAGCCCGCTGGTAGATTTTTCCAAGAAAGTTCCGGCAGTGGTCCACTGCTTCGTAAATTTCCATTCCCTTCTGTTCTTCAACGAACTACGTCGCTCAAGATCACCCCATTTGCCGCTTGGGCCCAACTTGAACAGCGGTGCAACAATCTGCCCGCCCATGGCTGACTCCTTGGTGGGCACCGTCTTCCATACCTCAAAGTCGGATGAAGTAATTTCCTTGCGGTTTTTCCAGGCAGAGTAAACTTCTTGCGCAGATATTAGCATGGCGATTTGGCATTGAAGGAGATTCTCCTTGTTCACACTGTCCAACAAGCGTTTATCTCCATACGCTTGCCACGACGACTTATGCTTATTAAAGACCTTGAGTCCGAGCGCGCATTCCTCATCGTGCATCATCTAGTCGCGGTTGTCAGCCTTCATTCATTACGAGAGCAGAGGGAATGGGGGGTTGAATATGCGGTACATTTGCAAGGGCATCAGCCACCCCTTCATAACCGTGCAGCACACGGCGTGGCGTGCGAAGATGGCCGGCGGAAAAGAGGTCTTGCAGATAGTGGTCGGCAAAGGAGTTTATTGCATATGCCTCTACAAGACGATCGACCGTCCACGCTCCGCTAGCAGCCCAGCTAATGGCGGCTGAATGGCCGGTGGTATAGGCAGTGCGGGCGTCGTCTCCAAAGTGATCCCAGTTAATTAGAAGGAGATCCTTATATCCCGGAAAGTGGCGACCTTTAATGAGCTTATCAATTGCTTCTATACCAGCAAGGCCTGTGCCTTCCTTGTAGTATTCTGACGGGTTTTTCTTTGCGTCATAAAGCTTTTGTACCTCGTCTATTTCCTTCTGAAGGTAACCCAGTAGGATCCGTGCATCCTTGGGTTGGTCTTGTGGGTTGTTTGCTAGAGTATGATATGCATTAAAGAAAAACTTTTTTCTTTCAGCGTTTGATTTCCCAGAACTAATAGGATTCGAGGTTCCGTAGAAATCTCCTGCCAATGCAGAAATTTGGCCGTATGTAAGTTTCAAGACGTTACCCTGACCAAGTTTAAGGAGAGGAAGCTTATAAGCCCGCAGCTCCACTTCCTTCCCGTCAGGCGTCGAGTCCGTGTCGCTCCTGGGCTTCATGTACTTGAGCTTAATTTGGTTTCCTAGGAATCCATGCTCTGCGAACTCGAAAACAAAGTCTCCAGCATAGTTAGACGGCCTAGTTCTCGCCAATTTTGCCGTCTATGACGGTCAACTTATACATGGAGCTGGGGGTAAACCTACCGGGTTTATGGGGCCTACTATCCACAAGACTTATCGCATGGGGGCTTTGTTGCTCTCCTGGCAAGAGAATACGATATGGAGAGATCCATGTAGCCCCCTGTGCGCAAGACCCCACCGGTTCATTTGCCAACAATTCCTTTGTCTCTTCAGACAGGACAGGCCTAAGTCTTTAGGTTAGTCAAGTTATGCGCGGCATCAAGTTCTGTATACCCCGCATACTCTTCCGTGTCCTGTGAGTCCATTATGGGTAAGGTTTGCTCAAAGTCCCTAGAAACTGTGATGAAAAAGAGAAATAGTTAACAAATAAAGGAGGGGGTAAATGACAATGTGACGGTTAAACCCCATGCGCCACTAAATATGAAAACTTGACGTTTGGGCTGGTTAGTGTACGAAGTGGTGCCAGAGTTGACATCTCGGATATCTATACTATGGTACCAGATTCCACTTATATAATTAATCTCTTATGCACGGAACCGGACTTCCTGACGAGCCCAGATTTTCAATCCCGTAACAAATCCCCTTCTTACTCGCAGTCAACGCAAATGAGAGCAAGAAGATGCGGCATCAGAGCGACATTACATGACATCCCATTCCATCACGTGAAATCTGCCTGAGACATTCCGTAGGGTAAGCTCACCCCAGAACTCAAAATCTCCTCCAGCATCCTTAATCTGATTAAAATGAAACCCTCTCTTCTTGCAAGCACCCTTTTTACTCTCAGTAGGCCGGCACAAGGTTTGTTGATCCTCCTCCTATACTCCAGAAGGGTTCATGTCATTTATCTTACTTTAGAAGGCTGGTCAGCCACCTTGATTCCTTCCAACCTTCTGACATCTATAATTTTAAGACATCCGGCAATTCCATCAAGTCTGCTTGTTCAATAAGCACTGGCAGCCTTATCTGACAGCTCTGTCCACTGACCCCACGGGGACTTGTATGAATAGGCCCAACACTACATTCACCGATACAATGCTCGCGTTATTCGTAACTCAGTGCAGAACAACACTACAAGTATGCCCCGCTAGACGAAATACGGGTTTTCGCAGAGCAATGATGCCACGGGGTGCTGTGCGGTGCTCCTAGGGCTGGGTATTCCTGGGAGGCGAGAATGTAGGGTTGCAATTGATATGTTAGGGTTGGATTCCATCTCCTCGACTAGAGTTTTCTGAACCTATCCTCGGTCTGGGCCTAGCTAGTCCATAAATCTAACCCCCGACTGGATACGTTTTACTCAAGGGGGTTGCCAACAAAGCCTGGTCAACACAAGCCTCGGATCTAGTTAGATGAAAGGACTGCGACCCTTAGACTTGGGACACGCAGTGATTTTGACGTAGAGTATTCAGCAATGGAAGAAGTTATAATAAAGAATGCCATATATTTATAATCGCATATCAACGACGTGTTGTTCTGGTCTGATTTGGGTTTCGGTCAAACTTAGTGGACTCGTCGGAGATGAAACTCTAATCCAGACACATTGAGTTTGTCACACATAATCGTGCTTCCGCTGCAGAACTCTACACTACTCTAGGCTCTTAGTCATGGTCTCTCCTGGGGTGGTTACACTTGTCACGTCATGAGACAACTAACCTGCTTGATTAAATCCTTATTCATGTTCGTTGTCCCTCTCTATCCTTCAGAAGGATTCATGCCGTCTATCTGAGTTGAGAAACCTTCCCACCATCTGATCTCATCAAGTGACTGGCCTGCCTCTCAAATGACGTCGATGATTTCATGGCATCCAGCAATTACGTCAAGTGTGCTTGTTCTATCAACAGAGGCGACCTTGTCCGACAACATGCACCCCTCTCAGTTTTCTTGGTCAGAGAGTTACATGACTCGGCTCAGCAACGCCGTTTTGCCGATTGAGTGCCATTTTGACTGTTGTCTTTGGCGCTCGGGATAACTACTACTATTGCACATTGGAATTGATCGCGTGAATTTTGTAATTGTCCTCGACAACCCAGAAATCGCACCCACCATATGCAATCCCAGGATCGGCCAAAAGATCTCACGGAACAGATCATGGATTATCACATGCCCCCGGAGGTCATCTCTCGCAGTTACGATGACAAACGAAATGAAAATAACAGCAACATACTTCAAACATAAGAAGTTGAGCCAAATGGATGGCCGAATTAAGATAAGGTCAATGCCTATGGAGAGCAGCAGGAGAGCAGGAATGCTCTCGCTTCTGCAAAACGTGCTCGGCCTCAGTCGTAGTGACGACTGAATTCGTGTCGTCTTCTCTGCCACAATGCATGAGACGGAAGGGAGTTCGCTAGTGGGCCCGGTATACTTAACTTGAATTCTAAACGGCAAATTTAAGTTTGTTTTGAGTTCACTTGGGCAAATTTGCATTTGTCGCGAAAAAACGTCACAGTCTAGGGCCTCAGCTCAAATCGCCCCCTCCCACTTTGGGCGGTGGTGGGTAAGCCAGAGGGGCAACTAAACACGTCAAGTATACCTCCTTTTTCGATCATGTATACTCCCTTAGTCCTAATCCGGTGAGATACCTTTACATTCAGTTTTTGCTGTAAAGATACTAAGGAAATTTCATACAGTCACACGGGACTATAAGCTGTAAGGCTGCTGCCTAGTGCCACATAATACCACTGCAGCGAATTTCACGATAGTTGCACAATTTCAACCTTTTTAACACACAACGCGACGCAACGCAACGCAGCATCACAACACAAGCCTTCTTATTAATACCTTTTATTTGCCCTGCCCGTCTTGTTATCCTTTAATTTATAGCTTTTTTACGTGACCGCCGAAGAAGCTATTAACGCCCTTGCCGCTTAATAGCTGGCGAGGGATTTGTAACTATTAAGATGGTAAAATTAAACAGACGTAAGCGACACCAAATTCGTATAAGTGGAGTGTCTTTCTAAATTAGGACTAAGGGAGTTGTTCAAAAAAGGAGATATGCGTGTTTAGTTGCCCACCCGAAGCTGCGCGCAGGAAAGCCCAAAGAGGCATAGAATACAGCCAGATTTACTTTACTTCTCAAGTGCATAACATGATTTACAAGACATAATTGTTATAAATTAAGAGATGTATACCCTAATACAGAAAAACCTTTGCATTTGCATTATGGCACAGGGAAAACCCCCAATTAAGAGGGAGAAAAACCTGTACCAAGGCGTCCTAGAAAATCCGCCACTTACCACTTCCATATCGCAAGGTTTAGCTACTGCCTTAGCTTCCGAGGAGAATCGCATTCCATAATAACGTGCATTTATCTACTGTCCTGGTCGGTTTGAGCACATTATAGAATGATAACTGGGCGGGGGGACAAGAAAAGGTCTATTTTGACAGTAGGGTGGAGAGCCCGTGTGGTCGACCTTCCAAGGATCTCTATCCGCGCAGCGCGAGTCCCTGTAGAATATTAATAACATTAATACCAATCGTGAAGCAAGGAACCTACGTATATAGCTCGAAATAACGTGAATAAACCCTAACTGATTTGAAATTGCTGTTATTCACTTTTGTTAGAAAGATAAGAAAAAAAAGGGCAGATTCCTGTACGAGGGTTTCCTTAGGCTTACCTAGGTATTTCGCGACACTTGTCATTTTCATTTATCAAAATAATTTGGTCCTTACAATCTTCTAAACCGAAGAGCCGAGCCTGCGTTATGTGAGACCAACGCTATTCTTTGCTCACAGCGAGCCTTTTTGTAATGCAGCCATATAATATGGTGTTTTCCATAGGAATTACATATGAACTCTTTAAATTATCCACTGCATGGGCCGCTTATAACGAGCTATGTTATACAGTGTAATCAAACACCGACCGACATATATAAAATACGATCTCCACCTGTAGAAGGTCTTCCACGTTTTGTAGTTTCGTGACAAAATACCATACGTGCGTACTTCACGGGGTTCGCGATGCGACCCGTGAACAGCTACCCGTGAATAGCGTAAGGCACTTTTTTTTTACGGATTAATCGCCAAAAAAGTTTTTTTAATAAATTAAATACTTATGGACGTTCCTATTTTATGTAACATTAAAAAGGTAAAGCGGGAAGCTCGGCCAGCTCCAGTTGCTTGCCATCCTGCCGTTTTCACTCTACCTTGGCCACCAATTTAATCCGCTTCACCTAATTAATAGAATTGCTACATGCGCGACTCTCACACGGGTACAACTTGTGCCACTTCTAATTGATCGACTACTTTTGTAAAAATACCCTTTTCCTAAAGCTGCTAGCTAGTTCCGTAACTTATGAATCGGGGGAGTCAACAGCTTTCGCATGTTTTAGACCAGTCTATTCGTCTACCACCATGATACCAGACCTGTAATATCCCGATTCCACACCCCTCATTCCCACCCCATTCCCCATGTGTCACAGGTGCAAAACCCCCGACAGTGCGACACCACCTCGCACAAACGCACAGCGTGTCTCGCACAAATAAAGAAACATTAAACAAAGCAGTCGTTGCACAAATCCATCTTATCAAACGGCAATGCCCGCAAGCGCTTGTAACGCCCGTGCACGCAGCCATTCACTCCGTTGCATCAAACATCCCTGAATCATCGATAAAGAAAGTTGGCCACACTTGACGCCGGGCAAACCAAGCGAGGACCGGCCACTTTTTCCACTTCCACTTCAATATTCGGCTGCCTCGCACAGGCAGCAGCGTGCCCCGCTATGCAAGTTTCTGCAAAACATTGAAGCTTCCATGCCGTAGCACTGATGCCTCGGTGCCCCGCGGCTTATCGATAGGCATCACCCAGTGCGGCGGCCAAACAAAGAAAAAGCCCTGGATCAGGGTCTCGATTGTTGCGGGGGAAAAAAAAAGTGCCGGCAAGAAACGGCTGCGAAACGCAAGATCACGGGTGACAAAGGCCCTGTAGGTTTGTGAGTCAATGGCGCCAGGGCCTGCCGATTGGATGCCATTTGTGTTTGGGTGCGTTGTGTGGGTAACACTGCAGAAAAGGCATCCTGCATTTTGGGCACGGGGCGTGCGCGGAGGTGTGCGTTGATGGGAGTGATTGATTGCTGCGACTGGCCATGGCCAAGTTGTGACCAAGTTGGATTCTTTGTCGGGACTCTGGCCTGAGGCTTCGGGACAAATTGTCACTGGTTTTCCGACTGGGTGACAAGGTTTGGTAGCCGTGCCATGTCTCTTGGCGTTTTAAGGACCTCTTTATTGCTTGCACTTTCACATTCGAACCATGGACAAAATCTAGAAGAGTATGAACACTTCAACACTCACGAAAAGTTCATGTCTTTTTCATTTAATGTCTATCCTTTCCCTGTCTGTTTCTAGGTATCTCAAATTCCAAATAGCTCGCTTTCAAGTCCTGTTATCCTAAAACTGTCAAACATCACAGTACCAAGTCAAGAGTAGTTACATGTTTTACAAACTCAAGTGTGTGCATCACTCCCATCGGTATACTCCATCTGTGTATTCAACGCGAGGTCGCCGGCTCCCGGGCCCGACTGTAGCCCGGCGTCGCGGCAACATTCGCTCCATCAGCCTCTCCTTCTGGGCATCATCATCACGCTTGGAAGAGCGACCTCGGTCCTGTCGGGCCTGCTCCTTAATTTCAAGAGTCTGAATCCTCTCAATCAGTTCCTTCTCTCGGTCCCCCAAGTGGTGGGTGGCCTTGGCGGCCGTGGATGATCGCTTCAGAGTAGGGGGCAGAGGAACTGCCTCCCGGCGGGCAATTTCCGCGTTGGCTTTGGCAATGCGAGCACGAAGCCTCTGCTGGCGAATTTCCTCTTCTTGTGTCATCCGGCGCGTCTCACTGCGAGCCGCCTCGTCCTCATGTCGACGCCGGCGCACCTCGTCATTCTCCGAGGCGCTGGTATACGAGTGTCGGCTGTCGTATGAGCTGGTGGAAGGAGTCTGACGACGGTGTTTCTTCTTTCGTCCGCCGTCATGGAATTCAATGTGAATCCGCGCAGCATCCTGGCCATGGCGTGGCCGCTCGTCCACGATCATTGGTCGTCTGGACGAAGCTCCGCGAGGGGATGTGTCTACAATGTACGGCGCGGCGTTTGCAAAGCTCGGAGACGAAGGTGCAGTCCGAGGAAATGTAAATGCTGGAGGCGGTGTTGACGGGGTTGGCGGGTTGTGAACAAGTACGGTTCGTCCGTTCTGTTCATAGCGTCTAGAGCTGGATTCCATTCTCGGGCTCGTGTAGACGCTTCTCCGCCTACTGCGGCTTGCGCTGTGGTATGATCGGTCCGACTCGTCACCGGAGCGGTATGTGGGAGTGGAAGCGCGAGGAGAATAAGTAGGAGTCGGTGGATAGTTGCTATAGTATTGAGGTGCGTAGGTAGCTGGGCTCACAAAGGGAGGAGCAACTGGGTGACCATATGAAACGGACTGTGCGTCGTGCTTGAAAACAATGTTCTGGGAGCACGGCTGGCCATGGCGGGACGAGGGGCAGAGCGAGGGCTGCTTTATAGTCTCCCTGTGGCCGTCTGGGTAAACGTATGTATAGCAATTGGTGGTGCACATTGTGATGGCCGTGAACGTATGGGGGCGACTGGCGCAAGTATGTTCAGGGGCTGTTCCCGAATCAAAGGCGCCTTCAATAGACTATTTGTCTTGAGGTGTAGGGGTGTAGATGCCCCGGTGAATAAGAGGAGGCTTTGGCGACTGTTCGTTGATGATGAAGTGAACAGAGGAGGAACTATTCTAGTCGAGGGAGAAGCAGTCGACGTGATATATATATGGGTGAGACCTTTTCTTTGTAATGAGCTGAACAGTCAATGTGGGCCAGCTGAACAAGTTGGTGCAATTGGAAAAGATGTGCTTCCGCGGTCTTGTAGACTTATCGGTAGTCAAGATTGTGCCTTGCAAAAATGGGGTTCAGAATTGAATGAGATGCCTGAGGATGCGGTATGAGGAGGGAAGATGTAGCTGCCTGAAATCCGAGATGGGCGGATCACCGCTGTTTATAATGAAGGAGGAAATCATGGGTGACGGATGGTGTAAGTGGTAGATGGCAGCAAAATCCGACAGGTGTGGTGGGTTGGACATGGGTCGCCTTTGACAGGGATCGACGGTTTGGCTGTTTGGTTTCCTCTCTCAACACACCCCCGTCCTGTCCTAAGTTGTCAAGTGTGTTAGATGTTCGCACCACACACCCTAGTTCGGTTCTGCCTGTTAAGGCTGTCTTTGAATTATGACTCCCTGTCTAAAGTGGAGCGCTGATCACCTCAACCGTCCAATGGTGGCGCCGTTTCTCCCCGTCCCCGTCTTCTTCAAACTGTTCTTTGCAATTTTCAACCCCGTCCTGTTGGTGGAAGCCCAGCGCGAACATGCAAAGCATATAGACGTTGTACGGAGATTGGCGAATGGAATCATATCGAACTTGCCAAGAAGTTATATGAACCAGCAATCGAGTTCTTGTTGTAGGATTCGAAACAGACACGAACTCCTGGGTCTCAGGGCTGAGGCCCTAGGCGACTGGGGGGATGAAAATAGACAGCCTGGTTTGGGGGCGGCGCCGTCTTCCATCGTGTCTATTGGGAGGCCGCACGTCAGTTGAACATGACGTTGGCCAGAATACAAGACCATCTGTCAGTGTGGTGCAGAGCAAAGGATACGGGGAGACGAGGAATATGCTTAGAGCCCATCTTGGTGCGCAAATAATTGAGCGGCCTTTGTCTGGCGCTTCCTCAAACATGGCCCTCATCACGACCACACCAGTCGACGAAAAGACGGCATATCAGAGCCGATGGTCGGCTCCAGCATCATGAGGCTCAGCGAGTTGACTCACGCCGGGGAGGCAGTCCGTCCACGGCGATGTGGCCCGTGGGAATAGTCGTCTGTCCTGGGGATTGGTCCTACGCCAGAATGCAGCGAAGACCTGCATCTCTAGTGCCGTGCAGTCTGCATTCGGTCATGGGGCTTGAGACTCTCGCCACCACGACTGTCGCAGTGTCTCAGTGTCCCTGGCTCAGTCGTCCAAGTGCGGAGTGGCTCGCCGAACTAGTCAACGGGCCATTGGTTCCCGTGGCGGGCCTTTGGGGACAAAGGATAAGATGGGGTTTGCAGTGGGAGGATGGCGGCAAATCGGCTGAGATGGTGGATACTAAAGATGGCTCGCTGAGCGTGAGTGGTTGTGTGGCCCTTCCCATGCCATGTGCCATCAGCCTTCAGCCTTGGGGGCAGTGCTGCCTGGTCAAGGGCTGGTAGTCTGGGATCTGGAGATGCGGCGATGGAGTCGTGAGAGAAAAGGACTAGCTGACATCTGGAGAGGAGAGGAGAGGAGAGGAGAGAGGAGGGGAGGGCAGAACCGCAGTCCCTCGCTCCTTCCCTGGTTAGGCCTGAGAGAGAAAAAAGGATGAGCACAGCCGGCCAGTGATCCGACCTCGATAGTCTCGACAAGACCACGAGACCCGTGCATGCACAAGGCAGAACCACGAACAGAGGCGTCGAGCAGCTGGCGACCCATGCAGTCATTGCCTTTTCTGCGTCTCTGTACGGATGTGCCGCATTTTCATTGTCCACGCACCCAGAGACGTCATTTCCAGGCACACGGGATTTTTTATTCACCGCCACTGACGCATTGAGGCTCACTGCGTCGTATTATCTGGCTCAAATTTTGGAATCACATTTCTGCTTGAACCCTGATTTTCCGAACGCTTCGTCCATGTCGGCATCAAGAAGCGTCAATGCCCCGCTTGAACCATCGATGATGTGCCGAGTACCTATGTAGATGGGCCAGTATCCAGCTCTTGGCTTCCATCTCGGAGCACATGGCCGGTTGTTGCGATGCCAATGACAGCGGGTTCCTTGCGGCGATGAACCAAGGAACCTGCCTGGTGGGCAAATCTGGAGTCAAACAACCAGACCTACTACGTTCCCCGCCCTGTTGCCCTTTGTTAGCGCGTCACTTCTCTCTCCAGTCTTCTCAGTGCTCACCATCAACTAGGTCTATCGCCATCCTCCAAGCCGAATAGAGGGGATAGACGGAGCGCAATGGTTACAGTCACCGGACCACCTTCCCGCCAGACGGCCGATGCCATCGCAGCAAACAATCGGGCTGCCTCCCACTCCTGGTCCTGGCTTATCAGTCCGTCAGACGGCTTCATCCGCATTCCTCTCAGCCTTCAGCCACCGCGCGCCACAACACAGGAGTTGAAAAAACGGCCCCCATCATCTTGTATCAATTAGTACTACCTTTCTCAGAGTCCTACTCCGTAGACTTGCAGCATTGACAGGATTTCAAAGCACAAGCCACTAGGGCTGCGTGACGCGTTGCCCACTGCCATTGTTAGCATCTCCCGAAGGCCTCCGACTCGCAAATACGCACACAGGATGATGTTAGCCGTGGTCATTTTGCACTCATGCCGTCTGCCCGACGACTTTGCGGTAGGCGAAGGAACAGGCCGGGAATGAGTCCTGATTTGCTTGCAAAACTCAGGGCCGAGACATTGCCTGTGTTCCTTGCAGCGGAGAGGCAGTGCTGGCCTTGGTCGCATTGTGTCTGCAGCTAGATCAGACTTGCAGCACCAAGACGGCTTGTGTGGAGGTGATCAAGTGGCGCAATCAATCGTGCATCGCATATGTTGGCTTTGGTGAGAGAGAGTCTGGCGGTTTGCAATCTTGTCCTTGCCTCGTTGTTGCCGAAGTCGTACTGTCTAGAGCTTAGCCCACCTTGACGCCATCACCACGAAGAAGCATACCATGCCAGCGGCCTAAATCAGCATCGACCGACAGCCAACAGCCGTAATATCGCCCATACCTTGCTGTGTAACGCTCTTTTGCAGTTATAATGATAATATCTCAGCGCAGAAGAGGGTTTGCGATATGTTCAGATCAGAGGAAGGAATCTCCCAGTTCACGTAGCCAGCTCAACGCTCAACATGGCATACGACGACCTGTAAACCGGGTCGCAAGACTTGGTTGCAGACACTTTAGCTCCAAGTCTTGACAGCACTGAAGTAATAACATTTTAGCCGCCAAAATTCATCCTCACCCCGTCTCTGTGCACCGCAGACGTCCTTATTTGCTACCAGCTCCTCGGGACGGCCGCGACCACCTCTTCTTGTCGCGCGCCTCTCCGGTCCCCCAGCGGTTTCACGCTTGGCCGCTCCCAAACGGCCACCTAAAAATGGAAAATTAGCAAACGGCCTTTTTGCCCTGTTAGCCAGGCGAATTTCCTGCTTGGAATCTATTTCCCCACACGTTTACACAAGTACAGCAGTCGAATTGCCCGTTCCAATTGTGTGCGCGCGTGCTAAAACACCACGAGACTCGACTTCGCCCCGCATGTCAAAACTGCCTTCACGACGCATCGCTTGCTAAGCACACGCCCTTGATCCATCGCGGCAGGATAGCCCGCAAGCAGCCGTGTCCAGGCGGCGGTACATTGCCCAATGTGAGTTGTGAGCGGTAGCCTGGGCAGCTTGACAAGGGTAGACGGCTTACATTGCGTCAGGTCAGCAATTGTCAATCGTCAGCAGAGAAATTACGCGGTGACGGTGTTGAGATCATTTCTATTTCAAACGAATCATTTCCTTGACTATAGCCTACACACCGGAGGCAGCTTGCCATTCCCATTTTCGCCACCAGTCTGCCTCCCCCATGAGCAGCTGGATCTGGGCGTTCCCCCTTCTGGACCGCCAGGCAACATGCTTCTCTGGCCCTTTGTCAAAGTCGAAAAAGGTTGCCTTTTTTGACTTTCTTGGAAGTTGTGTGGGCAGAGGGCGTACAGTTTGCCGGCGTTATCTGTCTGCCTGTGGAACAGGAGCCGCGTGGTCTTTGTCAACTGGCTCTCGACAGGCTGGGCAAGAATGCCTGAATGCCCAAGAATGCCGTATCAAGGAGCATTTTGTTCTTTTGATATCGTAATGATGAAGTAGGAGAGCAATGGTCTCTCATATCTGGGCGAACGTCTACTTGGTTGCCGCCGCCTTGATCGCGAGGCAACTTGCGAACCATGCCCGTCCACTTACGTCACATGGACACTGGCTTGCCACGACTTGGCCAAGAACATGAATCACATGTCAAAGAATCAGTTGAGCTGTCACTTGTTCTCTGCCTTTACCTCCACAACAAGGTGGCCTCGCCATATACCTCCCTCTCCCGGCTCATCTCCCGGCTCGCACCCCTTCCGCCGCCTTCCATCCCAGTGCGGACTTGCCTTCCGCCGGGCTTGTCAGTGTAAAAGAATCCTTACATATACCTAGTTGTCAATAAACTTTGCTAGGACTGTTACACTGTTGATTCTTATTATTACAGAGGAGGCAATGAGCCTTGTGCTTTGGCATATCTCAGACTCTTTGGTAATAGGAGGAATCCCGAGAAACCTACTGAGCTGTGACCAAAGTAGATTAATAATAGTTGCGGTTTCTTACATGTATTCTACTACATGTATTTCGCGTACATTTTGCAATGTGAAAATCTACCATCTCGGGCCCTCTGTTATTGTTACACGGCAAAGGCCCAACAGATCGTGAAGCCTAACAAAGGGGCTTCACCGATACAAGACTTATTAGTTACACGGCTAGAACATATGCCCGGGCAACAGCCCTAGACCCAGGCGTTCCTTTTAGGTATATATAGCGGTTACTCTTCCCTTTATTCCTCTTAGCAACTCAAGACCTTAGAGATCCTTCGAGATTATTATTGAATTGAGCCCTTTCTGCTCCAAGCCCTTAGTAAAGCCCTTGTCACATACTCGGCGCGAATCTGAGACCTCAACGCCGATGAACCTGTCCCAAGACGCGTCTTTTCCCCCTCGTACTGCCAAGTATGTGTCAACACCGCATGCTGTAAAATTAAACTAAGATGGTCTCGGCCTGTTTGTCCATCTGAACTACTATGCTGGTATGCTCGCCGAATGCATGTCGCAAGCGCTGTTTAGGATGGCATTTGACTCTTGCCATGCAATGAGTACGGAGTATTGGGATGAGGGATAGGATGAGGATAACATACTTGTAGGGGGCCATGAGCACGCGGAATAAGTCGCCCAAACAGCCTCGGTCTATCTTCCGTAGGATAAGTAGTACGCATCCCAAGTCTGCTTTTTATTTTATTGTATGTTTTTTTTTCAAACCTCCTAGGATATCTGGTTTCAATTTGCAGCCTTCACTCCTTGCTTATAGTTTTGAGCCATCTAGCTAGAACACAATTGATACTACTAATCTCACTGGGCAACATGGACGCAGCGCCAGATTCCGCCAAACCGGTAGCCATTATTGGCATGGGATTTCGTCTCCCAAGTGGCATCTCAACAGACGCCCAGTACTGGGATCTCCTAATAAACAAGAAGAACGGTAGATGTAGGGTTCCAGCAACGCGATACAATGTTGACGGCTTCAGCGGCGGCAAAACGCAGACCCAGTTCCTTGCCACGGAGTATGGCTACTTTCTGCAGACGGAGCTTTCCAACATTGACCCGTCCTTCTTCTCCATGAAGCCGGCCGAGGCGACGTTGCTGGATCCTCAATTGAGGCTGCTGTTGGAAGTTGCCTGGGAGTGTATGGAGAGCGCGGGCCAGACGCACAAGCTTGTTGGATCCGACACTGGCGTCTTTGTCGGCGTTTTTGGGGAAGACTGGCACAATATGCTGCATCGAGACGACCTGATGCCCAACACATGTAGAGTGCTGAGTGCGGGCGATTATGCGCTATCCAACATGCTGTCCCATCAGTATGACCTCAGGGGTCCGAGGCAAGTCGACGAGTGCCGCGAGTTGTACCGACTGGGGGTAATAACTAACCTTTCATTTCATGTGTTAGCATGACAATACGAACGGCCTGTTCGTCTTCCCTTTCAGGACTTCACATTGCTTGCCAGTCTCTCAACAGCGGCGACTGCTCGGCGGCGATGGTGTTGGGTTCGAGTCTCATCATGGACCCGTCCATGACCTTGGACATGTCGGCACAGGGTGTCCTTGCCCCCGATGGTCAATGCAAAATATTCGATACCCTCGCAGACGGCTTTGCACGCGCAGAAGCAGTTAATGCTATACTACTCAAGCCCCTGGAAGCGGCTATCCGGGATGGTGACCCGATTCGAGCTGTTATTCGCTCCACGGCCGTCAACTCGGACGGCAAAACACAGCATGTGGGCACGCCCAGCGCCGAGGCCCAACATTCCTTGATATTACGAGCCTATCAATCGGCAGGTATCGACGATCTCTCCAAGACACCATTTGTGGAATGCCATGGCACGGGTACCATGAAGGGTGATCCAATAGAAACGACGGCCGTGGGAAAGGCTTTTGGTACCCGGGGGACCTACATCGGCTCTGTGAGTAAAGTAAGATTCATGAGAGATTATGCCTTCTGACAGCCTTCATTGTAGGTCAAGCCAAACTTGGGCCATGGAGAGGGAGCAGCAGCCCTGACAAGCGTCATCAAATGTGTCCTGGCACTGGAGAATAAGACGATACCACCTAATGTCAATTTCGTCACACCAAACCCAAGAAGTAAGTTGGGAATACACCAGTACCTTGTCATTCGTTGCCTTTTAACATTGTGACAAAACAGTTCCTTTTGAAGAGTACAATCTTCAAGTGCCGGGAGAGCCTGTTCCTTGGCCGGAGGGCCGGTGCCAGAGAATCAGCATCAATTCCTTCGGATTTGGCGGTGCCAACGGGCATGTAAGTCATTCGTTCCAAAGAATTCACGAGTCTTGCTGCTGAGTTGTTGAACCTCTTTCAGGTTATTCTCGACTCTGCTGCTTCATTTGCGGCCTACTGCGGCGCTGCCCGTCAACGGTACAGCAGCTCAGACAGCGATAGCCTCGAACATGGGCTCTCGCACTCGGACGAAAATTTTTTGAGCCTTAGCCTACCTGCCAGCGTCTCTTCCCAAAGCTCTGACTGCGACTCTACTGTCCCAGAGGTACGTTGCAGGAGATTGCATCCCATGCATATTGTCTGTGTCAGATGTCAACGATTTCTAGGAGTTCCCGCGCATCGTTGTCCTTTCTGCGCGTAGTGAAGAGTCCATCAAGAGACGAATTGCGGCGTTTGAGGCTTACATGACAAACTCGCCGCCTGCAATAAATGATATCGCCTACACTCTTGGGATGCGGACAGCACACATGTCTCATCGAGCGTTTGCTATTCACCACAACGACATTCATCAGGCACTGCAATTCAGCGTCGGAAAAAAGATTATCACAGGAAAAGAAAAGGAGACCAAGGTTGCCTTTGTCTTTACCGGCCAAGGCGCGCAGTGGTCGGGCATGGGAAGGGAACTCGTTCACTCCTCAGCGACGTTCCGCGAGGACATACGAAATATGGACAAGGTTTTGCAATCGTTACCTACGGCACCGAAATGGACATTGGAAGGTAAATTTGCTCCAATTACATGTTTAGACGTGTTCAAGACTGACGAAGCTGACGTGCAATAGATGTTTTATGCCGTGACGATGAAGCAGAAACACTGTCCTGTCACATTGCTGAACTTGCGCAGCCTCTTTGTACCGCCATCCAGGTTGCCTTGGTGAATTTCCTGAGAAAATGTGGCATCAAGCCAAGTGCTGTTGTCGGGCACTCGAGTGGCGAGATCGCCGCTGCTTACGCAGCCGGAGCAATCGACTATTCTGAGGCCATTCTGTGCTCTTACTTTCGCGGCCTCGTAACCACCAAACTACAATCCGATGGGAGCATGGCTGCCATTGGGCTGGGACGGGACCATGTGACGGCTCATCTCGTAGATGGTGCGCAAATTGCGTGCGAGAACAGCCCCAAGAGTGTGAGCATATCGGGCAATTCTGAAGCCGTATGCAAGACTATGGAGAATATAGAGGCCGTAAACAAGGACACGTTTATGCGAAAGCTCAAAGTCCAGGTTGCGTATCATTCCCGTAAGAATAGCTGATGAATCTGGTCAGAGGCGCAAACTAACAAAGTCACAGCCCAGATGAGCCCAGTCGCCACCAAATATGAGGAGATGATGAAACCATACCATACTGGCACCAAAGCTTGGAAGTGTCCATTCTACTCCTCCCTGTATGGCAAGCTTGCCGATCCCAAAATGGGGCTTGGTCCATTGTATTGGAAAGACAACATGGTGTCTCCAGTACTCTTCTTTTCTGCGACACGCCAACTCCTCGACGACCTGCCCGAGATAACCGCCATGGTGGAAATCGGGCCACATCCGGCTCTCCAAGGGCCTGTACGCCAAATCATCGAATCCAAGTCTCCGCAGCCATCCGTCACTTATCTTGGTACGCTTGTCAGAGACAAACCCGCACACGATGCCGTTCTCACCACGCTAGGCCGGCTGTATACAATGGGCCATGATATTGACTTTTCCTTTCTAAACCCTGGCGGTTCTGTGGTGGCAGATTTGCCACGCTACTCTTGGGACCACAAACGATATACGTGGACAGAGAGTCGTCTTTCCAAGCACTGGAGAATGCGGCAGTTTGCTCATCACGAGCTGCTGGGTATACGTTGCACGACGCCGTCCGAATTCGACGCAACATGGAGAAACGTGTTCCGCCACTACGACATCCCGTGGCTCAAGGACCACATGCTGAATTCAGACATTGTGTTCCCGGCGGCTGGCTATGTCGCAATGATGGGCGAGGCCATACGGCAGCTCCTGGGCTCGGAAGCGTACATCCTCGAAGATGTCCTTGTCAAGGCGGCCTTGATAGTGCCGGAGGCAGAGCCGGTGGAAATAATGACAACCATGCGTCCATTTAGACTCTCTGGATTGAGTAACTCGTCTACCTGGTACGAGTTGTCCATTTGCTCCTTGTGCGCCGATACATGGGTTGAGCACTGCGTCGCCCGCGGCAAGGCCAGGAGCGAGGGCGGAAACGGCAACAGCAAACAAACAACGACGGCACCCCTGCAGCGCCAGGTGAATGAGGACTGCTTTTATAACCGGCTCCAATACCTCGGTTTCTGTTATGGGCCGCATTTTCGGCGACTGCGAGAGCTTACAGCCGACACCGATAGGCAGCACGCTGTGGGTGCTGTGACTGACACAACGAACAAGAACGAAGCCTTTTACGCGTTGCATCCGACCACGATCGACTTGGCTCTTCAACTAAGCGCTTTAGCTGCCTGCCAAGGTATCGGGAGACGTCTCGACATACTAGCTGTACCCGTGGAACTGAAGCACATCATGGTGTGCCCTGGCGGGCCGGAGCTTGTGCTTGACGCAGTCACGGACACGGACAACAACACGGCAAGCATCTTGGCCATGTCAGAAGACACGGGGAAAACCGCTTTGGAAATTCGAGACGGCAGGTTTCTGCCGTTCAATAACGGCGGTCTGCAGAAACAGGAGCCCCTTCATGCGGCGCACGTGGAGTGGCTACCGGATCTGGACTTGTACGACAAAATCGACTTCGCGAGAACAAATGGCAACAGCAGGAAGGTGAACAAGACGCTGGACCATGCTACCGCAGTTGTTGTCGTTCAAATGCTCCACGAGCTGGACTCGCTCGGAATTGACGCCGCAACAACGCCAGGCGACCTCCCAAAGTATATCGCTTGGTTGAGGGAGGAGAAGAACAAGTACACCCAAGACGAGGAACTTGCAAGTTTATTTTCCCTCTCGTCCAAGACGAGAATAGAGATGCTCGACTCCCTGCGGAGACAAGTACAAGACGACGACGATGAAACCAGTCTTGCCTTGGCAAATATGTATGTCAGGCTCGCCACGAGTGAGAACATTGCGGCGATTTTCACGGGAAGCATCAAGCCCTTGCAAATATGCCTGGATGACAAGGGGCTGGAGAGCTTTTACGTCAATGGCCAGAGTCTGGTCTCGCCCAGGGATTTCCTCAGACTGTGCACTCATTCCAAGCCGACTCTGTCTGTTCTCGAGATTGGCGCGGGGACAGGAGCGACCACGGAGGCCATGTTGCAAGGTCTAGTGGCCGAGGATGGGAGGCGAGTATACTCCAAATACGTCTTTACTGACATTTCCAGCGGGTTTTTTGTCTCTGCCAGGGATAAATTTGCCAAATGGGACGGTGTCGCGTACCAAGTGCTTGATATTGAAAGCGATCCAGCTGCGCAGGGCTTTGAGTTGCAATCATTCGACCTTATTGTTGCTTCCAACGTAGGACAGACGATGTTGAAAACAAAGAGGCCCTGGTATCACTGACATGGCTTACAGGTATTGCATGTGACATCTAATCTTCATAAATCATTGCTCAATGTCCGATCACTGTTGAAGCCCGGAGGACGGCTAATCCTCCAGGAACTGGTAGCGCGTGAGAATACATGACTATCGCTCTTTCTTTGGCGACGCATTCTAACTGAATTCTATTACAGCTCCCAACTGGCGATGCATCCCTTTCCTCACGGCATGTTCATCCATCTCTATATTCCTTCATGCCTTTGCACTAACGACTCCCGTTCCGCGTGATAGGGCCTTCTACCGGGATGGTGGGCAGAGAAAGAAGACAGTCGCGAGGCAGGGCCCCTAGTTTCCGTCCAACGATGGAATACGGAGCTCCTTTCTGCCGGGTTCAGCGGCACAGATATTGTCAAGCTCGACGATGAGCACCCTTACTCCATCACCGCTCACATGACCAGCACTGCACTCGCCGAGGTGAAAGAACCGCTGGGGTTGACGTTTCTCTACAGGCAGGTTCGGCATGAATTTGCTTGTAAACTGGCCGAGAAGCTTCACCTTCTGGGTCACCAAGTGCAGTGGGTGCAGTTGGGCTCTGAAGAGAACGACACAAAGGCAGAGTCTACTGGCTGTGACATCATTTCCACTATAGAGCTGGAGGGCAGCTCGTTCATGGACGACATTTCAGAAGCCGACTATGGACACATGATGAAGCTTCTTGCCCGCCACAAACGGGGAATTCTCTGGTTGACTCGACCGGCACAGTTTGCCTGCGAAACACCCGGCTATGGCGCCACCACGGGACTGATGCGATGCGCCCGCACTGAAGTTGGGCTGGACTGCTGGACAGCCGAGATTGAAGACTTGGATGACACTGCTTTAGATTCCGTCTTTGCGCTTTCTCGCAAGTTCTGCCAGCGAGGACCGATGGATCGGGGCGTAGATGCCGAGTATGCCGTTCGGCGCGATGGTGTTGTATACGTTCCTCGATTCCACTTGGAATCGACGGAGAACGAGCTCCAACAGCTATCCGGCGACGACGTTGCCAAGCAGCTAGTCATTGGGCAACTCGGATCGGTCGATACGCTCCACTGGGTAACACATACAGAACATTTGGACCTGGCACCCGACGAGGTAGAGGTGGATATTCGTTTTGTTGGGTTGAATTTCAAGGTTTGTAGCTGCAATATCCTGCTTACTATGATTTGGCTGACACGACCTTTGCTTTGCAGGATCTTCTTACAACCATGGGTATTCTTCACGGCCAGAAAGATTCTCTCGGTTTGGAATGTAGCGGCGTGGTTACTCGCAAAGGATCAGCCGTCGATACTGTCAATGTCGGCGACCGCGTTTGTGCCATGGGCTCGGGTCTGATAAGAACGCGGAAATGCTTTCCTTCAAAGCTCATCATACAGATCCCAGATGACATGACGCTCGAGCAAGCTGCCACGTTGCCAGTCGTGTACGCAACGGTAGTACATGCAATTGTCAACATTGGCCGCCTGCGAAAAGGACAGGTGAGACAATGGGCGGCGGCAGAGAACTCATAATGGCCTTTAGATACGGTACCTGACACACGTTAGTCCATTTTAATCCATTCCGCGGCCGGTGGTGTAGGCCAGGCCGCCATCTACATGTGCCGAGCTATCGGCGCCGAGGTCAGTATCCTTCTCAAGGTGTAACTGTGTGCTTGCCTAATTTTTTCCTAGGTTTATGTCACCGCCGGGACAGAAGAGAAGGTTCAGTTTCTCATGGAAACGCATCAAATTCCCCGTGAACACATTTTTGACTCGCGGAGCGACCGTTTCCTCGACGGCGTCATGGGAATAACCGACGGCAGAGGAGTTGATCTGGTACTCAACTCATTGGCAGGTGATCTCCTCCAAGCCTCGTGGTGTTGTGTTGCAAAACACGGCAAGATGCTCGAAATCGGAAAGCGAGATATACTGGAGCATGGGAGACTCGCCATGGACATGTTTCAAGGCAACCGAGCATACTGTGGCATCGATCTCTCTGCCATGGACGAGGAGCAAGTTACCGAGTAAGTCACCTTTTTCTCAGCCTACGACTTATATCAGCTAGCTCACGCCCTATGGCAGGTTGATGGGCCAATGCTTCAACCTGAGATACAAGCAACATCTAAAGCCCATCGAGCCTGTTCAAACCTTTGGGCCGGACCAGATTTCTGAAGCGTTCAAGCTCATGAAAAAGGGTCACCACATGGGCAAGTTGGTCATAGCCATTCCGGAAAACGGGTCGAAAATACCAGCCAAAACCTCGGACAAGTCAAAACTGTTTTCCGACAAGCCCACATATCTCCTGGTCGGCGGTCTTGGAGGACTCGGCAGAGAGGTGGCCCGGTGGATGATAGAGAAGGGGGCCAAAAGCCTCTGCTTTCTATCTCCCTCTGCTGGTAGCAATCAGCATGCGGCATTCATAAAGGAATTGGAGTCGCAAGGGTGTAGAATTACGGCCATAGCAGGAGATGTCTCAGAGATGCAGGATGTCGAGAGGGCCATCAGCGCGTCGCCATCACCGATTGGAGGCGTCATGCAGCTTTCTATGGTGTTGAGGGTGTGTTTTCATGAGTCAAACAGTTGTGCAGCTGACAGCTAATCTTTTTCATAGGACTGTGCCTTGATAGAAACGACATACCAGGACTGGAAAGCCGTACAGAATCCCAAGGTCAAGGGAACCTGGAACCTGCACCGCGCTCTTATCAACACCAAGCTTAAATTCTTCATCTTGTTCAGCTCCATTGCAGGTCTACTCGGGCATCCTGACCAAGGAAGCTACGCCTCGGCAAATACATTCCTCGACTCATACTGTCACTACCGCCACGGGCTGGGGCTCCCTTGCTCAGTCATCGATCTCGGCGGAGTCGACGGCATCGGCGCCCTCGCTGTCAAGTCCAACAAAATCAGCCATTTCAACTCGTTGGGCTTGTTTCTTCTTCAGCAAGACCATGTGATGGAGGCTATAGAAATCGCACTGCACACGTCTGCCCCTACGTCACTGACAGTATTGCCCAGGCCTGTTGGTGGGTTTACTTGGAAGCCTCAGATCGCCATCGGGCTCGCCTCTGCCCGCGCATCCTCAATTCCTGTAAACCTACAGTTATTCAAGTCTGATGTGCGTTTTGGCGAATATGTCAACCTCGCCGTCGATGAAGATCAAAGAGAAGTGAAAAAAGAAGCAATGTTGCGCGAAGTCCTTGACCAAGTTGAAGCTGATCCATCGGTGCTCGACACCCCGGGCACCCTAGATCGACTCTCTTTGGCCATTGGCAGCACACTTTTTGAGTATCTGTCGCTGTCAGAGAATGAAATGGACATCCACGCACCACTTGAATCTATTGGTGTAGATTCGCTCGTGAGTATTGAGATCCGTAACTGGTGGCGGAGGACGATCGGATTAGAGATAACTGCTTCCGAGATTGTGAAGGCGGGCAGCATTGAGGGACTGGGTAAGTTGTTAGTTACAGGTCTAAGGAAAAAGTACAACAAGGGGTCAGATCTGCCATCAGATGCTGCAAACAAGGCATCATCTTGACAATCTCTTTTTACGTATACTACTAATGAGTAAAGCGTATAATTTAATAGATGCTGCGAGTCTTTCCGTGTATCCGTGTATCATGACTCCGCCACATAATAGAACGGAGTACCAAAAGTCTGACTGCTCAACGCTCAGCAAGGGGCACATGGAGTTATATATCCAATTGCATTGCATTGTGAGCCATCTCGTGAACGTTGCTCAGCACTAACGCTACTTGATGTACAGAGTATGTGTTCTCTAACAATCTTGGGCCAAATTCTCTGTTTTGTTACGAAAATGTAAATGGAACAGTATTAACTCCCATGGGGAACCCCTATTTAAATTTAAAGTTAGTTCCCTGTCTAATATTATAACCGTACTATTTGCAATGAATAGTGTTAATAGAAAACCGCATATAAAACCCGGACATGTTGGTTCGGGACTTATATCCCTATAACCCAATATTATATAGTTATATAATACCGGACAATAGTAGGTTCTTCCCGTTCACACAATGTACCTAGGCATTGCGAAAAACATAGGCACGACGTACAATCTCGATGCCTGTTTTAACCATCTCAGGTTCTGTATATACTCTGGGAGGCGCTGTTTCCCCCGCAGAGCTGGGCAGAGGTGGCAAGTTGAATCTCAAAGCTCGTCCTTGTTGTACAGGGCCAACACGATGAATTGGGGTTCCAAATGTGGCATGTTCCGATCTCCTAGGTTCCCGCCTGCACAACATATAACATGATGCCATTTATATCCTCTCCTCAGACAGGATCTTATGCAACCACTCCGTATCATCAACCTCCCCTTTCAATGCAATAGATGGACCTAGTCTCTGGAAAAATGCAGACTCAAATCGTTGCGGATAGTAGCCAGCGTACTCCCAGTTGATAATGGCGTTAATCTTAAGAGTCCTAGGAGCAACAATGACATTATTTGTGGAAAGATCATTGTGACAAAAGACGAGATTATTTTCTCTCCGCGGCTTCATTTTCCAGGGCCTACCATCAGAGTATTGCATGATGCGGTATGGAGGCATAACCTATTTGCCCGTTAATTATTACATATGTAGCAATTAGGCTACTAGGAGAGTTCTCACCAAACCGCTAGGACCGCCCCAGATATGATGTGTCAAATTGCTTAGGGCCTTCATATGAATGCAGAGCTCTTTGGCAACCACCTCCCGCTGCTCTTCATCAAGCCAGCTCATAGCAACTCCTTCAACGTACTCTGTAATGAGGTACGCGGCACCGTCGTCTTCAAAGCAAGCATGGAGCTTAGGTATTGGGATGTTGGTTTTATCTGCAAGATGGCGAAGGCAAGCGCCTTCATTTAAAACACGCTCAAGGCTAAATAGCGGTATGGGCATATAGCCGTCCTCCTTCTGCCATTCACTGGGTCGTAGACTTCGCTTGATCCAAGTCTGTCCGACTCTGTAGTATTTCATATCGGTAGTAATTTGAAGACAATTCTCTTCGCGCTTTTTATTTAGTTCTGCGTTGGTGGGAGGTGACATCCTGGCGGCGTTGAAGAATTGATGCTGCGACAAGGACCGGGTAATCGGGCTTGGAACACAACTTAGTTTTCCAAGGGACCATGAGGGACCAGAGGTCTCTATAAGTACATGAAGTCGCTGAGCGTCGGAGGCCTGCGGCATCTCTTAGTCTCATGATGCCTTCTTTGTTGTCAATTATGTAACCGTTGTTGACCCAGCGCCTTTGTTGTGGCCTGACCGTGTGACAGATGCCGTGTTTGACAATACGAAAATAACAGACATCCTTTGTACCAAATATTCCTGACTGGATGGAGGTCCTGAAAGAATGGCCACGGGGTCAATAGCATGTTGATTGGCACTCATCAGCGCCGCATCATCGAGCAAGGCTCCGCGAAGCCAACTTGTGTGACTTGTCATGCTGGAGAAAATGCCGTCAGCAACACCTTGTAAGAAATATGACGTCAGTAGTTCATCGGACAAGGCTTCCCGTGCTTTTCAATTAGCACAGATGAGCTGAACTTGACACAGCGCTGAATGGCTGCGCCAGATAACATTTAAGCTGAAGTGCTTGTTAAGCCCCGAACAGCGGCGGCAATTTCCACCCGATTCGGTGGGAAGAACGGCGTCTATGTACTTCGCAGATGCACATCCTGTGCTCATGTCCAAGAAGTCAGCGATGATCGAGCTGTTTCTATCACAGCTTTCGTCATACCCCCAATGTCTGCACATCGAGTTCTATTGTTCCGCCACACTTCTCGAGAGAGTTGACAGCTTGCGGGTGTGGTCGCTCGTGGCGGTGCCTTCTGATGGCTTCCTATGGCAACTGATATTAAGTCAACTATTCCCTTGGCCGGCGTCCGGAAGCATTTTGCGATACAGTGGCGAGGGCAACTAGAGTGGTGCGCGTGGTTGTCGCATTGGCAGTGCCAACTATCCCATGAACTGTTTGAGAATTGAAGCTGCAATGAGAAGAGACCCAGATACTAAGAGCTGCCGCATGGATTATATTGCTACGACTAGCCATGTTCAACGGAAGAAACCTCTAGACCCAGCCAGGGCGCTTTACACCGCGTCTTGCCAGCAAAACCGGTTGACTTCTTCCCTCACCGACACCACATGTCGACCTCGACATTTCGCAGCTGTCCCAGCAGCTCAAAATTCAGACCACTCTGCCTGAAGGCAACTATTATCAACTCAAAGCTCGCCTCCAATGAAGCAACGGACCAGTCCCTTTCGTCGAACCTGGGAATCTGAGGGATGGACTCTTGAGAAACAAGAGGATCGACCCAACTGACTTCGACCTTGTCCGCCAGGACCAAGCTCTTTGCCAACTCCAACCCAGGGGAGTTTATCAGATGAGCCTGTCCTGGCTTGAAACCCATACCAACCACCAAGATGCGCGGCCGACAAAAGGGCAGCCGTCTACACAGCCTCGTCACCACCCGCTCTGCAATTTCCCCCGGCCGGCGCGTCATTTTCTCACACGCCGCCCGTAGAATGGGGAAGCTGTTATTGGAAAACAGGTAGTAGGGATTGACGGGGATACAATGGCCTCCTACCCCAAGGCCAGGCATAAGAGTAATATAGCCAAAGGGCTTGGTCGCAGCCGCACCGCACACTTCAAACGGGTCGATGCCGTGCGAGACGCAAGCATCCGCCATTTCATTTGCGTAGGCAATGCACACCATTCGCTGGCAGTTCTCGTACAGCTTCGTCATCTCGGCCACCTCTGGGCTCGACACGGGAGTCACCTGGTCAAAGACCCTGGAGTAGAGCTCGTGTATGGCGGCCAGCGAGCCCGGGACCTCGTCGTCCAGGCCGGAGATGATCTTGGGTATGGCGTGTGCGGGAGGCTCTGTCCGGCCGGGGTCAACTCTCTCGGGCGACATGCCTGCAAAGAGGCCCCTGTTCCTCGCGAGCGGTCCGAGATATTCGCGCGTCATGCCGACGGCGACGGAACTCTCGATGATGACTGTTGATCCTGGCCGCGCGATCTGGGCGACTGTGGACAGTGCGTTGCGGAGAAACGACGAGTCGATGCGCTTGTCTGGTAGCAGGAGCGTTGGCACTGATATGAGGAAATGTGTGGCCTGGCTCATTGCTGATGGCGATGATGAAAAGCTCACTCTGTCGTTGCTCTCAAAGGTTTTCTTGAGATGATGGATTCTGAATTCGGAAATGTCGTATCCGAGAACATTGTACGCTCTTGAAAAGACTTGAGCAAGGTGTTGTCCAACGTAGCCGACACCGATGATGGCTACTAGAGGTTGCGTTGTGACGGAGATGGGATCCGTGACTGGCAACACCTCTTGCTCGAATTCGGCCTTTTCACCAGGAGGCGTCAGATCATAGTGAATGCGATTGTCAAGGTCAAATGCAGTGGCGCATTCGTCGGATACAACAGCTGCCGGAGTCTGAAAAGAAGAGCTTTCAAGCTCGAAGGGTGCACTGAGCGGATTTTTCATCATGATCGGAGTAGCGGGTTGGCTCACTGTCACAATGGTTGTGAAGCTCCATACTCAAGTTCGACATGTATCTACATGTTATATCTATTTCTTTCATCTCGAGGTGAATAGAGACGTGGAGGGACTTGATTGTTGGTGCCGCGTCATATTCACTTTATGACTCGCACAGAAACATCTAAGCTGTCCTCGTTTGCTTTGTCAAAAGCACGCCAGAAAATGTTACATGGCTTGAGTAAACAGGGCAATCACAGCATCAACGACCTTTCAAGCTTGAAGATTACGAACAATGCTGCAGGGTGGCTTCGCTTCACCTTGGGCTGGGGCTGAAAAGTTGGTGGCATTCCGGATCCAGGACACAGAGTCTTGCCGTTCACATTGAGTTCAACATTTTATGCAGTAACCAAGTACGACCAGCCGGGAGGGCTTGAAATATGAGTCAATCGGCGCTGTTCCGATGGTGTCCCACGTTCGGACAAACAGGATATGCATAAGTTCTACTGACCCCCCGCAAACCATGTTGTGTAATGCATGGATGGCTCGTATAAATTGTATTTCCCGTGGGTTTAATAATAGAAATTCGCGTTTCCTCCCTCGGGTTTATTTCTTCCCATGCAATACAGCGAATTGCAAGGAACGCCCACCTGATGTGCCACTGCTGACCTGCGAGAGTCTCATACGAGTGTTGCCTATCACAGCATGATCGGGATGGAAGAAGAGGGAACACAGAATAGTTGGTCATACAACTTCAGCTATTTGAAAGTTTCACTGGTCATTGGCGGGGACTTTCCATCTCGTCTTGTCCGAGCTGCATCCAGGTAAACTACGTAACTGGTAGCATCATCGGATGGTGAGTTGTCTCGGCCAGCCCCAGACATACAGCCAGTTCCGCGTGGCCATGTCGGTGCGCTTATCCCGGAAAGGAAATAACCCTATTCTATTACCCGGAGCTCGGGTGTACACTGCTGGTTCGTGCCCAAAATGAGATATTCCATACATTGGCTACTGGTTGCAAGGAGGTGTATTTCCGCCCCTCCTGTCTGAAGATCCACCTGAAAAAAGCTATATTCAGGATGTTTTGGCAATATATTGAAGCAACTGTGAGCTGTGAAACCACGTAGGCCAAATATTTCATGTTCATTTGCTGAAACAGCTGAGCTGGGTGTCATATGTGTCGTCTATTGATACCTGTCCATCCACAACCCTGACACTTCTGCGCCAAGAATAAACACGCGTCAATATCGCCAAACGTTAATTATTGGAGATCAGTTTAATATTAGAAATGGCTTGTGGCACGAAAGAGTGCTTCTATAACAAGCGTGTACCTACCGGAACCAGAAGCCAGAACCACTGTCGTAATAGACTCACATCCCTTACTCCATGTCATGTCATGGAACTATGTCATAAAACTACCCTCGCTCCCAATCCCGAAGCAAACACAGTCTATTTATTCGAGTTTTGTTCTTTTCTAGCTGCATCTAGCTCCTTTTTGTATCCAGGAAACGGCAGGGACACCAGACCCTACTCAACCGCAATGACACCAAAACTCGGCCTCCTCCTCGCTGTGTACTTCCAGAGCCTGCTAGCCTTCCGTTTCAATCGGGAACTAGTCGCCAATGAAAAGCCAATGTGCGGTCCCGGCGAGGGATCATGTGAAATGGGTTCATGCTGCTCAGAGATAGGGTTCTGCGGCACCACAGCGGAGTATTGTTCAGGCTCGCAGTGTCAACTAGACTACAGTCATACTTGCGATACGCTGTGAGCATCGAAACCAGATTGGCAAGACTTTGATGTAATTGGCTAACGAATAGAGATAAGGGTGCCTCCTGATGGCAGTGACACTTCAGAAATACCCCGGCCACGGGTTGGAAAAGTCCCATATGGTAACTGTTCACAGAGTTTGCGGGAATGGACACTTTGGACTAACGATTTCAGGGCCCATGATCACATCATGCAAGAATCCGGGGATGGTGGCTCTGACGTTCGACGACGGCCCCTACATCTACACCACGGAACTTCTGGACCTTCTCGCAGCGCACGAGGTCAAGGCCACCTTCTTCATCACGGGTGACAACCGCGCCAAGGGACATATCGATGACCCGGCGACGGCATGGCCGAGTATCCTGCGGCGGATGTACAACGCGGGCCACCAGGTCGCCAGTCACACGTGGACACATCGTGACTTGACTGAGGTCAACGAGACGGTGCGGCGGGCAGAGATTATTCACAACGAAATGGCCCTTCGCAATATCCTTGGCCGAATCCCCACGTACATCCGGCCCCCATTCCTGGAATGTTCTGCTGGTTCCGGGTGCGAAGAAACCTTGGGTGACTTGGCGTACCACTCCATCTCGGCCAACTTGGACACCAAAGACTACATGTACGATGACCCGGCCCTCATACAGAGGTCAAAGGACCGCTATTCCAGCACCCTGTCTCCAGATTCGAAAGAGAACTCGTACATTGTGCTGGCTCATGATGTTCACGAACAGACGGTACACAATCTGACAGAGTACATGATCAGTCTTGCGAGAGAAAGAGACTACAAGCTCGTCACGGTGGGCGAATGCCTAGGGGACCCTGAAGAGAACTGGTACCGTTCGGCAGAGACCAGGACCGTTGGGAAGAGGAACCTGTGCTCGGGACCGGCCAAACCGCAGGTCACATCTGTCTCACCTCCGCTGAATACGACTACCAAAATATCGCCCAACCAACGCTGCGGTGGGAGCACAGGATATATCTGTCCGGGGTCCGGGTTTGGGGACTGCTGCTCCCACTGGGGATATTGGTATGACCCCCTTCAAGCGTAGTCGTTGCCCGCGAGTTCATTTGCCTTTTCGCTGACCTTGTCATACCAGCGGATCGACGCCCGAGTTTTGTGGCACGGGGTGCGACAATGACTTTGGGGACTGCGATCCATCCCCGCAGGGTGTTTTGGATACAACGAATGGCCTGTGTGGCGCTCGGTACTCTGCTACCTGTCTTCACTTTGCGGGAAAGACGTGCTGCTCAAAGTATGGATATTGGTATGTCCCGTTTCTCGTCGCCAAGTTTATTGGTGTTCTGACCATTCAAGTAGCGGGAGTCAGGTTGAGCATTGTGGTGAGGGGTGCCAGGACGAGTACGGTCATTGTGACTGAAAGACGGTATTTTGGGTTCAAGGTACATGTGGAATAATTGGTTTCTGCCTTTTTGAGAAGAGGTTAGGGTTTCCGTGGTTTTTTCTCGGATACGCTTAATACTTTGCTATCGAAATGTTGCATTCTTTGCTCCGATGATGTGCGAGATAGCCAGGGCTACTGTTCAATTCGATTGCCTGTCGATCTCTTGACTGTATTCACCAAATACGCTGTAAATCAGACTATGTCTCCCATTTAGCCACATTTTGGCACCAATTCTTTGGGAACGATGGACATTGAAGAGAAAGCCGTTGATATCCGAATTCACCGGCGGTGCCCGTTCGAGACGGGCAGATGCCGCCGATACACGATATGTCAGTGCTGGGCATATGAGTACCGTCGATGGCAGACTTGGACAAAGTAGAATTAGAGTCGCATTAGGACGGCTCCGGGCACTGTAGTAGCAGTGCATACTCGCCAAGCACTTGTGCTCGGTTACATGTTGCTGTCGCCAAGTACACCGAGACTCCTAAACAGCATCATGTAGCCGAGCACAGGTGCTGGCCGACCGTTTGACTGGACCGTTTGCAAGCCCATCTCGGAAGTGTATTCCATGCTGTAACACTGGTACAACCACAAGGCTCAGGACACGAGATTCTCCACCGCTGGGGAAGAATTCCTGCCGTGTAGCGAAGCATGCTGTTGTATTATCCCGGAATTCCCATGTGTCGCACGTCGTACGGGGCACCACCATCATCTTTGTACGTTGCTATGCAATCTTCTCTTGTACAGGAACCATGTCTCAGCGTAGCCTTGTATGATGTATCTCGGGTATTGCGGGAATCGTGAGGATGCATTTCCGGTGCATGAATGGAAACACCTAGCCACCATGAGCTTAACAACACAGCAAGCTTGCTGCTTTCTAAGAAACAAAGTGGCTTCCGCCAAGAGTTTTCCAATGACCATGGGACTGTTTCACCTTTCCGTCGTCAATAATGAATGATTGGCAGTGACGTTTTCCCAAGACTGCCCACCACTGTGGTGGTTCACAATGCAACCCCTTGTCCGGAATCCGAGAACATGGCTTTAGCAATATGTATAGACTGATGCCGCTGCTGGCTCCGACATGCCCGCATATCTCACCCAATGTGAGCTTGGCTCAAAAGAACGGCTGAACTGGCGTTATTTGGGAGAAAGGCAGGCGCTGCAAGAGCTATCGTGGTACCAGCATGCAAGGTCTGGGGGCTTCGAGCGGCAAGGTGTACGAGAAGACGGTATTCGAGTCGATATGTACTCGCTCGACTTCGTATTGTGACTCGTAGCCTTGTCAATGCTAGCCCTCGGCACTTCTTTGTTTGATGATGACGTTCTCGGGCAGGCAAACATGCTTACCCCGGCCCATGGCTGGCCAAGATACATGCCCTATCTAGATGAAGCCTAAAGCTTGCGCAACAAGAGTTCAATAGTCTATGGATTGCTTATAGAGCCGAGCCGTATGACTATCACCGGGGCCAATGTACCTGGACTTCATTTACATATGCCCTGAATTGGCAGGCGAAGGGCTCAGCCTTCACATTTCTTAACCTAACCTCCAAACAGATCCCGCTCTTGCACAGCCTTTACTATTCATTGATGGAGAGTGCCTTTACCTTCTGAAGGGACCGGCTACGTCTTCGCATTCGCAAGGCGGGATTCGCCCAAGATGGGGAATTCCAGGCTCGATTGGCCCCTACCAAACAATATAAGAGGCTTGCCACCGATACATTATGGACTACATCCACCAGTATCGTTTCGAGAACCAGGATCAAGATTGCTCAATTCTAGCGACTCGGTAAATATCGCCAAACCTTGTCCATTGCCTACTGCTAACAGTGTCTAGACACTTGCTCGCGCAACGCCACGGGCGCCAGGTTCCCAAACCCCACGTTCCATCGAGTCCGCAACATCTGTTGACTCTCAATTCCACACGTCGAATGTTTCACTATGGGGAGACGTGCGGCAAGAAGAAGCCAAGCTGCGATGGGACGCGGAAGAAGAGCTGAAGAGAGTATCCAAGGAACTCCTTCGGCTTCAAAAATGGGCGCTGATCACAGGGCTCGTCGTCTTGAATTCTGCCCTCATCACCATAAGTCTTCTGCTACCACAAGCAGTATACCTATTCCTGGCCTTGCTTAGCTGCAACACCATACTGCAAGCGGGAATGGTGGTATGTATCGTGGCTAATGTGATATGGATCAAGATTATTTGCGGCTGTCGTAAAAAGAAGAACACGGCGCCCGCGACACCAGAAAGAATGGTTCTTCTGCTCCCTTGTTACAATGAGACTAAGGAAGAAATAGCGCGGTCGCTAGATTCCCTGGTTTCTCAGAAAGGGATTGATGAACACGCGCGACTCGTGTTCATCGTCGTGGACGGAAATGTACGTGGTCCCGGAATGGAAAAGACCACGCAGGACTATTTCCTCGAGGACATACTCGAGCCAGGGACTTCCAAATACTTCGAAAACGGGTACCGCGCAAGGGATGGACTGTTCATGCCGGTCAAAACCCGAGTAGGTAGATACAAGGGCATACCGTTTGTGTTTGTGGGAAAACGATATAACCAGGGCAAACGCGACAGCTTGTGCTTTGCCCGCTCCTTCTTGTACCACTTCAAGAAGCGGTCGGTAAACGCTGTGACAATCTTCAACAAGGAACTGTTTGAGTATCTCGGCAATTGCCTGCTAGAAAATGGCCTGCCCAACGTGGACTACCTGGTCGGCATGGACGCCGACACCGTCTTTGACGACTTTTGTGTCGTTGAGATGGTCAATACCATTCGCAAGAACCCCAAACTGGTCGGGGTTTGCGGCCACGTTTGCGTCGACTTTGACGGGAACAACTTTGGTCTCTGGTCCCTGTACCAATCCGTCGAGTACTCCCAGACCCAGGGCTTAAGAAGAATGTTCCAGTCGAGGATCACGGGCAAGGTCAACTGCCTCCCTGGGTGCTGTCAACTCATCAAAGTGGATGAAGCTACGTTTGGAGACACTGTCCTACGCGAACGCTTCGGATACTGCCCCAAACCGAATGATGTCATGACGCAGCAAATCATGGGCAACTATTCCGAAGACAGTATCCATGCGTCCATCATATTCAGTCTGTTTCCCAAGAAACAAACGGCGCAGGCCCTCCGCTCCAAAGCATTCACCATCGTCCCGCAGACGTGGAAGGTGTTTCTATCGCAGCGAAAGCGCTGGGCGCTAGGAAGCATCTCAAACGAGTTTGTCATGATCTTTCGGCCGGGAATCATTCTCGTTGAACGGCTGCAGAGCATCGTCGCAGTCATGACGTGGGCCATTACGCCGTTCATCATTTCCGCGGTGGCGCAACTGATTGCGCTCTTTGCCAAGAAGGGCGCAAAGGTTTTCGAAGATGAGATATTCGTTGGTTTAATTTCTGTTCTCTGGGTTAGATATGTAAGTTCTTCAACCACACAGCCCGGGGTTTGTGGACCGCGATTCGGGGTGACACCAGGTTTGACTGACCACAAGTCCATCTAGCTGTACTCTTTCTGCATCGGCTTTTGGCTTCCAAGAAATAACCTACAGAGACTTCAATATTTCGTTGGATTCATTATCCACTTTTTGTCGTCGCCGTTTATAAACATCATCATCTTAATATATTCATTGCTTTACGCAGACGACTTCAAGTGGGGTAAGACGAGGGAAGTTATTACCTCTGATGGAGAGAAAGGCGACGGGCTTGGTGGGCGAGGGACGCACTGATGAAAGCACATAGGTGATGAGGCACTATTCGTATAGATAACTTATTAACTTATTAACTTGGTAGATTACACACCAGCGTTTGTATCTCTGTCGGTCGCGTCAGTGGTTGCTTCCAATCTCTATACTGGCCCAGAAAGCTCTAGAGTTCATCAGTCTACTGGCTCCTGAGAGACAACGCCGCCTATTCCAGCTTCTCTTGCGGTCGGGCTACTCTTCGGGACTGTTATATTAAGTTGCTCTCTAATACGTTTCTCAGGTGCATCGGGTAGGCAGGCAGATGAAACACATAGAAAGTAAATAATGAAACTGTGTTCTATCTGTTCTCAGCTGCAGGTTCGATTACTGGTTTATTGCAGTAGTGACATGGGAAATCCATCATTCGGTTTCAATCATATCACAGAAGTACTAACGGTGTGATGGATCCTGGGGCAGAGCAAAGAGGGACTGATCAACGTTCACACAGGAGCTCAAATGCACAAAACAAGCATCAATACTCTAAGCTACCTGCAAAGGTGTGATTAACGATCAAAAAAAAAAATAGGAAGGTACTGGAGGCAGTGCCCGCCATCAATGGGATAGTTCAACTGACTTGAGCCCCAACAAACGGGCCAACAAACAGCCAGAAAACAAAATCGAGAACCATGAATGATATAAAACCGCAGAAAATTTATCATCAAACTAAAAAGAAAGCCAAAAGAACCCAACGTGTTCCACTTTTATTGGCCTTCCCTGGCCCTTTAACACAGTCCAATGCCCTCACTTCTCGACAACCTCGATTTTAATCTTTCTTTGGAAGCCGGATCCGGGCGACTCTGCCCGCTCCCTGCAATGCCAAGTGCACATTTCGGAGCATCCTGCATGGCTCAAAATACTTCTCGCCAGTTCGACCAATGACCATCACGCCCTGGAATGGTGCCTCCGGCTTCAGCACGTCGCCAGTGACATTAATATCCCCGACGATGATGAGGCCAGACCTGTGGCGACTCAGCAACACATTCAGCCGGTGCTCGTCAGAGGTGAACCCTGGACCCGAACTAGCCGTGGTCCCCATGATGATCATCACAATGTCACTTTCTTGGCCCTGAAAAGAGTCCACCGTCGCGGTCGGGCGCATTGGTTTCAAGGCAGCAAACTCTGGGCGCTTTCGAAACTTCTCGATGGTGCCAACATTGGCCAAGTAAGGCGAAATAATAACCATGTTTTGCGGTCTTGCACCCGAGCTCTTGATGAAGTTTACCAGGATCTTTAGTCCCAGTGTTACCTGGTCGGGGTTTCTCGTCGAACCAGAAAACTCATCCTGGGAGGACTGGGAACCCTCGCAATGGACAAAGACTGGAAGAAGCTCGCCAGCGGGAGCAGGCTTGATTCTTGGAAACTTTCGACAGAGATAACTCTCCAGTTTGCGGCCAATCTCATGATGGGGGAGGTCGATGGCGCATCCAGGGCCGTAGGTGAAAGGAATGTCTCTGTAAACCTCGTTATACGTGAGGTCGAATTGTCCCTCCGCCATCCGAAGCAGGACACGAAGTCTGTATATGGGCCAACCCATGGACTTGAAGTGGTGGATGGGCGAAATCGCGCCATCTCCCGCGAACCTATTCAAGGAATTGCCATCTTCGTCTCGCTCTTGCTTCGTCATCACAGTTGGCGGCAGTTGCTTTTCATCGCCAGCAAGGAGACACGGCTTACAGGTATTGCCCCAGACACATAGCAGGTCTGGCCGATTCATGTTGGCAGCCTCGTCGAATATGAATCCTCGGGCCTCCCTCTTTCTCCAGTCACAGAAAGGCTTTTTGCATGCGAGGTATGGTGTCGTTGCAATGACATCGGCTACGGATAGAATGCTTGTCATGAGACGCCTGACGGGTGAGTCGCGGCCATCTATCACTTCCAAACCCCTTCTCTTATACTTTTCCCACTCAATGATGCCCATTGCAACTTTGCCGAGGACCGCCAAAGAACCATCCTTGTCGCATTTCTCGCGAATGGCGTGCAAGCTCTCTTTGTCGTGTGGACCAAGCTGTCTCACAGCGGGAGATCGGATAACTACCAACACCCAGTAAGCCAACGACAAATGTAGTCTCCATTTGGAATTCCTGGACCATGACGATTCAATAGTGGCGTTACTGGCATCCTGGGGATTCTGCAGGGCATTTTTGAGGGCCTTTAGCTCATCGTCGATCTTGAATGCACGGATAATGAGCTTTCGATGATACTTGGGTGAAAGGCCCTGTTGACTGAGCTTATCGTTTAGACGATTCGTCACCCGATCACTAATAAGATCCAGTCGTGCTGCGGCATTATCCACAGAGATGTGCGTAGGTCCCGATAAATATAACTTCCCTAAAGTCTGAGCCATTGCAACGGCTCCAATAGCAAGGGCGGTCGTCTTTCCAAACCCAGGCGGCTTGGAACATGGACTGGTAAGTATTCGGAAGCTAACCTTCAAAATGACTATTACAGGGAAGAGAACTCACGGCGGTTATAATTCCGAGGCCAAGCGGTCGATTGCATAGATACTCGGTGAACCGAGAGCGGTCCTCGGGCAGGGCCTCCTGCATCAGGGAATCCACAAAATCGCGATCCGTGATTCTCAGGAGTGGAATATTTGGCAACGGATTAAATGGCGTATAGGGGATACCGAGGGCATCGGAAAGGAGAAGATTCGATATCGCAGTCGTAATCTTACCGCTTGCTGACGTGGGCTTGCCTTCAAAGGTGTTGTAGAACCCAGTGCCCAGGAACAAATCCCTTTGAACACTCATGAGAAGTTTAGCATTATCGAGCATTTTTTTCATTGTTGCCGAATCTTTCTTGGCCTTGGCTCCTTCTTCAATCATCTCGTTGAGATTGTATGGGTTTGCGGAACTCTTAAGGAGACAAACCCCTTCGTTGACTTTCCGCTGGAAGTCCTTCAGGTTGGCGTCAAAACGTAAGGAGATGCAATTCTATTGCTCCTTGCTATTTTCAAAGGCATCGTCGGCACTGGACCGATCTCGAAACTCTGAGATTTTGAATCGTGAATCACACGTCTCCCGCAATGGAGCCCGTCGAATGTAGAGAACTAGCTCATGGGCTTTGATTGGGTGTGCCTCTAAGACATCAATATGCTTTATGGATGAAGTATCCACGATCACCGCATCCCATGGGTCGTCTCTAGGCCTGGTCCCACACCTCGATGTAGTCATATCGTTGACTGAAATCTTGAGCTTCCCTTCCCTTGAGAGACGGCGCCAGGAGCTCTCAAAATTGGTTCGAAAGTATGGCGGAAGCGCAACAATTGCGTATAATAGCTGGTCTTCCCATGTCTTCAAATCTTCGTTGGCCGGGACAAAGTAGGCTGGCAATTTCGTTCCCTCCATCTTTTCGGCATCTTCTTGCACCCACATAATATCTTGGATCTGGGATTGCGATAACACGGTGAGCAACTCGTTAATGTCATCAAAGGATGTGCGCGGGAAGAACTGCCGGCCTTTATTCTCCTCCAGCATTTCGTAGTATTCGCTCTCTGACTTCCACTTATGAGACCTGCCGTATGGATAACGGAAAGGCCGCGGAAGGACGTCAAAGTTCCAGTCTTCGCTGAGTCTAATATTCTCTGATGCGACGACAAAATGGTACCTTCTTTGCGCCAACAGTCCCGTGAGAGTGACATTATCTATAATAGGCATGTTATCGTGCAGCCACTTATCGGCAATATGGCCCCTATTGGCATAAGGCATGCCATAGCCTTCAACGATAACTTGAGCGCCAGATTTCAGGATGACATCAACAAGATAAAGTTCTCGCTTTTCATCTGGAAAACGGCTCCGTATTGAATCATCCGCAGGCCATATATCACGCACGACATTATATCCAGGAAACTTGACCGTGATGGTATACGTTTTAGTTGGCACTGCTATTCCTTCCGAATCGGACCCTATACATGATGTTAGTCTTGCCCAAACAAGAGGGAAAAATCATGAAGGAATGCTTACAGCGATAGCATATGCCAAATCCATTTTCCTCATTATCTTCACCAAAAGGAAAATGGATGTCAAAACCTAACCAAGCTGTCTTATCAGGTATATTTTTAGCAATCAAATGACTGCCAATATCTGATATTCCGAGGCCCTTTCCTGCAAAAATAGAGCCGTTGAAGCCGCCAATCAGTATTGCGCAGTCTTCTGTGACGAGCCGCTCCATTATTGCCAAGGAGTGCCCAAGCCGCTTGTGAAATCTAGAGCGAATATTCCAAATACGAAGGTATTCTAGGACATCAGATAGAGTGCCGCAGCTTAGCTGTGCAGAATGTAGAACTCTGAAGAGTAGATAGTAGACGGTTGTCGAGTCGAAAAGAAAAAAAGCGCGAGCGACGAGAAGAAAAAAAGCGCGAGCGACGAGAAAGATCGCCACTAATTGCAACAACTTGCTGCACATGTGCCTTTGCCTCCCCCGTTTATTGTGATGTAATTTTTTCTGCCTAGTAAATTGTGGAGACATGGGCAAGATATCCTTGAGTGAATCAGAACTGATCCTTCGGTGAATCAGAACTGAACGAAACGTGAGCTATGTATGCGACTCTTAGACGTGAAGGTGAGAAACCAAGAAACTTGACGCTTAAGACAAGAGCCAACGGCGCACATCTCACGCTGCATATTGCGACAGTTAGGCAAGAGCCGCTATCGATTGATCTTTTAGCTCTCTCTATTGTCCCACAGTCAGACTTGATACCCATCCGTGATAGTTGTTGTAGCTCTTTGCTCAATCTTCAAGCCCACAAATGCCGGCATTGCGAACCGGCTTCGCCGTCTTCTGGCATTTGGCTGACGCTTGCATCCTGCTCTCATTTACTTTCGATACAAGTGATACAAGAATATGAAACGACTTGAACGGCCTGGGGTTGCGAAAATGAAGGTGTGACAGCTAGACTCCTTTCACAAACCACGCTGATTATAGATAAGTGCCCAAAGAAAAGGATTCTCGTCAATATTAAAACGAAACGGATCCCAACGTGGCTAGCAATAAGTTCAAGATTAGATCATGCCACATGTGCACGCTCAGTCGTGTTTGCCTCTACTATCGGCCGTTCAATTCTTGCCGCTGTCTTCTTTCAGCGAAACAATGCGGTTAAGAACTACATGATCATCAGTGGTATCAGGGTCGACGGTCTGAGTATGGCAAGCGTTGTTAGAAACTCTGCATAGAATGCACGATACCTCCAAAGGCACGCGGATTTTCACGATGAATGAAGATTGTACACCTACAAAATAACCAGTGCGCATGGCCTGGAACCTGACGCTTTCCGGAGCACTGCCCTCGTTGTTGGCAGCAACCTTGGGCCAGGGAGCAGTCTTGCGCACTTCATCGAACCCACTCGAAATCAAAGCACCAGGATAGATCGTCTCGCTATCAGGACGAATATCGTTCCTAAACCCGCCTTCGGTTTGCATCGGATCATCCGACTTGAAGAGGGGAGCGTGCACACGCACTTCTACCGCTCTAGATCCCTCCGGCACCCAATGGATATACGCCTTGGGCTTTTTGCAGTCCTTGTCGAATACAGCTCGGACCTCAGTGACGATGCCTGTGGTTGGGCTCTTGGAAAAGCTCACGACCTTGACTGGGTATGGCGATTGGATGAGCCCGACCGTCTTCCCAGGTGCTAGACGGAAGTAGTCCTTACTATCAGCCTCTCGGAAATCGGACCGCTCTATAAAGAGGGTTTGTGTCAGACGCTGGGTGTGGCCATTCAACTCCGACGTGGGAGATGGAATACGGCGCTCGGAGATTCCAGGATCAATTTCGTCCTCAATCACCAAAGCCACAGGGTCCAGGACAAGCATCAGACGAGGCACCGTTGTTTCCAGGTACTTTCGAACAGATTGCTCAAAACGGTTCACTTGAATGAACGTTCTCGAATTCGTGACTCCGAGTTCATTGATGAAGGATAAAATCGCACCAGGTGGAACGCCACGTCGGCGCAGGGCTACCAGAGTGTAGAGACGAGGGTCATCCCAGCCTCGGACGATTTTGTCTTCGACAAGAGCTGACAACCCTCGCTTGCTCATGATGGTTCCATTCAAATTCAGTCGGCCTACATCATGTCAATTTGAAACTCGAAAGCAAGGAATAGCGGCATTGCATACCAAATTCCCTTTGCATGGGTTCATAAACCTTGAGGCTCTTGTTGAGCCATTCGTAGCTCTCCCGTGACAATACAAATTCAGATGTGCAGAGACTGTGAGTCACCCCCTCCAAGCTGTCGCATAGACAGTGTGCAAAGTCATAGGTTGGGTAGATGTTCCATCGATTCCCGGTTCTGTGGTGCGGAGTTTGGTCCTTTGGGATGCGGTATGCTGCGAGATCCCACATCTGTGGGTTTGGATTCGAAATGTCTTGCTTCAGGCGTAGGAAGGCCGTTTGAGGCTTATATTTGCCGTCGCGCATCATGCGGAATTTGACCAGGTTTGTCGACACATCCTGCTCAGAGTGGTCGCATCTGTACCTCGGTCCTTCTTTGCCTTCATGTCCACCCCGCTGCCGCTTGATCTCGGATTCGTTGCAGTGGCAAACGTACGCCTTTCCCAACTCTATTAGTTGTTCTGCATAGTCGTAAAGTTTTTGAAAGTTGTCGCTCGAGTATGTGATGGCATGTGGAGTATACCCCAGCCAACGTATCGTCTCTTTGATAGCATCAATAAACCCTTTCTCCTCGGCGTCTGGATTTGTATCGTCGAACCTTAGCGGAAAAAGATTAGTGACAGTACTTGGCTACGCATCAATGTAAATGTCTTGCCTAAGAATCTTGGGTTTTGGTTAGCTCTAGGCCCATTGCTGTCCACCTGAGGCTGGATGACTTGCCGTTTTACCGCCGTGATATCGGGCGAATCCAAAGTCAACTGCGATAGCTTTTGCGTGGCCGAGATGCAGAAACCCGTTTGGTTCGGGCGGAAATCGTGTGACAACGCGCTCGGCTGGGAGTTCGTTGTACACATCCGCGAGAAAGCCCCGCGTGAACATGGCATCGGGATCAACTTGTATGCCATCCGTCTTCTCTTGCGGTGGAAGTTGTTGTTTTGGTGTATTATTTGGTTTCTCAGCTCGCGCGGCGGCAATGGCGGCCTTCCTTGCCCGCTTTTGCTGTCGTTTCTTCAGTTCCCGCTTAGGCACCATTTCGCCTGTTTCTTCATCAAGCTGAAGCTGAGCGAGAGCTTCAGTCGCGTGTTCTGGAGCCTGGCCTGCCATTTCCTCAGGGTCTTTTTACGGGGAATGGGTAGATTTGGGACGGATTGGTCAGATGAGCTTCATGAGAGAGTTTAAAAGGGGCCTGATATGGAGTTTGGAGCCGGTGGAATGGGAAAGGAGATGGAAGTAATATGACTCCCACCAACAGTAGTCTGGTGGTGAGTCACGTAACCACAGGACCTTTCATTCGCACAGGGCAACCAATGTCCCTCCCCCCCTGTTTAATGCCTGGGTTCAATTCCTGCGATCAAATTATCATCAAACACCATTCGTTTTGGCATTGTTATGGTAAAAACGTGGAACTAGTCTGTGCATCTCAAACTTGAATCGTGATGTTGCTGGACCGTGAATGGGCCTAGATATCTGATTGCAGTGGTGCATGCGGCACCTTGAGTAGGAATCCATGTGCCAGACCGTCGGAACTTAGTATCCAAGTCAAAAGTATCATCAACTGAACTTCTGCAAAGTTGCGCCTTGGTTCAGGTACGGCTGCAACTGCGAGGTGCGAGGGCCAGGCACGGAGTACCCTATATGCATTTTATGTACTCTGCATTCGTTTTTATGCTGACAGTTACCTGTGGTGCGACCAGCGGATACCTTCGGCACCATCATCATCGGCTATCGGCCATCTACCCGTTTCGGCTTACTGTCTGGTGCCCCGCCGCGGGGCAGCTGCAAGCAAAAAAAGTCTGAGTTGCAGAGTTCAATGCATGCCACTTCGTGGTTGTGCCACGCCACCTGCGTCCGCTCTTTCTTTGCATCTCTTCCAGAATCCTTGGTGGATACCTGTCCTCTCCTCTTTCTCTACAATCCTCTTCCTCCCCGTCACAATAATCCTTTTATTTCTTCTCCTTAACTGCATCTATCATCTGTCGCCATGGCTAGCGGAGTGCCTCATGTTGGGCGCAAGCCTGCCACTGTCCTCTCCGCCACCGAGCTGATCGGCAACACTCCCCTCGTCCGACTCAACAAGGTGCCTCAGTCGCTCGGCGTAGAATGCGACGTTTACGCAAAGACGGAGCTGTTCAATGCCGGCGGCAGTGTCAAGGACAGGATTGCCTTGCGAATGGTGGAGGAGGCCGAGAAGAGTGGCAGGATAAAGCCGGGCGATACTTTGATTGAGCCCACCAGCGGCAACACGTATGTTCTTCTTCCCACAACATGCCATGAGTGAAAATAACACGTCGCCATAGCGGCATTGGTCTGGCCCTCGTTGGTGCCATCAAAGGCTACAAAACCATCATCACCATGCCCGAGAAAATGTCGGCCGAAAAAGTTTCTGTGCTTCGAGCCCTCGGCGCCACCATCATCCGTACTCCCACCCAGGCCGCCTGGGACGCTCCCGAATCGCACATTGGAGTCGCGCGCCGTCTTGAAAAGGAAATCCCCAACGCCCATATCCTCGACCAGTACGGTAATGCCGATAACCCGCTTGCCCACGAGCATGGTACCGCTGAGGAGATATGGGAACAGACGGGTGGCAAGATTACTGCTGTTGTTGCTGGTGCTGGCACTGGCGGCACTATTACCGGTATTGCCCGTGGCTTGAAGAAGCACAGCAAGGACATCAAGGTTATTGCTGCCGATCCTCAGGGCAGTGTTCTTGCTCTGCCGGAATCCCTGAACCAGGAGCATGTGAATGAGCCGTACAAAGTGGAGGGCATTGGATACGACTTCATCCCAGATGTTTTGGACCGTGAAATTGTTGACAAGTGGTACAAGACGGATGACGAGGAGTCGTTTGTCCTTGCGAGACGCTTGATTGCCGAAGAAGGTCTTCTCGTCGGCGGCTCTTCTGGATCGGCCATGGCTGCCATGCTCAAAGCCGTCAAGGACTACGGTTTCAAGAAGGGTGATGTTGTGGTTGTCGTGTTGCCCGATAGCATCCGCAGCTACTTGTCCAAGTTTGCCGACGACGACTGGCTCGCCGCCAACGGTCTCCTGTCCACCGGCAGCGCTGAAACCTCCCTCGCCAAGAACGCCACTGGCGGTGATGCTTCCGATCCCTACGCTGGTGCTACCATTGCCTCTCTCCGTCTGAAGCCGGTTACTTCTGTCGTCGATACTGCTCCGTGCTCCGAAGCCATTGAGACTATGCGTGACAAGGGCTTCGATCAGCTTCCGGTGCTGTCTGCCACCTCCAAGCTTGTCGGTATTGTCACCCTCGGCAACCTGCTGTCATACATCTCCCGTGGCCGGGCCACACCCCAGAACCCCGTCAAGGACGTCATGTTCAACTTTAGCCGTCTGGACGAAATTGTCACCGATCCCCGACAGAGCGCTTCCGTGGCCAAGACCACTGGCCCCAAGCGAAAGTTTGTCGAAATTACCCTGGATACGCCACTATCTACCCTTAGCAAGTTCTTTGAGTGGAACAGCGCCGCAGTCGTGACAGCACGCAGTGACGAGAAGGGATCATTGTCCAAGCCTATTGGTGTTGTTACAAAGGTTGATTTGTTGACTTGGATGGTCAACAAGAAATAAGATGCGGGCATGTTTTGCTTTTCTAAATCTTTATATGGTGGCATGATTGGGCGTTTTGTTTGCGACTGTAGATATGAAATGAGGATTTCATTGGATGATCAACTGGGTATGGGTAGTAGACTCAACATCTACACAGATGATTTAGATTTTCTAAATGAATGCATTTAGTTACAAATACGGATGATGTGCTGTGTCCCATGGCGATGGATGAACGAGGTAATGTTTGAAATTAATACTAGTATAGTGAAGTATACCCTTGCCCACTTCATTAGCTTGTCCAGGGAGAATTTATTTATACACGCTGCGCCATCCACCACCACCACTTGTCAACATCTGCCTCCTTGGTAGTAACACTTCCAGGGACAACCTCGACATCGATATCAAACTCGCCCATCTGCTGAAACGAAAACTTTTCCGAGCCATACTCACCCAGCCACGAATCCTGGTCCTCTGACCCAATCTCGTCGACGCCAACGCCCGAGTCCAAAAGTCCCTTGCTCTTCGAGGCCCGAATCCGCGTCAGCTCATTCTCCAGCTGGCTCTTGACCAGGTTGGCCGGCAGCGCGGTAAACAAGTCCATCTTGTTGGCGGCAATCAAGACCGGGACCGCGGCCTTGTTCTTCCCCTTGTCGCCCGCCCTGCGCTGCAGATGCAGCAGCACGTCGTGGAGATATGCGGCGGTGGGGGCGAGCGTCTCCTGCTCGCCCAGGGCGGCGGCGTCGACCATGAACACCACGGCTTTTAACTTGTCGGCGTCGGCCAGCTTGGCCATGGCTACGTTGCGGAGCTTGCCGTGGCCCGGGGTGTCGACGAGCAGGAACTTGGTGTAGGTGCCCGACGAGTCGTCGTGGTTCCTGAAGGAGCCTTTGGTCTTGGCGTCGGTGGTGGCGTTTAGTTCGACGGATTGCGTGCGCTGCGTGGTGTGCGTGTCGGCGGGATTGGTGCCGCGCTCGAGGAGGGTGAGCAGGGACGTCTTGCCGGCGTTTTCGGGCCCGATGAGGAGCACGGTCGGGGCGATGGTGTATGTGGCGGAGGAGGCGAGGACGAAGTGTAGCAGGATCGGGCCGCCGATCATGATGAGGAACCCGAGGAGGATGACGGGGATGGACGGCGTGAGGAGCGCCTCGACGATTTGCGTGGCTGTCGGCATGGTGATCGTGATGATGAGGGCGATGTGGGAGGAGAGGGGGGGTAGGATTGAGCAGGAAGCTCGTGGTTATAGCTGCGGAGGAGAGGTTGGCGTGGCGTATATGCGCAGCATGTATCGTGTGTTGAAGGTTTGGACCTTGTGCGAGGGTGGTTTGACGGCTTGGATCGCAGCATTTATCGAACCATGTGGATGTGGTGTTGCGACCTTGGCAGAAAGTTTACGCCACAGGTCGAAGGGGACACCAGCCACAGAAAGAAAGGGCGGTAATTGCACCAGACTGCACATGTGTGGTTGAGCTGTCACTGGTCCCCTGACAAGCCACGCTGTACTCCGTAGCCACGGGGCTTCGTCGTGTCATTGCCCCAGGCGGGTCTCAGATATGGAGGACGACGAAAGAGACTACATGTAGGCGCAGGATTTGTGTAGGTAATTGTGATTTGAGGGGAGATACATAAGATGATTGTGTGGATGAAGTGAAATAAAAAAAAATTATTGAGATGCGCCTGCTGGAATATTTGTCTCATGGTGCAAATGGTGAATTGTCCAGACATGATCAAATCGCTGATAGCCACGGGGTCCATTGACCCCTGCACGGCCGCCCTGCTCAGCCTCGTTCAGCTCTGAGCATTGGCTTCTGAGTGGCCAGCGGGTCCGTCGGTTCCCTCATCCCCGTCCGGGATAATTTCCATCTCATCCAGATCACGCCGCCTCGGATACAAAGAAATCCTGCACCAGTGCTAAAGTTTGCTATCCCTTTTGCAATGCTTACCCTGTGTGCGGCCGTTGCGTTCTCATGATTTTGTTTTTGCCACAACCTTAATTCCCCAGCACGTACGGAATACTCCGTAAGCAGCTGCCCTCGGCACAACCAGCCTCGAGAATTCTTGCACTCGGGTTTTGTCAGCCACGACGCTTCGAGGCGCATCCCCCAACATCTCAACACCGAATCTCTCGTTTGGCTCCCCTGTCAACCGGGCCATCCGGGCGCTGCGCAGGCCTGCTGCTCCTGCCGTTACATGAGTAGTCCTGCTAGACCGAGCAGCAAATCCGCTGCGTCCGCGAGTGGTGCCAGTGCGCCCCCCATACAGTTTGCTACCAAGTCTTCGGTTGCATCTCCGAAGCTCAACAACGAAATGGAAATGGGCAGCCTCGCCGCCGATGGCCAGGCGGGCGATGATGACGCTGCTGTCGCTGTCAGTCCCGAGAAGGACATCATGCAGCTGGCGCGGATAGGTGACATCGTTGCCATGGAGAAGCTATTTGAGTCGGGAGAGTTCGATGCTACATACAGTGACGACGAGGGCATCACGCCCCTACATGTAAGCAGGCCGGCCAGCAAACCCCCCATCCCTTCCAACGATGTCATTGTCAAACTGGACAACGAAATCTGGAAGATGTAAAACTTGACGCTGACAATCCCAGTGGGCTGCCATAAACAACCAGTATGCCATGTGCAAGTTCCTTATCGAACACGGCGCCGAAATCAACCGCAAAGGCGGCGAGTCTGTTGCTACACCTCTCCAGTGGGCAGCCCAACGATGCCATTACTACACCGTCAATCTGCTTCTCCAGCACGGCGCCGACCCGCTCATCACCGATGCCCAAGGCTACAATACTCTGCACATCTCAACCTTCAACGGAAATACCCTGCTGATTGTGCTGCTCTTGCACCAGGGCATCCCCGTCGACGTCCTCGATACCTTTGGGCACACTTCACTCATGTGGGCAGCGTACAAAGGCTTCCCCTCGTGTGTAGACGTCTTCCTGCGCTGGGGCGCCAGCGTTCACGCAGCCGATGAGCAGGGATTCACAGCTCTCCACTGGGCTTTGGTCAAGGGCAATCCGGGATGTATCCAGAAGATTATTGAGTACGGCGCCGACCGGTTTGCGAAGACTGAGAGCGGCAAGACGCCTTCGGTGACGGCCACCGAGCTAAATACACAGCCTGCGTGGCATCGAGCCTTGAGGGAATGCGGCTACGACCGCGAGGGCAATCCAGTGACTCCTCCGTGGCCTGGTGCCAATTATTTTCTTAAGGATAAGAGGGCCTTCACATCCAAGTTTCTCTTCTTCTGGCCGTGGGTTATGATTTGGGGCGTGCTCATTGTTATTTCCTATGCGCCGGTATTCTTGGGTCTTCCGTTGGCGGCCGGGGTTGTGTATTGCGCGCATTGGTGCGCGACGCAGGTTTTGGAGTATGCTCCATCTGACATGCGACACTTTCACAAAACGGTGAGTTTCGGACCCGTGCTGGATTTTTCCCCGTCTGTCATCTGACGTCTCTCTAGCCCTGGATGGCTGGCATTTTCGCGGGCTCCCTCTTCCTCGTTGGAGTGAACTGGCTCAGCACTGTAGTGTGGACCACGATTCGCGGCGAGAGCTCACACATGATTCTGAATCTTGTATTTGGCGTTCTTTTCGGGTTGACCACATTCTTCTACGCAGCGAGCATGCGATATGATCCTGGATTCGTGCCAAAGTTGAATGGCATCGCGGAGCAGCGGGCCGTCATTGACGAGCTTCTGGCTAGCTGGAGGTTTGACGAGGCCAATTTCTGTGTTACTTGCATGATTCGTACGCCGCTCCGAAGCAAGCATTGCAGACGCTGCCAGCGCTGTGTAGCAAAGCATGACCAGTACGTGCAGCAAATGATGTTTTGATTAAGGTTTCCACTGACGACGTGAATGTAGTCACTGTCCCTGGGTGTACAATTGCGTTGGCATCAACAACCATAGACACTTTTTCTTGTACCTTGTTAATCTGACCTTTGGTATTCTTGCCTATGACTGGCTAGTGTATTATTGTGAGTTCAATTTTTAGTCGGAGTCCAGGACAATATTGCTAACTTGATCTAGATTTTGGTGTCGTTTCTACAGACGCTCCCGCGTCTTGCAATGTCCTCGGTCCCGGCTTCTGCAAGCTCATCAACTCGGACGCCTACACTTTACTCTTGTCTGTCTGGGTCAGCCTGCAGCTGATATGGGTGACCATGCTGGTGTTCACCCAGCTCGTTCAAGTGTCCCGAGCCATGACCACGTTTGAAAACATGACGGGAATTCACACTCGCGAAGCGACTACGGCGCTTACCTCGACCGGCACACCTCTGGATCCATCCCTCGCAGCGGCCGCGACATCCACCACGTCCGCCGGCGGCCACGGAGGTAGACACAAGGGGGGCATGCTCAAACAATGGAGCCGCATTCTCGGTGTCGACCCCTTTATCGAGACGATTACCGGCCGTGGCGCTGCCACTGGTAACAGTAGACGAAAGAAGAAGAACCCCTACAGCCGGGGTTGTGTGTCCAATTGTAAGGACTTTTGGTGTGATCCGGCTCCCGTCTTTGGCCAGAGAGAGAACGGAACGGCTGTCCTCGGGGGTGGCAAAGTGGACTACACGGCCATGTACGAGAGCCCTACACTGATGAGTCTCACGGGCATGAGAACACGCGGGGGGTACGAATCCGTCGAGACGGAGGAGGTATAGACGTCGGATCTGGGGACAAGTCTTGATGCATACACCTTTTTCGGCGCACGGTAGATGTCTTATTTTGTGTTTGCATTTGGGGCGGTTGTTGAGCAGGTGGCCCTTGAAAGAGGGCAGACGTGTCAAGCTGGGTGTGCGTTCTTGGATGCTTCACACGAGCGTGCGAGCTATGATTTATGACCAGGGACCTCGGCGAGGTTGTAATAGAGTATTGTGTATGATGAGTTGTCAGCACGTTGTGACGGTGTGTGAAATGCCGCATCCACCTCGCAAACTTGCACCGTTTGCTTCTCAGCAACGGGAGTGAGTGGTTTTTCATCAATGCTTGACATGTGCAAATAAATCTAAAGAGTATATTAGGCATACACCATGTAACGTACGCGCACACCACATCGGCATGTCCTCTCCACCCCGGGGCCACCTCACAAAGTCCAGATGTCCACATGCATATCGTCACTTGAGGTCGGCAAAGCCCATGGTCCCGTCGGCGACGTTGTGGTCGACGTAGCGCCCCTGGAAAAACGCCTGGCCGACGAGCCAATTGTCCCCGAAGGCGTCGGACCCGTGCACCGCGGCGGTGCAGTTGTCGCCGTCGCTGGCAAACGCCAGCGCCTCGGGCAGAATGTCAAAGTTGGCGCCGGCAAAGGAGAGGCCAATGGTCGGCGGGGCGCTGCAGTTGTAGTAGCCCGCGAGGCCGGTGCTCGTGGGCACGGCCTGGACGCCGGCGCGCGCGAAGACGTCGGCGACGCGGTGCGTGGGGCCGAAGATGACGGTCGTCCCGGAGTCGGTGATGATGCTGGCGCCGTGCTGGACCGCCGCCCCGTCGACCGTCACGTCGCCTTGTACCGCCCACTCGCCCTGTGTTAGGGGGACCGTGGTGAGCGGCTCTGTGAAGGTGTCGGTTGCTAGTGTGCCGTAGTACAGTTCGCCGGTCTTGTTGGGCCGTAGGGCGAGGCCGAAGCGGCACGTTGACAGGGCGCCCTGGTCGCAGAGGCTGTTGATGAAGGGGGAGCCGCGGAGGGCGCTGCCCTGCTGGCTGGCGTAGCCGATGAGGCCGTCGCGCGGGAAGGTCGGTGGTGAGGCTGGGTCTTGGATGTCGCCTAGGGTTTGGTTGGCTACGGTGAGGTTGGCTGAGAGCTGGGTGATGACGTCTTGGTAGACGTTGCCGGATGCCTGGCGTTTGGTGTCTTTAGCGTCCTGTTGTGTTGGGGGTTGCGGGCGGTTTTTTTACTTACGGTCAGAGTGCCCGATCCGTCCGGGTTGGTGGTGGCGTAGGAGATTCTGAAGCGGCGGTTGGCGTTGACGGACCCCGGCGAGGGCTTGTATACGCCTGGGTTGAGGATGGCGTCCGACGAGCCGGTGTCGATGAGGATTTCGAGGTCTGGACTCGCTCCGACGGTGAAGTGGGAGAACCAGAAGCCCTGGTTTTTGGACCTGTTAGTCTTTTGTATATTTTGCTCGTGGGGGTTGGGGCGGACATGCCTGGTCGTTGAACACGGGGGTGTCGTTGCCCGCTGCGGCAAGGCCCTTGATTGAGGCTATACGCTGGGCTGTTTCCCTGTCGACGACCTTGTAGAAGAGGGCGTGGGAGGAATCGGCCTGCGCGAGATGCGCGGCCGCGAGGAGGAGCAGTGTTTTGAGAGACATGGCTGTGCGTGACTGGTTCAGGAAGCGCTCAACACACGGAGGATATGGCTTGGGGCGTTGCGAATCCGCATCTTTATACGGGAAGAGTCCCGTCTTTGCCGTGATCCGTGCTGGAGTTACATCCGGAGTTTACCGTTGACCTTCTTGTTTGAGAGGATCTGCAACGGCACTAGCGATTCATCGACTTGGAGCGCCGGCCGGTGATGAGGTTCCAACGACGGCAGAGCAGGGAGGGCTGTTTAACAGACGGAAATGGTGCCAGATATATACGGGTTCCAATGCTCTTTTCTTGTTTGTCTAGACGCCGCGTGTTTTTTCGTCATCAGGCGCCGTGGTGATTATCGTGGACTTTTGCCCGAGACAGAGCGCGCCGCAAATCGACATGATCTACAAATACGGCCCCGGCTATGCCGGATGGGGAAGGCCGGACTCAAGCTGCCGGTTTGGAATTGGTCCGTCAGGTTATGTGGAATTCTTGTGTTTTTCACAATACCAGTACTTGCGCTTGTTATGGCTGACTTTGTCGCCTTTGCTACATTGATGATGCTGTGGGCAGGTGCCGGACAAAAGCGACACTGCAGAACTCGACATCTTTCTACAAGACCATTTCGACACCTTCCAACACCAGGTCATGACCAATACACACCAGTGGTGCTTGGACCTATTGCTGCGGCCTGGCCTTTGAATGGTTCCAGCGGTCGGGTAAGATGGGCAATCTTGAAGAAGTTATTAATGCCGAGAAACAAGCTTCCGAGCAATGACGGCAACAAGCGGACGTTTTGCGGCGGGATATCATAATGGGATTGCAATGGGGGGGTCGATATGACTGAATAGCAAAGCTTGGCGATCTTGACGAAGCGTTTAGTTTGTTCCAACAAGGGATTAAGCTTATACCTAACGATCGTCCCGGCCCCGTAGCTTTTCTACGGATTTTACCTACGACGGGATAGTCAACCCTACCGAACGTTCTCAATTCCAGACATGTACCCAGGAACCGAAACAGGATATCTTTAGTGCGAGGAAGATATCCCAGACTCATCTAGCTCACGATGAGATGGCACACCCCTTTCCATGCTCAACTACGGAGAATCAAGCTCTAGGGTTGGTGGATGAGGTACAACACTGGTCAGCGGCCTCCAAATAGCGAAACGGTAGCACGCATATTACCAGACACTTATAAAAGTGGAACGTTATGGTGTGCATGCAGGTTACTACATCTTTCTACTCTGAGCTAGCAAGGCCAGATGGTGTCGCCAATGGTGATGTGCCTGTGACGGTGGCGCTGTAGAGCGTGGTGGTGAGGCTTTGTGAAGCAAAGCGTACAACAAGAGACCTCTATTATGGACAAAGTATGTGCCTATCGAGCGTGAGAAGATCAGACCCAATTTCCATATATACAGGAGAGCAACTAGAAGCTCTCAGGAGCAGGCTATTTCGGGATGTGGCCGATTCCAAGGAGCCGTGTAGAAGCATGATTGGGGTCTTCAGCCGCTGAATGCACAAGATCTGGTAGTCGTTGCTCTTCAAGAGTTGGGTTTCTGTGAGCTCTCTCATCCAATAGAGTAGATGCATCGCTGACCTTTGCCCTCGCGATGAATGCAGTGGCCGCTGACACCATTCTCATTGTCAAGGCATCATCGTCCGCGAGGATCGTGGTAAGAGGTCTAATGTTGCATTCGGAAGTAGCATTCAACAAATCCGAATGCAAGCCGCAAGAGGCGATACTATGCGGTCTGCAATCAGAAAGAGGGAAATCTCACCATTTAACACAGGCAAGGTCACGGCCATGGTGCAAGTCCGGCAACTGAAGAAGATATCCGCCACTGCTACTTCCCTGAGGCCATCATTAGCATTTTCAACGCCATTCACGGGCCGGCAGATAGATTTGCTGGCCAATAGACTAGATTCAACGATGACAAAGATACAATCCTAGATCTCAGCTTTGTATATAATCTGGGCCGGCTTATGAGAGGCTCGTTGAAAAGGCAGAGCTGGTCCGGACTAAACCGAGACTCTGAAGGGGAGGACTAGATGTGCAAGACAAGATGCAGCCACAACCAAGGAGCACAAAAGATTCGTCAAGACAGTGAGGGGAGGGCGGAAAATGGTTCAACATGGGAAGACGGTGAAGGAGGTAATAGGAGCGTACCGTGGAAGTGGGAGACCGACGGCCAATAATAGCGCGGGCGCTGAGTTTCTGAGATAGCTTAGCTATTGGAGCACGTACTCTACGGCTTGCTGGAAGGATAGGATCAGCTGATAGTACATATGTAAAGGATGGAAGACGGAAAGGTGTGACGATAGGGCTAGACTGCTCTCACGCACCACTTTGGTATGGTGGTACGGCATCTACAAAAGCAAAAACAAGTGTGGCGTGCAGTCACTCTGCCAAAACAACTACCGCATTGGTTACACACCAGAAAGTTGAGCTATAATACCGTGGGATGTCGTTTTTTACGCATGGAGATGCATGGCGTGGAATATGACAGCTGAACTTGACTGAGACACCATCGGGTACATTCGGGCTTACATCCCAAAAGTACCAGTTGACCATTCTCTTTACTTCTCTACATAAGCACACCATATCCACGATGTTTGACCATCCCATAACTGTCATCTTGCACTTTCCATTCTAACCTCTTCAGAATGTTCGGCAAAGCAGCACTTATTGTAGCAATTGCAGGCGTGCTCACGCTGACAGCAGCGTATGTCTAATCTACTTACTCCCCTCAGCACCCCTCATACTGATTAGTCACAGTCTTGAGCCGCAACAACCACTGAATGCCGTAGACCACGAGGAAAATGCAGTCCATGGGAACAGCGACGCTGCGGATGACTCGCCAGCACCAGCACTCGAAGCTGAGAGGGTCGAGTTCCTCGGGTACGTCAACGCCAGCCAAGTCTCGGTCGCGGACTGCCCCCAATGGCCGACGCATAACCAAGCCGTCAAGGTGGGCGAGATCTGGTGGCAAGACAATGGATGGTACGCGCAACCGTTGAAGATGTGGAATCACAGGCATGCCATCGAATGGGGGTATTGCATCGAAACCCGGTTCGGCTGGGACTCGGACTCGGGACAGATCTTTTACGCGCAAAAGGTCAGCGAGTCCGAGCAATTCTCGGAGTGGGCTCTCAAAGCGTACAAGATCTGGAGCGCCGCCTTAACCGAAGGCGTCGTCGGTTGGAATGCCGACAAGGCGAGGTGGTTGCCCTGCACAAACGTACCGGGCTGCGGCGGCGGCGCCCGGTTCGCAATGGACAAGAACCTGTGCTTCCGGGCGAGGCTCAAGTCCGGGCGTGTCATCACGGCGTGCGAGACGTTCACCAACCAGGGGTACAGGATTTGCGGCGAGTACAGCAGGAAGCACCATGGGCGTAACAGGTGTGGTACGGGGCGGAATTCGCACTATTGGTTTGGCACGGAAACGGGATGTTGGGAGAACTAGGGCCAAGAAGAGATGATCCACGAAACAGGATGATGGTGGGCTGACGATGCTGGGAGGCAAGGGTAACGGAGTGAGTGAATGTCTAGGTTAAAAGACGGCAAGACTCGAATATTCCGGGCTACATATACAGAGTTCCTTATGGACCCCTTTGTATGTCGGGATAGAGATGAGGAGATGAATACATTCCCTGAACGAAAGTAAGAGCTGGGGGCATATGGCGTTCCCCAGGTATGGCCACACATTCACCATTCTCGCCCATTACGTGACCCAACCAGTATAAACAACCCGATCTGACTATTGCAATTGACCAAGTAGGCTGAGATAAAACAGAGTATATATACTATAGTATATGTAGAGTCTAAGCGGACTTATAAGTGGACCTCGATTTACTCCAAGGTTGTCGTTGGTAAAGTAGAGTTGAATAAGGGTTAGGGTTGTCCAAATTGGGCTATAGGAATAAGCTGGGCTGTGAGCAGTCTCCGACAGATATCTCCATGTCAGCTTTCTAGAAGGCACCCTTGTCTCGCCCAGTAAGCCAGGACCTCTCAAAGACTGCTGGCACCAGTGAGACGGACGTACGTACCACGAGGCCAGAAGCTGCCAGGCAACAATACCACACCAACCTGGGTGCGATTCAAAATCACGCCCAATATAACCCATGGAACAATCGCAAGCCCGTCTTTGTCGCCATGTTTGATGCTCCTGTTATCATGTCTGCCCCGACGGATTCGATTTCGCGAAACATTGGGGCTGTGAAGCAGTACGATGCCAGCCTTGCAGCCTACAGGCAACCAATACGCGTTGTCGTCCCAACAGATAATCCGACCATGTCTCACCACGCGGCATGGTGAAATCTAATTATCCAACTCATTTCAGACCCTCGACTACACTCTGTAAACGCTCTAGGGACATCAGGTGCGCCCGATTAGACACAAGAGAAGCCCATTCCGCCGTCTTGACTGGAGATATCTTGTTGCAAACGACACCTGCGTAGCATCTGCCCGAGACTCTGGCACCCGTGACTGATTCCCTTCAACCACATGCGACCAGGTGAGCCTTGCCATCAGCTGAGCCCCCACCGCTTTGCATCATGCCGGAACATACAATTGCTACAAGAATCCGCCGTCATGTACAGGTCCAACTTCCATCCTCGACCCGTATCCGCATGCGCATACGCATCCTCACCGCCGACCTCATGTCGCGATCAACGCAGTGGAAGGCCATGACGGTCATGACCGTCGACGGCTTCGGCTTCGCCCTGGCCAAGTCTGCGCAGACGTTTCTCATCGAACAGGCTCTATGTCGAAGCTTCTATGCCATCCGTGACCCCGCCGTCATCCGCCCGGACGGCAGTGTGCCCGAGGACATGTGCAAGACGGACGATCTGCAGTCCCAGGTCGCCTTCTTGTCCAGCACGCTCAACTTTACGCTCTTGATTGCCAGTACGACATCTGTCTACCTGTTGTTATTGTTGTTTCTTGCCAAATGTGCCTGATATCGCGAGCTAACTAGCATCTCCTTAGGCTTTCTGGCCACACCGGTCTTTGCCCGCCTGGCGTTGACCGTCGGAAAGAGGACTGTGCTTCTCATCAACGCCGCGAGCTACATGTTGCGCATGATACTATTCACAGCCGTGGGTGAGTGAATGAATTCACATCCTTGCGTTCCAGCTCGAGTGCTGCTCTATATGCCCCGGCGGACTGACACACCCTGAATCCAAGTGTACTTTTATACCTTCACCGACGTCCGCTGGGTGCTTCTGCTGTGGGTTTTGGAGCTGGTGGGAGGCGGGATGCCAGTACGAGAGGTCTTGCTGTGGATGTACATGGCCGAGAGCGTCCCGGAAGACGGACTGTAAGCACGACTTCTTCTTTCTTCTCCTCACCGCCTGCCCGCCGGCCACTGATATAAACTGACGCCTCTTGGGCCGCTAGAACGGGCGCTTTTAATGTCTTGAGCGCCATTCTCATCGGGATGATGGCCGTCGGGACCTTTATCGGCGCTCTGCTTCTCAGGCAGCACGTCTGGCTGCTGTGCTCGATAGTCATCTGCATTTGCGCCCTGGTCATGCTACTAATCTGCCTGCTTCCGAACCATCACAAATCTCTCTACCCCGAGGAAGAGGACATCTTGGGTGGCGAGGATAGTCCCCGTTCGTCCGCCTCACAGGCGTCATCACCAGCCACTTCGCTTCTCAACGGAGAGCAAGACGGCCGCGGCGCCTCGCAGGGCCCTCCGCCCTTGTGGCAGACCGTCCTTCGTGCTGCCACGGTCGATCTGCTGCTCTCCATACAGTTCGTCGTGCAGGCGCTCCATAATCCTCTCACCCTGAGAGTCATGAGCATATTCTTCACTTACACCTTGGCCGGGACTGTTTCCGGCACCTCCCAGCAATGGGCCTCGAGCACTTTTCACACGAGCCTGGCCGACGTGGACAAGGTCACCTCCATGGAACAGGTCGTCTCTGCCATTGTCCTGTTTTCTCTGCCCACCGTCTCGCAGCGACTGCTGCGGCCGCGCTTGCGCAGCAAACAGAACACAGACCTTTCGGTCATCACGGCCAGCTTGGTATTGTGTGCGTTTGGCGCCCTTGTCATGTCCCTGGCGCCGTCTATTGGCATTTACGCTGTGGGCGTGGCCGTCTCCGCCCTCGGCGTCGGTCTGGCCGATTCATTGCGATCGTTTGCCACCAGTGCCTTGTCCGACACCGAGACGCTGGAAAGCCTCTACATGAGCATTCGCACCATGCAGTCGCTGGCAGCTATCGTCGGCACGCCGCTGTGGGGAGGCATTTTCCTTCTCATCTTGAAGAGCGACGGAGGATTGCCGCCTGGCCTTCTCTTCTTCGCTACTAGTATCGTCTTCCTTGTCTCTTTGTATTCAACGATGCCGTTGCGCGGATACAGATAGAAGGGATATTATGGGATTGTATCTATGAGTCGAGATGGGCTGGTGGGGGACTCTTTATGGCAAGGATAGAGTGTGGTTAGAATTAGATTGCTCTCTTCGGATGAAGGCATCCGGCCACCGCCCCGGGTGTCCTGACTCCTGAGTAGACCTGAATAGCTGTGACGCGTGTGACAATCCACGCTACGGCTGTGATACGTGGCATTACAGATGATGATGGCGACAACGAATACACGATATTATTTAAACTTTGCACTAGTTATGCGAGATCTGAGATGGCAAAGAATCCAGATTGAACCGCGTGTGAAACATCAATGAACTCTCCTAGTCATCAACAGGTTAATGTCAATAAGCATCGACTACTTGCTTCATGCCGCCGTAACAGAGTGTGATAATGGAGTGGCGTCTGAGTGAGCCATGTGGACAGAAGCTAGTACTAGCGATTCCATAGAAGGATTGTGAGACTCTGTAATCCGCCAACTCCCGATCAACGAGTGACTGTTTTAACTGGGAAAGGCATGTGGCCCCTCAGAAAGTGCGTCTGCTGCTGGTCAGGCCTGAGACAATGCGCCGTGTGAAACCGCCATGCCATGGCCACGGCACCATTTGGTTGACGTGATGTGTAGAATGTCTGCCTGCGCGTCGGCAACGGAGGGGGCTAGCCATTGAGTTGCTCTCGTCCACTTAGTCGCTTAAGGCTCATCTAGTCAAGTTGAAGAATGATGAAATCCCAAGGCCCCTGGACGTTGGGCTGAAGACAGTCCCTGAATTATTGACCGTTGGACCCCGCCCGCATGCTGTTCCGCTTTAAACCGTTGCGACCAGACTTTACTATTTCCACCACGTGGGTGTGTATGTAGCAGTTGCATCATGACTTCAATGTCTGGCTACCTGTCAGGGTGTGTCCATGTAAGTATACAACGATATGGCGAAACGGATATAGAGATGACGACGGGGGTCAAGCTCACCGAGGTTGCAAAGACGCAACGCTCGCTCACACTCGCGCGGCTTCGAACGTGACGACTCTGCATGTACTTTTGTCCTGCATCGGCGGTGACTCTACATGCTTCGGAACCTGCATTTGAAGGCGTACGTTTGTTCTTTGGTATCACATCCAGTGGCTTGCGCAAACCTGCTGTGGCCGGAGATTCCTCCGGCCATGGGCTCCCTGCTGGTTGCGCCCGTTCACCTCACGTGTATGACTTATTTATCTTGATATCCTGGTTAGGCCATGAGCCTTGGCGGCGCACATTAGACTGCCGTCTTTGCAAGCCGTCTCTCCCCTCACGTTTATGCATGCTACAAGAAAAATGGACAATTTCCTCCCCAATTCCCGTCGAACAGTCCGTACATTGGACTTTGCCGACTTTCTCCATGGCGATGCTAATAAACAGAGCAAATTTTGCCGAGAGCTAATCGCGTGCCTCAGCACTGTGGGATTCGTGAAGCTTGTGAACCACGGACTTGGTGACGAAGAGCTCTACGAAGTATTTGAATGGGTAAATGGCATCCAATCACGAACCGATACATGGAACATGCTAACTGGTCCGTCGTATGCATACTCTAGAACAAGAGGTTCTTCTCACTCCCCCTTGCCGCGAAGACGAAAGCGGCGCACCCATATGGACCGAACCCACATCGCGGTTACAGCTACATCGGGCAGGAGAAGCTGTCCAAGGTCAAGGACTACGAAAAGGGCACTCGAAATGCTGCCGAAGTTTATGACGTCAAGGTACTCGTTCCACCCTGCCTCGTCTCCCGTACCATTGTTGCTTGACTGACATTGTCTTACAGGAATCGTTTGACCAAGGTCCCGCACACGACGAACTGTATCCGAATAGGTGGCCAGACGAGGGTGATCTTCCAAATTTCCGAGTATTCATGGAAAGATTATACGATCGCTGCCACCAAATCCATCAAGAGATCCTTCAAGCCCTAGCACTTGGCCTTGGCCTTGGCCCTGGCTTCTTTCGAGACATATGCGACCAAAACACTTCGGAAGTACGCTTGAACCACTACCCCGGGTGCGAGGCTGCCGTCCTGCACAAAGGTGCAAAGAGAATATCCGAGCATACAGACTTTGGCACAGTTACACTGCTCTTCCAGGACTCCGTGGGTGGCCTAGAGATAGAAGACCAGCATGTTCCGGGAGACTACTTCCCCATTCCCTTTGGGAGTAGATCGGAGATGATTGTCAACATTGGTGATTGCCTCCAGCGCTGGTCCAACAACAAGTTCCGCGCCACGAGCCATCGTGTAGTCCTCCCTCCGGGGTTGAGTGATGGCTGGATCGAGGACAGATACTCGGTGGCCTATTTTGGGAAGCCTAATCGGTCACAAGCTGTGGGTGCCCTGCCTGAGCTTTTACCGGAGGGAGTAAAGTCTAAATATAGCAACATTACTGCTTGGGAATATAATCAAGAGAAACTCACCTTGACATACTAGGATAAAAATCACTGAATACAAGAGTATTGCCTATGATGCGATTCCTAGGCGGTAAAACAAAAAGGGGCGCCCAGGGGCCAGGAAAGGGATGAGTAATATCTGTTACACGGAAGTCACGTTGCGGCTCGGTCCGACCCTTGAACCTGACGATAGTTACACAAGAAAGGGTTCGAGATCTAGTTGAGGCCTAAGACTTCTACGCCAAGGGGCTGACGCTCACCCTTGCTCTGTGTAAATAGGGGTCTTCTGCCCCAAGAACCTTTTGACACCAAAGCAAAGTATCAGCATGAATAGAACTATCGTTCCAAGCTCTTGTATTATAAGCCCTTGTCACAATATCCATTCACCTGCCAAATATGCAAATCCGCGACAGCTACGATGGTTCATTCGGCAGATATCTTGCATATACATCCGTATATGCCCCCATGGTTACAGTAGTGGACTTGCCCAGGTGGCAGCGTGAACTCCCCGCTCGAGTGCCTGGTTAATCCGACGCAAGGCCTCCTCCAGATACACTCGAGGATGTGCAAACACGATGCGAAACATACCCGGCGACTCGCTGTCAAAGTTGCCTCCCCATGCCAAGTACACTTTGTGCGCCCACAGAGCCTGCTTCAGCTCCTCTATGACGTCGTGGTTTGACGCTCTGTCTGGATGCCGATTGCGATACGCCTGGCCCAGATCAACCCACAGGAAAAAGGCAGCGTGGACGCCCGGCGTAAAGGGGATGGCGTGGCGCCGCAAGAAATCCGTCGCAAAGGTGTACATGGACGCTAGCCGGCGCCGATTTTCCGCGAGGTAGGCATTGGCAAACGCGTCGTCCTCAATCATTTGCGACACAATGTGGTCTGTAATGGACGACACGTACGAGTAGATGGCGACGGAGTTGAGCGCCGTGTGGAACGCCCGGTTGGAAAGGGAGATGATGCATCCCAGACGCCAGCCGTTGGCGCCGAAATCCTTGGAGACTCCCCAGAGAACGTGCACCAGGCCCGGGTTGATGAACTTTTCAAGGTCGAGGGCGAGGACCGAGGTGAACGGGGGGTCGCTCCAGACGGACAAGGCGTAGATTTCGTCGCAGACGAGATGAATTTGGTACTTGTTGCACAGCTTTAGGAAAGCCTTGAGGACTTCGGGCGAGTAGCACTGGCCCAGCGGATTATGCGGCGAGCACAGTAGCAATCCCTTGACGGCGGTGCCTTGCTCCCTCGCGGCGAGAATAGTTTCCTCATAGCACACGATGGCTTCCAGGCTCAACGGATCGACTTCGCCGAAAGTCACGGGCAGTGTGAGCACCTGCGGCCGCAGCGCGAGGTTGACTGCTCCGTAATACGGCCGGCCGAGAATGAAGGCATCCCCAGGGTTGGCAAACGCCCACGAGGTGTGCTCGAGGGCATTAGACACGCCGTTGGTGACAATGATTTGGGAGGCGTCCAGGGAATGATACGGACGAAGCTGCCGGTTGAGAAAGCGTGCCAGCGCGCTTCGCAATCGAGGACTTCCCATGGGGCCGTCCTGGTATGTCAACACGGAGCCACGCATGTTTATGCGCTGGGAGAGATAGTCCTCCAGCTCGGCTTGCATCAAGTGATTCTCGGCTACGCCCACATTCACGTATCCATTGGGGTTATCGTACGCGTCCCACGGGTCTTTCATCACTTCCCACATCACATTGAACGCGGACGGGGGGATTTGTTCTCGGGCCCGACGGGAGAGCATGGTGGAAGAAAATCTACTCCTAATTATTTACTTATTCCCTACCTGGCCAGGAGGAATAATTGATACCCACTATGTATGGATTGGATATGACAGTAAGACGGATAATCTTTTGTAGGAAATTTTTGATTTTGTTCCCCTTTTCCCCCGAGAATAAAAAAAAGACTATTAGCACACGATTCGCTTCTTATAGTCATTGACTCACTAACACATTGTTAGCCACCCAGTATGTAGCAGTCCGAAGCTTGCATCCAGGTCTCTTACCCATCCGCGGATGGATGTGAAGTGTGGCTACCTGATTCTACACAATTTTCCATGGTGAAGTACATGCGCCAAGACCTTGTCGTGACGCCGCATTCCAAAGTGTCCTAGACTCCTGAGTCCTGAAAACGGATAAGAAAGCGGGGTAAAGAATAGTTGGGAGGGGGTGACTGGCCTGCCTAGTCCAAGCCATCAATCTCAACAGACACGATAGGACGTAATATTGGGTTGCAATATGTCTAGTGTTTTGAATCTGCCTTCCATGATAGTCACAAGCTTAAAGCGACTTGGCAGCATGTCGTCCCTATTCTGTTAGCTGCATGTCCCAGTACACACTAGGGACGTGTGGCACAGGTGGATCTTGCACAGCCCCACCTTGACTTTACGCTACATGCATAACGGCGTCTATCGCCTACCCAAATCATGGAAAAAGACGCAATAAGCAACAAGTGTGTGGAGAAACGTTCAGAGTCAACACTGGAACACATTTCATACTTTGGGCGAATCTGTTTTGCATCCCAGCAATGCCTTGTGCGACAGAACCTGCACCACAAGCCTCATCATGGCCGTACAATCATCAATCGACAGCCAGACGGGCCGTGGGGGAGCGGGAATATGGGGCGCCGAGCCGTCCCGCGCGCTAGTTGCCGAGGCACCCGGTCCCGACTCCACCCGTCCCGTCAACCTCCTCATGCTGGCCGGTGACGGCGCAGAGCGTCGATGGGGTCCCCATCATCGCAAATCCCCAGCATCTTGTCCGTAACGTAGCCCGCCAGCCTCTGCGCATCGACCGACCACTTCTGCACCTCCTCCTCGGTCCACCATGCAAACTCATTCGCCTACAACCCTAGTCAGCGGCAGAGTGACACACAAGTCAAAAAAAGAAAAGGATACCCTACCTCCGGCCGAACCCACGAGCGGCAGAAAAAAATGGCATGCAGCAGTCTCGGAATCTGAGTGGAATTAGCCCCTCCTCCGTGGAGCGCTGAGCCCAGAAAAAGAAAAGCCTCGCCCGGCTGCATCTCTACGGCCCGGACTTGGTCGTCGGTGGCTTCGCGCGCGTCGCCCCAGAGATGGGATCCGGGAACAAACTACAGAATTGCTCGGGAATGAGTGGTTTTTTTTCATTGGTCAAGCATATACCGGTGAGAAGAGACTTACCAACGTGGCGCCATTCGCACGGGTTGTCTGAACCCCCGGCACCAATAACGCAATCCCCAGATCGGATCCCAAGCAATACCCCGACTCCTCCTGGCTGGGGTGTACTTTCTGCCATATGCTGTCGTCGCGGTGCAGGGCCTGTCCGGCGCCGCCTGGAAGGGTAAGGATGCTGTTGGCCTGAGACAGAATGGCGTTGGTGCTGCGCGCCCGCATGCTATTCTTGTCCACTTCGGGAGGGTTCACGGTCCGGAGAAAGTGGTTGACAATCGATTGGATATTGGGGTCCAAGGCCCATTCTTCTCGTGCCGTCTCACTGAGGCCGTACAAGTGACCGCAGTAGATCCGTCCATTGTAAATGGCTTTGAATGCCTGTCAAGGGCGGGGGACGTGGTTAGCCTTCCTGGCGTTAGGTGTAGAGAGGAAGAGGGCAGACATGTACCTCATCGCTCTTTCGTCTCGTCATGATTTCTTCGGTATCTTGGTTTACTTTGTCAACTTGTCCTGCTGAGGTGAAGCCAGTCAGGATGACTCCTCCGTCCTCCTTGACCACTCGGATGGCCTCCTCTGGGCGATCGAGGGGAACGCGACGTGCCATGGCGAGGGGGCCGGGATTCCAGTTGTTTGAAGGATGAAGTTACTATAGAAGTGAAAATTTTGCAGCGTTCAACTGAGGAGTCTTAGCCATGTCTTGATTTTTCGGGACCTGAATATATACCTAGGTAGTTGGGCTTGTAACTACCTATGTATCCTATGATAGCATATATGTAGGGTTACATTAAATCTGTACATGTACACCCTCTTGCCCACACATATACTTAGTCTCAGATATTGTATTTACGAGAAAATAATCATTTATTTGAATGGAATAAAATGATAAGGGACTCAGGTATTACTGCTCGAATTAGAAAGTAATAGTGAATACAAAACGGCCCAGTTTATCTTATCATAGCATACCCTAGAGGTACCTGATACTCACTTGGTTAAAATGGCCGTCTGTAAATGGAAACGTAGCAGAGGACGCGTGCATGTGAAAACTCGTTAAAAACAAAAGAAAGGAAAAGAATCCACATAGCAAATTCCCCATGTCGCACATTTTGTGTGATCAAGGCCGCAGACTGCATAGCCTGCATGATGCAGAACCAGACTACATGTGCTTGCCCCGCGTATCGAGAGCTTCATCCAGAGATACATTCACACACCGGGAAAGACCCCGGCAAAGAGCAGAGGGGAGGATAATGTCTGGTAGTATTCTACTCTGTGTTTCACATGAGGTACTTTTGCTGCTCCTTATACCAAGGCGAGCAAAACCATTGGGCGGCATCACTTACCTTTGCACCGCTGAACTGCATCCTCTCTCTAGCCACACTCGATAGAGCTAGAGATAGACGCGCACACACGCACATATTCTGGGCAAGGCATACACAAAGAGACAGAATCAGAGAAACATTTCATCACCAAGAACATCGAAATGGGCTCCAGCCCGCAGCAGGCCATGAATGGAGACATGGTAGATGACCATGCTGCCAAAGCTGACACCAATGACATCAAGCAACTCCAACAATGGAATGGAAAAAGTGTCGTCAGGGACGATGCTCTGCGCGTGCACGACCTAATCCAGGCGCATTTCGACGGTCAACCGTCTGCCCCCAGCGTGTGCTCTTGGGATGGTAGTCTAACCTACCATGAATTGGACCAACTGTCCTCGGGTCTTGCCGCCGAGTTGGTGGCCCGAGGAGTTGGTTGTGAGATGTTTGTTCCCTTGTACTTTCAAAAATCGAAATGGACCGCCGTGGCTATTCTTGCTGTCGTTAGAGCCGGAGCGGCCTTTGTGCTGTTGGATGACTCGCACCCGTTGCCGCGCCTACGCGAGATCTGTGAAGAGGCGCATGCGACGATTGTACTGGCCGCCAGTGAGTTCCGGGACAATGCGCAACAGCTGGTAGACGAGTCCCTCGTCATCTTGGTTGGAGAGACGCAGTCGCAACAGTGGCCTCGGGACAGCAATGAATCCTGGAGAGCATCGCCCGTGACGGGGACCAGCGCGTTATATGCCGTGTTTACCTCCGGGTCTACGGGCAAGCCTAAAGGCGCGGTGAACGAACATGCCTCCCTTTGCGCCGCGGCCGAAGCCTCGGGGCGAGCCCTGGCCATGAGCTCACAGACAAGGGCCTTTCAGTTTGCTTCCTATGCATTCGATCCAACAATCATGGACTTTCTGCGGACGTGGATCTACGGCGGATGCGTATGCATTCCGTCGCCAGCCCAGGCGAAAAACGACATTGCCGCCGCCATGGCCCAGCTCGGGGCCAATCTCGCCAGCCTGACGCCCTCGGTGGCGCGCCTCCTCGATGCCGACGCGCTGCCGGCCCTGCGAGCACTGGAATTCGCCGGCGAGCCCATGCTCCAAAGCGACCTGGAGAAATGGGCCGATCGGGTATTGCTGGTCAATGCATATGGCACCGCCGAGTGCTCCGTGTACTCGGTGATTTGCTCTCCGGTGCGCCGCGACGGAAATCCGCACGACATCGGCTTCGCGGCCGGATGTGTCGCATGGATCGTGGACCCGGCCGACCATCACACTTTGCTTCCAATCGGCCAAGCCGGAGAGCTGGTGTTGGAGGGCGCCGGCATAGGACGAGGCTATCTGAGCAACAAGGAGCTGACGGCGGCCTCCTTTGTGCTTGGCCCGGCGTGGCTGCACCAGTTCAGAGGCGAGAAATCCCGTCATATTCGCCTGTACAAGACGGGCGATCTGGCGCAATATCAACCCGATGGATCTCTCCGGTGCCTGGGCCGGAAGGACACCCAGGCCAAAGTTCGTGGCCAGCGCATTGAGCTGGGCGAAGTCGAATGGCATATCGGAGACCTGCTCCGTCAGCGCCACCAGGTGGTCGTAGACGTGGTCCAGGTGCACCGCGGCGTTGGTACGCAGGCCGTCCTCGTAGCATTCGTGCGACTCCGAGATGCTGTGATCGACCAAGAATCCCCGGCCACTGGCTTGTTTGCCACACCAACAGACGTCTTCCGCCTTCAAATGGAGAAGGTAGAGATGGAACTGAAAGGGCGAGTGCCCGCATACATGGTTCCCGGGGCCTTTGTCGCGCTGAACTATATTCCCCTGTCTATATCAGGCAAGACAGATCGTAGGCGGCTCCGAGAAGAAACCGCCCAACGGCCATGGGCTGGCATTGAGGTGTACATGTTACACCAGAAGAGCAGGCATTATTCTCCGAAAACAGACATCGAAAGGATCCTCCAAGGCTCATTTGCCCACATTCTCGGACTGCAAGCTGAGGAGCTCGCCCTGCACGATTCTTTCTTCCGCAGAGGAGGCGACTCCATCTCGGCCATGCAGCTGAGCGCCCACTGTCGCCGTCGGGGTCTGTCCATCACAACCCAGGAGATTTTCCAATATCCTACAATTGCTGAATTGAACGCTAGAATCCTCACGCAAGTGGACATCCAGGCCCCCTCCACAGCCCTGCCATTTCCTCTCTCCCCAGTACAGCACATGCTGCTTCAGCAAAAGAGCTTACCCGGCCGGGAGTCTCAAGGTTTCCAAGTTCCCAGTCGAACCCTACTTCTGCGCTTGGCGAGGCCCATCAGTCTAGTAGAGTTGGAATCCGCGATACAGTCCGTCATTCATCGCCAACCCAGCCTGTCCATGAGGTTTACCACTGGAAAAGACGGCCAGTTGATGCAGACAGTGACATCTTTGATCCGGGGCTCGTATCAATGTTGCCACATTCAAACCTCTGCTGCTTCTGTGGCAACACTGGATCCTCGCCCGGAGCGTCTCAACCTGGAAACCGGACCACTTCTTTTGGCTGATTTAATCACCACGCAGAGCGATGATAGTCAACAGCTACTCTTGGTAGCCTCCCAGATCGTTGTTGACGTCCGTTCCTGGAAGATCATTCTCGACGAGCTCAGCAGCTGTTTGACCGGCGGCGACTTTTCTTCGTCCGTCGCAACAGGATCGTTCCAGTCGTGGTGTGAGGCTATTAAACCCCATATAAACGGACAACTCAACGGACAGCCCGCTGGATGGACCAAGTCCAGCTTTTGGGGATCAGTCGATTCCAGCAGTACGAAGAGTAGCAGGACCATCTCGACTGAGTTTATTTTGGATCCCTCCAGAACCGACTTGTTGCTGCAGAGGGGACAGCATGCCCTTCGCGCAGAGCCGCCAGAGATACTCCTCGGTGTCTTTTTGCATGCCTTCAGGATCAGCTTCCCAGGGCGAGACGGTTTGCAAATTTTCATGGAATGCGATGGACGGACAGCAGGTGTTTCTCAGGTTGTCGGTCAGTTTACCACATACACACCTATCATGTTGCCGTCGGGTCAAGATGGCGATGTGGTGGATGTGGTGCGCCGAGCAAAGCATGCTCATCGGAAAGCGTGTAAAGAACATTCAATGCATTCTAAACACACGTTTCCAATGGAGGCAATCTTTCATTGGAAGCAAGAGAAGGAACATCGGGCTCTCGGTTCGGGATCTGGGGTAGGAGAACTGTTTCTGCAAGAGATATCATCTCTAGGTGGTAGTGAACCGCACCAACTTCGGAAGCCAGCCCTCTTTGAGCTTAATCTGTTGCAATCAAGCAGCTCACTTACTGCTTCCCTGGTCTATGGGGAGCATATGCTGTACAAAGACGCCATTAGTCAATGGTTCCAGCTTTCCCAGGACACGTTGGATGAGCTGCTGCGGCGACTGGAGAACCTCCCGTTTCGGCCTACGCTCGATGACTTCCCTCAGTTGTCCATTACTCCAGCAGGGCTGGAGACCCTGATCTCGGATGCATTAGCTCAACAAGATATTCTTAGTCCGTCAGACATCTCAGACATCTACCCGGCCTCTTTCATTCAGCAGGGAATGTTATTAAGTCAAGCTCGGGACCCTCAGGCCTACTGGTCTCGTACCTCATGGGAGGCACGCTCCCGCGATGGATCTGTGGTCGTGTTGCACAGGCTTCAGGAGGCATGGCAGCAAGTAGCCATGAGCCACTCTATACTCCGGACATTATTTGTGCAGAGCCAAGATGGTTTCCACTACCAAGTTCTGCTGACGAGTCCGCCCCTTCCGGTGAAAATCCTGCCCTCGAATGCCCCTGACCAAATCCAAGTCACAGCGAACGAGGCGCCTGGTGTCTTGGAAAGTCGCACATTACTTCCTTGGAGTCTCACTCTAAGACCTCTGAATAGCAGTAGTGTAACGTGCGAGATTCAGATAAGCCATGCTCTTATGGATGGTGAGTCAATGCAATTGTTGATCCGGGACGTTCAGCGTGCGTATGATGCGGAACAGCCGAAAAGGGCCCCTCCCTTGTATAGCCAATATGTCGGTTATCTGAACGAGGTCTCTCGGGATCCCGTGCTAGAATATTGGAAAGATTACCTCGAGGGAACTGAGCCGTGTCACTTTCCTGCGTTTCCGAGTTCGCAGCCCACCACGGCAGTCGGCAAACTCGTAGATCTCGACATTGTCATCCAGGATACGCACAAGCTGTTTTCTTTCTGCAGAGAAGAGGGTATCACACTCTTCAATGTGGTTCAGCTGGCATGGGCCATTGTGCTTCAATGCTACACGGG